TATGAAAATATGAAACTTTTACTTGAAAAAATAAATTACAGTACATATTCCTTCAAAATCTGCGGTGATCTTAAAGCTGTTGCACTATTACTTGGACTTCAGCTGGGTTATACAAAGTTTTGCTGCTTTTTATGTGAATGGGATAGCCGAGACAGAAGTAATCACTATATAAAAAAAACATGGCCTACGCGTGCATCGTTAGTTCCTGGGCAAAAAAACGTAAAGTATTTACCCCTTGTACAGCCAAATAATGTGCTTCTACCACCATTGCATATCAAATTAGGATTAATAAAAAATTTTGTGAAGGCAATGGATCGCAATGGGAGTGGATTTTTGTATCTAAAAGAAAAATTCCCTAAAATAAGTGATGCAGAGATAAAAGAGGGTATTTTTGTTGGCCCTCAAATTAGGGAGTTAATAAAAGATTCAAGATTTGAAGAAAAATTAAGCGATTTAGAAACATCTGCATGAAAGGCTTTTAAAAATGTTGTTGCACATTTTTTTGGGTAACCACAAGAGTGACAGCTACAGAGAGTTCGTTAGCGAGCTATTATTGTCATATCAAGCATTGGGTTGCAACATGTCACTTAAGATCCATTTTTTAGACTCGCACCTGGATTTTTTTCCTGACAATTTAGGGGCTGTCAGCGACGAGCACGGTGAGAGGTTCCATCAGGACATTTCTAAAATGGAAAAGCGGTACCAGGGCAAATGGAGCGCAAATATGTTAGCAGATTACTGCTGGGCAATTAAAAGGGACCAACCAGAAGCTAAATATTCAAGAAAATCTTAGATTATTAAGTCATTTATAAAAAAATTACTTTTGATTTACGAGATCTGTGTTTTTTCTTAATATTTTAAATTACTCAATAGAATAAAATCCTTGTCTAGCAATTTTTTTTAACTGTTTATTTTTTCTTACAATTACCAATTAAAGTAAAAAATATCAATGTCCGTGTGGCACGACAAAGTTAAAATTTTGTTGACCAGTGTAATGCACCACCACGCCTTTCTAAACTCTCGCCTAGAAAGTTCTGGGCTAACCACTTCACATTTTCCTCTTCAAACCGGAACATACTTTTAAAATCACTAGTTCGCGGTGTACGCCGTGGTTTGTAGTATCTCATATTTCGAAGATTCATCATTTCAGCCATTTTTACTTTTAACCAAACAACCGTGCAAAAAACGTACGGAACCACTAGCAGCTCTGATGCTACTGAATAGCAGCATCAGTTTTCCATAAGTAAATACTCGCACTTTTGAGCAAAAGGTTGGCTTTATTCATACGTTTGAAGCAAATCCTTCAATATCATGAGCACTTGCTTCTTACTTATAAGCAAAAGCATTTACTTATAATTTTATTCATATCCCTTGAAGCACTTACTTTTAATTTCGCAAGTATAAGCATATGCTCACTTTTATTCATATGGGACATTATGTTGCGGCATTCACTCAACTCTGCTTCCCTCTCCCGGCAATCGGCTTATATATTCCGCATAGCAGGTACTCGTTAATTCTAGAAGGTTCCGGTACGCCACATAGCGGCAGTCCAGAACCTTCAGGGCCAGTCTTCGATCTCGAAGGAGAGCGCCTGGCGCGGTTCTCAACAGATGGCGCTAGTTGTGCCGAAGGACAATCTCTTGCGCGGTCTCAACAGATGGCGCTAGTAGTACTATTCATTCCTGTCACAGTATGTTCAAATTACTCCGTATGATCGGGCCTATCCGAATTCGGTCTTTCCAATAAACAAAAGGTATGTTTGGATCATCACGTAGTTGTCTATCACCCTGTATAAATAAAAATGTTTTCTAAGTAAGGAGCATATACCCTATTTCACGAGCATCCATCACGCTTTGACGTCTACTGAGGTGAACAGCTGATCAGCAAGTGACAATTTTGTGTTAGTCTGCGACGTTGGCAATAATGAATCGGGTGTAAATAAAAGAGCTGTTAGCAAGTACAGAATCAATCTGTAGCGTACAAAAAACCAAAACCAAATACGCTTTGACTACCTAACGACGGATCCGTCAGAATTATGTGTCCTGTGCCGATATGGGGAATATTTAGATATTACTAGATAATCGGCTGTCATTCTACCGTGACGGACATGAAATAGGGTATACTATTGGCTGCAATTTTTGTATATAACTAGATACCCAATAACGTTATCGACCGAACCCAGACAAAAAATTCACTATGTAGAAATAGTCTAATCATATTAGACGAAAATACCCCTGGTTTGCGAAATAATTGTAAATTCTGGTTTCATTGCTGCAAGTTGTTCAAGGGGTTATTCAAAACATGGACGCATAAAATGTTTACACCAATTTTTGTGGGAAAACTTTTTATTCGACAACAAAGAATGAGAAACCCGTTTTTTGGGTTTTAGTCGAAAGTGTCGGTAGGAACGAAAAAACTCTTTATATAGGATTTTTAGGTATATATTTATGAGACCTACAAAATGAGACTACACGTAAAAAGATCCGACTAATAGCAAAAAAGTTATGGCCGAAAACCGAGGCAAACTGCAGGTTTTGGCACTTGGTATTACGATGATGGTTTCTCGCAGATATTTGAAATTCTTCAATTCGCAAAAAAAGAGGATAGACTCATCCGCTTTGTTTTAAAATGTGTATAGTAACGTATGATTTTCGAATATCGTAGCATATGTGTTCCATTACTCACAAATACGAAATGTTTGAATTTGTTTAGAAGAAAGAAACGTAACTTTTGTTTTTCGCATAAAAATAACATTTATCTTACGGAATGGTTTGTGATTCATATCGGCAAGGTAGACAAGTGTATTTTGCTATTAAATGCTCTTTGAATTATTGCTCAATAAACTAGTAGTGATGGCCGTAAGACAGGTGTTTTGGGATAAACAATTAGAAATTCCTTGCCGTCGCAGGGTTACTACGTAAAAAATCTATATGATGTCAAAAAAAACGCTAAAATATCAACCTGTTGACTAAGTAGGCTAGTGTGCAGTTATTTCATTCCACGCTTGCTACGAATGAAGTGAACGACAACTAGTTCCAAGTTGACGTCTTGTAGGAAAATATACACAATGTCATAAAAACCTACACAATGTCACTTTTCAAGTTACGTAATACCCCTGCGGGGAGATGCATCCACCATTTTTTCGATATCCTGTAAAATGTGCAACTTCCACCATTTTTAAAAGAGTCAGTGAATCATTAAGTGACTGGATCGTGGTGCGAACTTCTTGAGCCATGTAATGGCCACTGGGCACATATGAGCTTGAGGCCTGTGGCTGAAGGGACCTGAGGGTAGAGCGTCCCTACTTTGCTGTTGGAAAAGCTGGTAGAACGGGGTAGGCTTGAGGTGCTGGGACATGTTTTAGAAATTTTATGGGGGGAGGCGAAATCGAGCTAGGAGATCTTGGCACGTGCCTTCGTGTCATTTAAGTCGTAGAAGTATATCGTTCAACTTCCGACAGGCTTATTACGTAAAAAAACCAATAATGTTAAAAAAGCGATAAAATGTCGCCTTGTTGACTGGATATCTGACAGTGTGCAAATAGGTCATTTCGCCCCTGCTACAAGTGAGCATGAAGAGAACGGCAGCTAGTTCCTGTAGTAAAACCTATATAATGCCATAAAAAGTGCATAGGTAATGTCAAAAAAAGCCGATATAATGCCACATTTTTCAAGTTACGTAATACTCTTGCCGCCGCGGGGTTATTACGTAAAAAAAACTACATGATGTCAAAAAAAACCGATAACGTGACTTGTTGACTAAGTATAGGCTAGTGTGTAATGCTTCTTTATTCCGCGATTGCTACAAGTGAGCATGAAGTGAACGACAGCTAGTTCCAAGTTGACGTCTTGTAAGAAAACCTACATGATATCATAAAAACCTACATATAAAAAAAACGCGAACTTCTTGTAGAAAAACCTACGAAATGTCATACCCGTGCCGGTCATGCATCCACCATTTTTTCGACGTCCTGTAACATGCCACTTCCACCATGTTTAAAAGAGTCGGTGAATCATTAGTGCCTGATAGTGATGCAAACAGGGCCGTGTAATGGCCCTTGGGCACATAAGAACTTGGGGCCTGCGGCTGAAGAGACCTGAGGGTAGAGCGAAGTCAGCGGCACTACTTCGCTATTATAAAAAAGTTTGAAGAACGGGGTGGGGTTGAGGTGCTGGGGTATGTTTTAAAAACCTTGTTTGGCGGGAAGGCGCCATCGAGCTAGATCTTTTTTTTTGACGTTCTTTACATATCTAGTACTCCTGGGGATCGCCGAAGCTAAGCAGCGTCGGGCGCGGTTTGTACTTGGATGGGTGACCGCTTGGGAACGCCGCGTGTCGTTACTTTTTTTGATTTTGCATGGCAGCATGCTTAATGTTTTTAGGTATGGTCGCTTACAAAGTTTTATGATTATATCGTGTCACAGCGCCGCTGGTATGTACATTCCACATTGACCGCCGAGTCAGTCACTGGTGACCAGAACTAGACTAGGAATAGGTATTCCAATGGTGTCATATCAGTCATCAGGACTGACACAACATGCCCAGATTTAACTTGTTATTTAGGACTGTGTCAGTCAAGAAATCTGTGAGATTAGGTTGTCCTGAAGCGGAATACATGGAAATAAATAAAATATGTATTATATTTATATACTCGAGTTTCTTAGGCTGGCTTCCGATGTGTTAATTGTACATACGTAGCCAGGCAATTCCATTTGAGTCATTTCAACACATTCTCTTTCTACTACTTCACATTATCTGAACTAATAAGTGTAATTTTATATTCAATATCTTGTGTTAAGTAGATCGACTCTATAATTCATATGCAGATTTTTGGTTTTGAAATAAACTATTTTGTTTTGAATTTGCATCATTTATGACAAAGGCAGAACTTGTTTCTTTTTTGTATTGTTTTCATAGTGTTTTAAGCATAGATTTCTCAGCTATTACAAAATTGCATCCTCAAAATACCTGTACTAAAGAACTACACAAAAATACAAATAAAACCACATAATTTTTATAATGATTTTATTGGAACCTTAATTACAGAAAAAAAAAAGATATTTATTTATGCTCCACCATCCCCAGCTGGCATGGACCTGATGATGTCACTATCTCCAGGATCTGTGATAGACATCGCACATACCCTGAAGTATTTTCCGCAGGCTGTTCCTAATTCTACATTGTTTCCTGTGTAGTGGTGGACACCAGTTTTAGCCAACATGGCATAATACTCAATTTCAGACTTCCTTAGTGGGGGAGTGTTGTTAGCTATGATGATAAGCTTTGCCTTACCTTGGCGGAGAGTCTGCAACAATATAAACATGACGTGAAAATAGAATTGCTATGCTTTGAAGTTTTAAAAAAAATTTAGAGTTCCGTAGTGCTAGATGCTGCTTTTATGACAAAAAAAGACAAAACACATGCTAGAAACGATAGCTTAGAATTGGTTTCGTACGTATTAACGAAGATATACAAAAAACTTACCTTTAGGGTCTGTTTATATCCTAAGCAGAACTTCCCGGATTTCATTACCAGAGCCAAACGGCTGTTTATGCTCTCAATGGCCTTTTTCTGTTTCTTCTGGGCTACCATGTTTGCCTTTAACAGATAAGGTTATGTTAACATCTGCAGTTTACTTTTTGCGATACAGTTACACCAATCTATGTAGGGTGCATGAATAATCAGCGAAATAATGTATTTGACTAATTACAGTAATATTAGTGATATTAAGATTAATATTTACCCCTAATAACGCTTCCACGTGCTCCTAGAAAGGTAGAAAATTGTAAAGAGAAACGTCAATAATGTCAACGAAACTTGACAATTTTGACAAATTACTTTTTTGTTGAAGGGTCTAGTTCAGAATGAGACGATAAGAAAAAGATGTCACTAAAACGTTCTGGGTACCCCGACCCGAGCTACATGCTAAATTTATGGTGTTCTTGTTCTATGACCACGATATTTTCATGCTAGATATATGTTTATATCCTGTTTTTATATTTATTCCCAGCTGTAACCCTCTTGGCAGAACTTTTGTTTATGAAATTCAAATTTCCTCCAAGTTTTCGCATTGCAGTATTTTGGCTCTGTCTGCGGTTTGTTATGTAGTTATTTGGAATAAGGATTGTATTTTAGAAGGATCAGTATGGGTGTCACAATTTTGACGCAGTTTCCAACGGAGAATAGGACGGGCCCGCAAACCATCGATGTGTTGTCCAAAAGAATTTCAGCCCTAGGGGCTTCGCAACAAGGCCAATTTCTCGTAGACTGTGAAACCTACACTTCTGCTCCCCAACTTGGACACCAGAGGATTGTACACGTTTTGCACAACTCGGAACAACCAGCTACAGTATTTTCAATCCTGGAATCTGGGACAAAAACTATTCCCTTGGCCACTGATGGTTTATTTGATCTTCTGATGATGAAAATGTCCAGCTTCTACACTTCCAAGAAGCAGACCAAAGCAGAATCGAAAGGACCACGCTTTGAAATCGGTGATTTCTGTGTTAAACTGGGAACAGTTACCATAAGCAGCAATTTTAAGGGTATTCTAGTGGAAGTGGAGTATAGACCTTGTGTTGTGCCTGTTATGTGTTGGGACCTTATGAAAGAATTTTTACAGGGATTTTTAGGCTTGTCTGGACCAACAAATCCACCAGCTTATTTGCAAAATCGAATGCAAGAAATTTATTCACCTTTAGATACAGTTCATCAGTATTTAGAACACTTCACTATGTTTAGAAAAATGCCTGGAGGGGTTGGAATGAGACCTTAATTATTTGTAGTTTTATTAATAAAAGGTTATAAAACATTATTCTTTACACATTATTTATATCCTCTATTACCTTAGCAAAACATTTTTGTTTCCAAATGAGGATCTAATTAGTTGAAGTTTGAAGCATTGCATATATATCTGTAACTATAGGACTACAGTGATTTTGTTTTCTGGCAATTAAATGTAAACCAGCTACCATATTTTGTTCATGCATTTGAAGGTAGCTCCAAAATGTGGTTTATGCTCTTGCGCTATTGCATTAAGCTGTTCTGCACACTTCATACATTCGTATCTAAAGCTATTTGTACACCTCGACTCACAACACAGTGCACACTACTCCCTGAAATCTAGAAAAAAAATGTCTTCATGAAAACTTGAAGAAATGGGATAATGAGTTCTCGAGGAATCAAACTGCATAACTGGTGCTTCATCAAAAATCAGTGATGAACATTCCTACAACACAGCTCCAAAGAAAGAAGCCTACAATGTACGCTTGATGTGTACTAGTGTGTTAATAAGTTTTTCAGGGATCAAGAGTACATATATAGAGCTATTATAATCAATTATCAAAAATTAGTGACGAACATTTCTACACCCACGATCCAATGAAAGAATCCTGACCGGTAAGGTGCATGCTACTCCCTGAAATCCAGAAAAGAATTTTTTCAATGAAAAGTTGAAGTGCTTTGAAGGATTGAACTACATATTTGGAGCTACTACATCTCAAAGAGGGAAGCTTGTTTTATACAGTGCACGCTCCTCCTTGAAGTCCTGGCAATGTTCCATGAAAATTTCATTAGTGCTCCAGGAATCAAAGTACATATCTAGTTAAAATGAAAAATCAGCTGGGAACATTCCTACAACACAGCTCCAAATAAAGAAGCCTGCCAATCCATCTACAACTTCATTGGTGAATAATGATTTTAACTAATGTTGAGAATTAAATACAGTCCACATAATTTATAAATAAATTTATATTACAACAAGATCAAACACAATGCATTCTAGAGGTATTTGCACATTTCTTAATGATGTGTCTCTCTGAAATATCTAAGTCCACAGTAACCACATGCATGGTTTCCTGGTTTATCCTACAACAAAAAGAAAATTAAGTATAACCATGAATGTAATTTATAGAAAGGTTGAATAACCTGTACTCTTTTTTTGAGCAAGTGATGGGTAGGGCAGTCTTCTCTTAAGCCATATATGGGTCCCTGGGCACATAGCAGCTCTGTGGCTGGAATGGTGCCAGAGTAAAGCAAAATCTGGGACACTGTTCATATCACTTTAGTCTCCACATTTGTACACTGATTTTGATGGATGAAAAAGGGATTTAACTTTTGCATACCAAGTTTATGTACACTTTTGGGTGACCAGTTGGACCACTTCCCCCATCACACCAGACAACTCGTTCCTTGCATGGTTTTGGTGGCACTTCTGCAATCAGGTCGATGGCAAAGTTGGGGTTTACGTGTTTTGGTCGATCTATAAACCGGGCTAATCTATAATCATCAGCATCCCATTTCTAAAAAGTTTATTCTGTTACATAATGTAATGTTCAAAATATGTTGTTCATTTAACCTGTCCAGTATGTGTTTCTTTTTCTTGTGGTACCCAATCAGAAGCACACCTGGCACTTGGTGTGGATATAATTCGTCGTACAATTGGTGATAAATTCCTTGCTTTGTTCATTTTTCTCCAATAACTTGTGAAGTTGAGTGTAATCAACTTGAATGTTGAATACCAATCCAGACTTCAAACTTCAAAAATCAATACAAACCACAAAACACATAAGACTGAAGAAGTGGGAGCTGCACGTTAAATGATGGAAGATGGAAACAACGTTGACCGTTGACGTTCGTCCGATGGTTGCGCTACCTGGAGATCGGCACGGGTATTACGTATTTTGAAAAGTGACATTAATCAAATCCAAGCGAATAACCAAAATTTCTGTGTTATGTACCGCGGTTATAATATGGTTCAAGATGACACACGGGTTGATGACGTCAGTTACACGAATCGCTTGAACGCGTTGGTTTTAACCGCGGTTTTGTTGCAAGTTGTTTATTTTAGAAACGCGCGTATATAATCTCTGATTATCTTTATTATCACTTAATAATAGGTGCTTTTTCGTCTACAACTGTATATGGAAAGTTTAAATAAGAAACCTTTCATAATATTCATGGGAGAAATGTTTTTTTTCAGATTTTTTTTTAATGATGGAACCATGGCTTTGTAGCTATGATAACTTTCAATTCTCTAAATTTTTCCGCATGTCAAAGAAAACATTTATTGATTCAGCAGAAATGATGAAAAAAGAAATTAGCAAAACCGTATACAGGTGGATATCATCTAGTGAGTTTATATGGCCCTATTTTAATATTCTTGTGGTATATGACTACACAGGATAATTTTTTAAGCATAGGAACTACATTTAAAGTGTCCCCAACAACCGTAATGAGTATAACTAATAAAGTGCTCCACTTTATGGTAAAACTGAAGTCAGCCTGTATCAATTTTCTCAAAAATGAAGCTGAAGTACAATAACAATATCCAATACCCGGCAAAATTCTAACTTGTCACATTTCAAATAATAACCAGAAATATAAAACTACTCTTGAGTTGGGTAAATACCACAATTTTGCGGTGATAACTATGACATATAACAGCTGATTCGTGACGTCACGGATCTTATAACCAAACTGATAACTACACTCGCTTGAACGGATTGGTAAATACCAAGCCAAAATGGTAAATACCATTTCCATTTGGTTATCCGCTTGAATTTGATTATTATGTCGATATTTTTTGACATTGTATTGTTTTTTTGTGACATTAATCAAATTCATGCGGATAACCAAATGGAAATGGTATTTACCATTTTGGGTTGGTATTTACCAATCCGTTCAAGCGAGTGTAGTTATCAGTTTGGTTAAAAGATCCGTGACGTCACGAATCAGCTGTTATATGCCATAGTTATCACCGCAAAATTGTGGTATTTACCCAACTCAAGAGTAGTTTTATATTTCTGGTTATTATTTGAAATGTGACACGTTAGAATTTTGCCGGGTATTGGATATTGTTATTGTACTTCAGCTTCATTTTTGAGAAAAATGATACAGGCTGACTTCAGTTTTACCATAAAGTGGAGCACCTTATTAGTTATACTCATACGGTTGTTGGGGACACTTTAAATGTAGTTCCTGTGCTTAACAAAGTATCCTGTGTAGCCATATACCGCAAGAATATTAAAATATGGCCATATAAACTCACTAGATGATATCCACCTGTATACGGTTTTGCTAATTTCTTTTTTCATCATTTCTGCTGAATCAATAAATGTTTTCTTTGACATGCGGAAAAATTTAGAGAATTGAAGGTTATCATAGCTACAAAGCCATGGTTATTTAAACTTTCCATATACAGTTGTAGACGAAAAAGCACCGATTATTAAGTGATAATAAAAATAATCAAAGATTATATACGCGCTTTTCTAAAATAAACAACTTGCAACAAAACCGCGGTTAAAACCAACGCGTTCAAACGATTCGTGTAACTGACGTCATCAACCCGTGTGTCATCTTGAACCATATTATAACCGCGGCACATAACACAGAAATGTTGGTTATTCGCTTGGATTTTATGTGGGTTTTTCTACAAGATTTTAATTTAGCACTAGCTGATGGACACGTTGTGATCTCGTTTTGTAGTTGTACGTATTGCCTAAACGTCATGAGGCTTCAGTTATCAATGTTTGGCTCTGATGTGATGTAAAATCTGCTTCAGAGACGGCATTACTGGAGGTCTAGGCTGTAAGTTGTATACTGTAGCAAGGACACGGCTATGCATAGGTGCATAGTCAGGATTTGTGCGCTAATAATATGTGTTGATGATAATTCCACTGGATTCTTGTCTCAAATAGACTCAAAGCTAGAAATTAGTTGCGCATCCACTTTTTCTTATCCATTCTAGAAATTACATATTATGCAAATTTGCTGAACTTAAAAAATGAGAGATATAAGTATTATATTCACTGTACACTGTAGAATTACAAGTAATATAGGTACATGCCAACAGTAATTACACACAACGCGGGCGCGCTATTGATTTCCCGTAATTCTCAAAGTTTTTGAAAACACAAAAAGACGTAAAAAATTGTAATTTATAACTTTGAACATAACCTGTCTTCAGAAAAGACAACATATAAATAACCCGTCGGGCTCAGCTAATAGATATACTTTATTGACAGCATATTCAGTAATGATTTTCTCACACAGCAAATATCATTGATTTATTACGCATGCAAATACACATATCTAGATGCGATCTTGCTATTCAACCAACTTTCTTCTCAGATATGAAAACTACAGACTACTCGGCTTCACAAAACATATGCAACCAACAATGCGTTTAGTTGAGTCAAAACGACCTAGTCTGTAAAATGACTTTTATAGGTTTTTTTGACGTTTTATAGGTTTTTTCCATAATACCCCTGCGGGAGGAACTAACGAAAGAATGCCGACAATTCGCCAAGTATAAGGAATGCTACGAACGTGCTAAGTACTTCGTTTAGGATTACGAGTACTTCATGAACATATATTTTATAAAATATGACCAATAAAGGTAATATCTCTTTCAGCACTTTTGCTGAGAACAAGGCAACAAGGATCAAAATGATAAAATCTAACACTAATTATGAAGCACAAAATATATTTAGTTTCAAAAAATAATCATTGACAACGGTATAAAAATTGTACTATATGAAAATATATATAGATCTATTCCAAATTCATGTTGTGAGTTGCAGAGCACAGGTGTCTCGCTTCATTGAATTGCCTCTTGATAATTCTAAAATACCTAATACAGAAAACACTAATGTAATTCATAACTCTTTGCAAATAAGCTAGCCGCTTTTAATTAGTTTGCTCAGTTCTACGCCTTTAATTTGTTGGCCTAAATGGGCAGAATTTTCCTTTATAAAGCCTAGGTCTTTATGACTATACTCTGCCGATATTACCATGTCTTATTTAATACAAAAACAACTTCCGTGCTTGACATAACGGTGTCAACTACAAGAGGCTGAATCCAGATAGGCAATTTTATCTACAAACTACATCATGCCGATATGTTAAGTTCACATCCTATCTGTAGCACTTCATGACATAACAGAGTCTCATGAGCTCCTGCTTCTTCCACAATAGTCACAATACACCTCACTTATGTCATCACAGCTACTGATAGTGTTGCTTTATATTTATATACTAATTTTTAACGGAATATATCCGAATGCATCAGATTTAATAATACGGATATTAACCAAAACAAATGCCATATTTGATAATTTTTTTATTTAATTTTAGATAAAGATAGAGAATCCTGGCAAGCAGCACGTCACGTGATGCCGGTAATGCACTTTCCTCGATTTTGCCTGGAGAAGATGATCTTACGAGACGACCGACCCTTTCTTAGCAGCGTGATGTGTTGGATTAAGATTGAAGGCTGGCTAAAAACTTCGAAGTTCAAAGATTTCAAAATTCCTTTGTTTCTATGAAAATGTAAGGCTTGGCAACGTACGATTCAATTGACGGATGATTTGAGCCCCATCTATACCATCATATAACTTTGACGGACCATTTTTTCCATTAGTTGTGACATGCAGCTGGTTGTCAGTTGTCATTATAAAAACTTTGGGGTTGTTGCTGTTTTATGACTTGTACAATAACAAAATAGTTGTGTTTTTACCTCTTACCTTTTTATATGGTATATATTAATTAATTTATAAAACCTGCTAAACGTCTTGGAATTATATAAATATATTAGCAGTTACTGAACGATGGTTATTCAAAGCAGTATTATATTAAAATGTATGTATTTTAAACGCAAAACTTTATAGCATTTTATGGACTATTTCCTGTTTCCTAGAACACATTGTTAGTAGACCTATTATTGGTAATTGTATGATTATCTGCATCAAATCGTATTACAAAGCTGCTGAGCTAGATTTGTTTCTTTTAAATCACTTTCACTGTTTTGAAGTAATTAAAATTCAGTGCAGGTGCTGTATTATTAGATTGTTTATACTCCCAAATGTTCTAAACATTATGCAATGTTCTACTGTTTGGTGAATTAATTATCAACTCTCGTATAGGATATCTCGCATCCTGGTGATGTCAGATCTACTTTGATCCTTCAACAGTTCACAACATTGAATTGTTATTGCTATATTATTCTTAGTAAACACACTGAAAAAAAAAACAATCAGTCTCCTCTCATGTTTTATTTTATTTACTCTACATATTCCATGATTCAGAATAGTGTTGCATTTTTATAGAATTACAAATTGATGAATATCGGTAGAACATATTAGACACAGCAATGTCTGAGGAAGGCTTAGACTGGTTGGGAAATATTCTGGTAGAAGTACAGCTGAATCAATTCCTTGTTCCCATAAGAGATGATTTACAAATTACAAGGCTTGAACATTTTGATTTTGTCAAGCCTGAGGATCTTGAGTCTATAGGAATAAGCAAACCTGGTAAGCAAACCACTTGTTGAATATATGGTATATGGGCATGTGATTTGGGCTTTCAGTGTCAAATAAGGAAAACATTCACAGGGACAGATAATATTTTGATTTTGACCGCTTTCATAGCTGCTAGGGGAAAATGTGTAGCCAGGGGTTGATACTTCAACTATGAGTAAGATATTTTAAATGTGATATTAATACTGTTAGCAAAATAAATAGTTCTTTATTAAAAATAGTAAGCCTTCATTCGTCTTGAAACAAGAGAATTGTATAGATTGAGAGCTTACAGACCTTCAGGATAACAGTTGTTTAGACGCTAGAACTTCTTTTGGAACTAGGTTGCAGCCAAGGCTTTTATTATATAGAATAGTTCTTATTGTGAAGAAATTACAAAAAAAAGTAGGAAAAGGTTAAAGAGTAGGAAACCCAGTTGACATGAAAACTCTAGAGCAGTGACACCAAGGTAGTGACAAAAACATACCTACAATACCTCAAAAAATATTAAGATACATTATTAAATTATTGTATCTGATTCATTATATTTGTATTCAAGAATCATTGTTTTTAGTTACCAGGGTATACACTGGGACCAACTATGCATTGAGCAGTGCAAATTGCAAAACTGTCGCATGAAAATATCCAATTTGGAATGTGCCAGGAGAGGGTTACACAATTCAACCATTAAACACATACTTTTTATGTTTTTACAAATGTTCAGTGTATCTTTTCATAAAAATATGTTATAATGTGTACTTAGCAATACACAGGGTAGTATTATATTGTTATACCAGTACATATACAGCAACTTGCTGATATTTTGTAGTTAAAATCGGGGAATGGAGTACAGATATTAATTTTCACACTTATTGTGCCTTAGTTTTACTAATTAACTTAATTTTATCATGTGTTTCAAATGAAGCATGATATTTCATACTATCTATCTAAATCTAAACATAATCGTCGCCTTAGAAGAAGACCGTCACAACTCGAAAAACACATTTTTTTATTTTTTTCCACGGAACAACTCAAAAAGATGCCTAAAGTTTGGAGAAAAATTGTTATAAATTGATCTCGACTACTTGCCGCGAGATGGCGGAAGTGTCTCTTTGGATCTACCAAATTTCATCGTAAGATTACGCGGAAGACCATCACATAGCCAGTTGTGTCTTGAACTCCATACAGTGTGGTTCGTTTGATTATAGAAAATAGTCACATTTCGACAAATCCGCGGAGTACAGTGATTAGTTTGGTGGTAGAGTGTCATATTTTGTTTTGGAACAGTCTTCTCCATAAGGTAAGTAAGTCTTGTATTAAGGCGTTTTGGTGGAATACAGTTATATCTTGAATTAGTTCACTATTGACCTGAATTTTGTATCTTTTGCCTCATATATTTGCAATAAAACAGAACTATTTAGTGATATGACATTTTTCCGGTAAAAGTAAAAAGCAAGTTCATGTATTGCGACTATAATATTTTGATATATAACAGTATCGTTCTTAGGAAATTGACCATATTGGTTGTAGTTTATAGTTGCAACTCAGATTGAAAGTGTCATTAATTGATCGAACACTTGCATATCATTGAGACTGTTAAGGATCTTACACCAAGTTTGGCTATAAAAATACTCTAAAAATAGGAAAATTCTTTAATTTTCAGTTCGATACTATAGTTTCTTTGATTAGCGATTGTGTCTATACGATAATCCTATCGAGAAACCTGATGCAATATTGAAGCATTTTAAGCTAAATATGTATTCGTATTCATTCAAGGTATACTATGGCCATTAGCAGCAGATCACGTTTGATTATGAAACTCTCACGTCAGCTGGAGCAGGACAATCAAGAATTTAATAAATGGTCAGTAAAGAACTCTGAGGCTACGAAGGCCACACAAGAAGCTACAACTACGTCTACAGACAAATCTATATCTGCTGTAGATACTGAAACATTTTCAGGTTGGTACTTTGCAATATAACACGTACTCAAAATTTATTTATCTGTATCTTTCAGTTGCGGACACCTTGAAAACTCCTACTTTACCTATTAATCTCACCAGATCAACTGACTATGTGGGAAAATTAGTCTTTCCTGGTAATATGGACAACTGCGCAGGTTAATATAATGCTAACAATTATTCTAACTCGGGTACCGAAAAAAAAGGGAGCAGCGAAACATAATTATTACACGCCCCCGTCTTTGGTAAGATAAAGTCGGTAGGCGGGTATCTCACCATATTAAAATGGGTTAGCATGGGTGTGCAGTGTTTTGCTGCTATCTTCCTTTTCGATGACAGAGTATAGCAGAGCATTCTTTTATTTTCAGTGGCTTCAAATATATCATCTGGTGAGGGTAATACCAAGGAGAACAATGGTTCTGGGTATTGTAGGAGAACTTAGAATGAAGGTATACCTAAATCTAGCTAATGAAATATTTTTTCCAAAACAATTTTTTTAGGAAGTGAATGTACAAATAGTGAGGGTGAACCTTATGGATCGGATGACTCGGTAGCGGACCCTGACTTTATAGCATCCGATGGCGAGGTACCAGATATAGAAAATAATCCAAGCTTGACGAACATTGAGGCTGAATATCAAAATGAAACAGTAACAGTTGGTGTTCAAAAAAGAATAGGACGAAAGCGGAAGTCAAACAAAGATGCGTGGCTGAAAAATTCTGCAAAAAGACTTCGAAATAGTGGTCAAGCATATCGGTCAGCAAAACAAGTGGAGCAAGTTGATGGGGCAAAAAAATATGTGTATGTTCAAAGAGATGAGAAAAAGATGGGACCTCCCTGCAATGATAAGTGTCGGCTAAAATGCTTTGAAAAAATAGGACCTGAAGCTAGAAACACACTATTTAAATCCTATTGGGAAATGGGTGACCTTCAAAGACAGCGTAATTTTATACTCTCCAATATGACGCCTATCCAACCAAAATACAGATACGAGAAAGCTGACAGTTGTCGTCGTCTCAACAATGCCTTTTATTTGGGAATCGGAAATGAAGGAAGAATCAGAGTTTGCAAATATTTCTTCATTTCAACCTTAGGCATCAACTCTAGGGTGATACGAACTGTTGTTATGAAGCAAGAAAATGTATGCAGTGGTATGCTCAAAGTCGACTTAAGAGGAAAACATAAAAGTCATGTGACAGTTCCAGATGAACTCAAAAATGGTGTAAGACAACACATAATAAGCATTCCTAGAATCGAAAGCCACTATTGCCGATCGCAGACACAAAAAGAGTATATAGAAGGTGGAAAGACAATTTCGCAGCTTTACACTCATTACAAAAAAACTTGCACAGACCAAAACTTACCTTTTGTCAAATACTCTATGTACTACACCATTTTTAATACTGAATTTAATATCGGATTTTTTAACCCCAAGAAAGATCAATGTGAGCTTTGTCTTGCCTTTGCAAATGCAAATGAAGAGAATCGCTTACAAATGCAAGACCCATATAACGAACACATTACCGAGAAAGAGCTAGCTCGCGTTGAAAAAGCCAATGATAAGAATTCTGACAAAATTGTCGTTGTTTACGATCTACAGGCGGTTCTACCATGTCCATCCGGAGAGGCTCAGTCATTTTATTATGTTTCTAAGTTGAACGTTTTCAACTTTTCTATGTTCCGCCTACAAACAAAAGATGTTACATGTTACCTTTGGCATGAGGGACAAGGACATAGAGGTGCAAACGAAATCGGATCTTGTGTTTGGGACTACCTGGAGAATCTGGATCAAGAAATTGACTCGCTGGGCACAAATGAAAAAAAAGATGTAGTGTTTTATTCCGACAATTGCGTTGGACAGCAGAAAAATAAGTTTATGGTCGCACTGTATGTCTACGCTGTTTGTAAACTAAAGTGTATACAATCAATAACACATAAGTTCCTGACAGTTGGTCATACCCAAAATGAGGGTGATAGTGTACATTCAGTAATTGAAAGGCGGGTTAGAAGATTTAAGAAAAACGGTCCAATCTATGTACCTGAGCAGTACGTCAATATAATACGAGATGCGAGGAAAACGGGGAAACCTTATGCTGTTAAAGAAATGTGTTACCAAAGTTTTTTTGATCTCAAAGACCTCACTAGTCAGATAGGACTAAATATCAACAAAATTGCTGACGCTAGAGTAATATCTGTCAACAAAGATCAGCCTACAGTCATATTAATGAAATACTCCTTTGGTCAAGAGGAATTCAGTATAACCAACTTGTTTAACTCACGACGTAAACCTGTAAGCATAGAAGATTTACAATTAAAACAAGCTTATAGATCGAAGCCCGGAATAACAGATAAAAAAAAGAAAGGTTTGCTGTCTCTGATTTCAAAACCGGGCTACAAAAAAATCGCTAACACGACCGGTTCCCACGTATTATGAAGACTACTATAAAAACTTATGAATCTATTGTAGCCAGTTGTCATAAATTCAATAAAGTCTGTCAATATTATAACTTTCTTTGATTAGACCAATATATTACTCATCTAATATTTTTTGAGAAAAATAGTCACAACTATACTATTTTCAAAAATCTGAAGCGGTAATGCAAAATAGAAATAAATAAGTCTTTTTATACTGTTTCTGACATAATGTTATGTAACAGTATGTATTCTATCAGTGAATAACCTGTTAGAAAATTAAGATTTTGCATTACGAAAATAATGGAATCTTTAACCGGCTCTCACGAAAAAGCGCAAATTTTGAGTTGTATCAGTCTTCTTCTAAGGCGACTATATATTTGATTTGGCCATTGTTTTTTACCTTTTAACCTACTATTTGGATCATTTATTTCCACAATTTGTTTTCTTGGTAGAACATGCTCTTCATGCTGATAATTCTCCTTGTTTTCTGCCCATTAAATATGTGGTTTTATTTAATGGCAAGAAAACATGGAGTTTTTTATGAGTGTGTGTTTAATATATCTTGGTAAAATGGAGGAATTTAAAAAACACCCCATGCACAAATCTTCTGGAAAGGTTTCAGTAGGTAATACTATTCATTTTCCAACCATACTTAGCTCAACGAGATTTTGTGAGTTTACAAACATTTTGGAAAATAGAAGAATTGACTTGAAAAGAGATCTAAATCATCACTAATTTTTGACATCTATAGGAGCCAGGAGGTTACTTGAAGCTGTGAAGAAAAAAAGAGCGCAGCAAAAGAAGAAGAATCTTATAAACAAACTAATACCGGTATCAAACAAAACTACTGGAACAAAAAAGAATGAAGATTCTATGTTTATCAGTGATTTTACATCATGCCTCATACAAGAAAGCAATATATCATTATCAGTTAAGTTAGGGGATGGTAGCTTTGGTGTTGTCAGAAGAGGTGAGTTTTGACAGGCTTGGCTGATTTGATTTGTATAAATCAAGCTGTTTTGTTAAGAGTTTTGATGAGTATAAGCATTGAGTTACATATGCTACCTGAAGGAATTCAACTATACACTGTATTCTAGACCCAAAAATGGATCTGACAGATACTAGGCAGTAGCATAACACAAAAACGAATTTAGAAATCTACTTTGAGAGGAGTTGGAGTGTTTGGTTCTGCTACTGTCTCACAGCTGATGCTAGTATCATTATGATTTCTTTTTGTATACTGGAATACAGTTGTCTATCTTCAGGACTTCACGTAGATTATGTTAACTGATGGCATTGATTAACATATCTACTGGAAGATTAGCAACCTATTACTGTATTCGCGCGTCCAAAAAATTATCCGATCTGAAGTGAGAACCATAGCGTCATCTACGAAAATTTGAACATATCTATGTTTCTCCTCGCCGGAATAATTAGAAATAACTTTGAAAAGGCTTGTGACTCATAGATGGCCCTATATAGCTGGCTACAGTGCCATTTATGAGACACTAACCATTTCAAAGTAGATATCCAATTATTGCAGAGATGAGAAACTTACAAGTTCTCATAGATGGTGCTACAGTATCTCATTCTATCTCAAATATTTTTTCGGACGCGCAAATATAGTATTAGGTTGCCTATCTTCAGGTAGAATACATTAAGCAATGCTACTCATTAGTGGCTCCTATAAGGATTTTGTTAGTTGATGTATTTGACATATGGTGTTTAGTCTACTTTATAATGGGGCAAATAAATTATTGAATCAGTGTCTGAAAAATATGTGGAATTTTTTCAGGTGAATGGACCAGCCCAAATGGTAAATCAGTTCCTGTAGCTGTCAAGGTGTTAAAAGCTGATGCATTAAGTCAACCAGGTGTATTTGAGGATTTTATAAAAGAAGTACAAGCAATGCATGTGTTATGCCATCAAAACCTGATAAGGTAAAATGTATAGACCTGTGTCTTTGACAGTTTTTGTATAGATTTCCTTTGGACCAAGGTAATTTTACCTTCCTTAAAAAGGTATATAAAAGTTAGTCCAATTACTCAATCAATTATAAAATTATGATATTTACTATTCAGTAGCCCAAATATCAAAATATGATATTCAGGATCAAACTCTTCTAAAACCAAAACGTAGGTTTTTTTTTATTATTTCTCTATTTTTTGAGCTAGTTGTTCAATATAATCCCTACTAATATTATAAATGAGAAAGTGGGGATGTTTGTTACTCAATCCCGCCAAAGTGGCTGAACAGATCTGGATGATATTTGACACAGAGATAGATTGTCTGGAATAGCACTTAGGCTACTTTTCATCCCAATAAATAACTTTGAAATATCAATTTCACGGGATACAGCCCAAACAGCTTAATAGGATTTGACATGTGGTATCTGGCGCTGAAGCGCTCAGTTGTTGGACCAAACAAAGTGAGTAGGGTTACATAAATAAGGCATTTGCATCGTACATTTACTGAATTTCGACATTCGTTTTCTTAATGTAATGGTCTTAATTCAGATTTGTTTGTTTTGATTTAAGTCAGGTGTGATACTGTAAATAAATTGTTATTATAATGGATAGTTAAGCGAGGTTGCTTATAAGCTTAAAATACTATTCTTAGTTGTTATTAAAAGTCTCGGTCAATAAATATGACATTACGATTGATATTGTTAGTTGTGTGCTTTACGTGCTATTGTAGTTAAATTAGTCATCTGCTTAGATTTGTGTGATTTATTATTACTTGGTAGTTTTTACCTAGAAAATGCAAATCTAATATTTCACAGAGGATTAATAATGCTCTTGCCATAAAGGTAGCTCCCTAAAAATGGAAATGCTACAAATAATACAATGTATAACATTGTTTTCCAAAATGCCTCGAAATTAATGTTAAATAGAATGACAACTATATGTTGTACATATAAGATGTGTCACACAGGCTGTGAAATACAAGGTCTGTAAATTAAGTGATGAGACTGATTTATTCTTAATTTTTTTTCGAATATAATTCCAGTTCTATATTGTCACTCTCAAAATAACTTCCTTCTGAAGCCACACAGTTCTGGAGACGTTTCTTTCACTCCTCATAGCAGTGCTGGTTGCTTACAGCAGTTTGCATGTTTTCGTCTGTCCCAAAATGAGTTCCCTTCGAGAAGAGAAAAAAGCCACAGGGACTCGAGTTCGTCAGGCAAATAAGGAGGTTGAGGAGCCACAGGAATGTTTCTACTGGCCAAAAACTCGTTTATTGAGATTGCTGTGTGACTAGGAGCATTAGCGTGATGCAACACCCACGTCTTCCTGATCTGATGAACGGTGAAGTGAGTAAAATTGCAGTGCGCCCAAGTCTCAAGCAAAACCTAATATCGCAATGTCACCCATTTTTAGAACACAATACAAAAAACTGTTTCACAAAAAAAAACGCTACGACAACCAAATGACTCGAGTGAGTTCTGTACTGAAGGCGGATCACATATCATATCTCCTCCCAAGCTTGGTGCCTCCAGGTGGTCGAACGCTACATTGCCAGTATCATCACTTAATTTACAGACTTCGTACTTCGCACACTAATACTAAATACAAATTAATTTATTGTTGAATTAAAATGCTGAATAAATAAAGATTATCCCCAGAGTTACCATTGCATCACTTTGAAATTAGCATTTCTGTGTCCAAAACCAGTTTCCTTCACACCAATGCAGAAACGAATGACCTTTACAGTAATTCACGCGAGCTTAGCCGCGGGCTTAGTCTAATAGAAATTAATAAAAATGATTTCTATCGAATGTTCTTTTGTTTATAGATTGTATGGGGTAGTTCTGTCTCAACCAATGATGATGGTAACTGAACTAGCACCTCTAGGCTCTCTTTTAGACTATCTAAGGAAGCAGTGCCAAAACACTCCCGTGCCAATGTTGTGTGAATACGCCACTCAAGTAGCAAATGGCATGGCATATTTGGAAAGTAAAAGGTTCCTTCATAGAGACTTAGCTTGTAGGAATGTTTTACTTTCTGCAGTTGATAAGGTCAGTATACAAATTGCTGCTGATAAAGATGAAAGCATAATGCACTTATTTGTTAGGTGAAAATAGGAGATTTTGGCCTGATGAGAGCTCTGCCACAAGAAGAAGACTGCTATGTCATGACTGAACATAAGAAAGTGCCATTTCCATGGTGTGCACCAGAATCTTTGAGGTCTAGGCAATTTAGTCATGCTTCAGATACATGGATGTTTGGAGTGACAGTTTGGGAGATGTTCACCTTTGGGGAAGACCCATGGATGGGGTTGATAGGTATGTTGTGATACTGCTTATTTGCTAATACATATTTGTACGAAAATAAACGTACCATGACAAGTTTAGATAGACTAGGGTTAATTCAGAGGTCGGTTTTTAGGTTCGGAAATCTTACGAAAGATACTAAAAGAAGGAGAACGTTTGGCACACCCTGATGCTTGTCCTCCAGCCATATACTCAACTTTATTGCAATGTTGGAGTAGAAATCCACAGGACCGACCCACTTTTGCAGCTTTAAAGGATTTTTTTAGGAGAAATGTTACACCTGTGATGAAAGCATTGGGTAGGTCATTGGGTATGAGTTTGTAGTGTGGGCTCAGTCAGTAACTTGGTATTGTGCATGGTATCTAAAAAAGTTCATCACAAAAATTGTAGCCAACACAGTATGCTTCTTAGAAAATATTTTAATCTCTAAAAGGTGATTACATACATTTTTTCAAATGAAAAACACTTCATTTTGTTGCAAATCTGTATAGGCGGATTCAAACAAAGAAATATATAACATACTATAGGGTTTTATTTATTAAAAAAGATATTGCATAATCTAATGGAAAAAACACTCATCTTTGACAACTAGGATCTCCTCGACAATCATAGATAAATTACTAAATTTCACGCCAGCAAAATTTTATTATCCCATATTTTTTCCCTATCAATCTACTTTTTCAGTTTTTAATAGTTCATACAGCGTGGCCAAGAACGCAAAATGAACAATTTCTCAACATTTTTTTACTGGAACACCCTGTACATTTTTTATTTTTCTTTACAAGAGTTTATTTCAGTATAAGGTTTATGGAGGTTTGTACCACTAGTTTTAGAGAGTTACACCTAATCTTTTTGTAAACCAGATATCAAGGTAAATGAGAAATATTTATCTCAAAATAAAAATAGCATTTAATTGGTAAGCCCTTTCATTTGATATCTATATCATGGCGGTTACTATGGAAATGATGAATCGCCATTTTTTAGCACCCGCCATATTGGATTCGAAATGGCGGCATTTAATTCATTACGTATTCTCACTCAAACCTCACGTGAATACAAAATTTTAGCTTGATTCAAGGTTAACTAGTTCAAAATTCAGTTCCAACCATCGACTTTACCTTGTTTCAAAGTCGATGGTTCCAACATTTTGTCCCACACATACATTCTAAGATGCAAACAGGTCAAGTTAACAGCTTGTAAAAGGTTAGCTGTAACTCTAAAATCAGTTGTACAAACCCCTTCAAGTCTGATTTCAAAAGAATGTAAAAATATACGGGGTGTTCCATTTGAAAACTTCGACGAATATTTCATTTTGCGTTATTCTCCACTCTGTATAGACTATCAAAAAAACTGAAAAACTGAGTAGATAGGTAGAAAATAAGGGATCATAAAATGCTTCGGACAAAAAAAAAACAGTACTCTGCTATAACAGTTCCAGGAGTGCGAGTTGTCAAAGTTGAGTTTTTTTTTTCGATAGATTGTCAAATATCTCAACAATGGAAAATGAAATCTTATATGTAATATGTTATGTCAAATTGCTTCTTTTGAATGGGCCGCTCGAAATCTAAAATATGATATAGGCCATTCCATATAAAACATGTATGCTTGAGTCAGAATGTAGTTATGAATCACCCTGCAGAGACAGAATTATTTTCCAAGTCATGAGCATATTGTTGGCTACAATATTTGTATGGAACAGTTTTAGATACCATGCGTAATAACAGAGCTATCGACCGAGCACATACTAAAAACTGCGTAGAAATCGACTAATATTTTTATTTGTTGTTTCAGGAAACCTGGATGATCAAAACAAATTGAAAATAAATGAAGGTGATGAAATAGCAATAATAGATGGTAGTGCTGAACTGTACTGGTGGAAGGGCCAGCATCAAAAGACATTTGAGATTGGGCTATTTCCTAGGTGCTTAGTGGACCCTCTGAGACCTAAGCAGCCAGAAGATATTAGGTAAATAACCAAAAGGGTGGTAGGGTGGTTCTTGGAAAACAACACTTAATCTTCCCTGTTATGGGTGGCTAAGCTATTTCTTAAGTGATAGTCTTATTTTTTATCGATCTACCTTGTATAAAAAATGTATTTTGTAATAATCATCAAAAACAAAGCAATCAGGGAATAATTCCTTCAAATTTCCATGCTCAGAAAACATGTACAGGGTGTTCAAAAAGTTTCTGACTCCACATACTTATCCGTCAAATTTTAACGACATATGCACTGTTATGAAAGAAGTTGATTTCTAAAAAAAAAAAATGTGATAAAATTCCTACAGAAATCGAGATAATGAAATAATACAGTTTAACAGTGCACTTACTTATAAAAGCTGTTCAAAATTGTTTCCATTGACTGCAATGCAAGCTTGGGCGCATCTAATCCAATTTCGGCGCACTAATTCAAATACACCTCCTTCCTGCTGTGCCTGAAGATTCAAATTATCGGCAGCCACTGTGATTCGGTTACGATATTCTTCAATATTCTGAACTGGAGTACGGTATATCTCGTTTCTCAAGTATCCCCATAAAAAGAACTCCAGAGGATTTAGATCGGGAGACCGTGGAGGCCATGCAATTGGTCCACCTTTTCCGATCCAGCGTATCTGGTATACCTGATTCAAAAAATTACGAACTTCTGAACGAAAATGCGGAGGTGCCCCATCGTGCAGAAACCATATCCGTGCTCGGACCGCCACTGGAACATCTTCAAGAAGGACCGGCAAATCATTCCGAAGAAATTCCAAATACTGGTGACCATCCATCAGATCTGGCAATATGAACGGTCCAATTAGACGTTCATCGCCAATACTTGTCCACACGGTTAAAGAAAAACGATGTTGGAAGTGTGTCTGGACCACTGCGTGAGGATTCTCAAAGTACCAAACGTGTGTATTATGAAGATTCGTTATCCCATTACGAGTAAAAATAGCTTCATCAGTGGCCAAAATATCAGCTGTAAAACGGGCATTTCGAGCATTTTCTTGCAGCAACCACTCACAAACTCTTACTCTTAGGGGGTAGTTTGTAGGTAGCAACGGCTGGACTCTCTGGACGAGATAAGGGTACAATTGGGCCTCATGTAATATGCGCCACGCTGTAGCATGTGACACTTTCGGGACCTGTTGGGCTAACTGCCTTGTGCCTATTCCCGTATTTTCTTCCACAATATCCAAAATTTCGTCTTTGGCGTGTTGTGGGCGAACCCGACCCCAATCCACTCCACGTCTGGGGCGCAAATCTCCGCGTGTGCACGTAAAACAATTGAACTAATTGTTTCGTGATGTGGTATGTACCTATTCGGAAATTGGTGTGCATACAACCGAGAAGCCGCTCGTGAATTCTGTCCTGCTTCTCCTCATTAGTGTACATATGTGCCATTTTTATTAATAAATAACTAAGAACATAAACTCGCAAAATACTTTTTTATTTAACTTCACAAAAATTGACCGTTCTTCATTCAGATCACCCACGATGAAGATTAAACCGTATTTACACGTTCTTATCAGTATGAAAAAACAAAAAATTCCTGGTATTTTGGTTTCGTCAGTTGTTTGGTACAAAATTTGCTACAACACATTATTAATGCGTGTTCTAATATCGCGACGATGAACGCAAAATACAGATATTTATTTTTCAATTTATTTGAAACTCGGGTTTATAACTTAATTTCTGTAGTTCTTTTATTAATTTTTTTTTTGAGAAATCAACTTCTTTCATAACAGTGCATATGTGGGTAAAATTTGTTGTAGAACACCCTATATATCTCAGAATACACTGCTCAAACAAACGATTGTCAAGTCAAAAGTTGCAGGGTTTTGAGAGAACAATCCAATTCCGACCTTGACCATATAGGAAGAGCGAAAAACTTTATGTTCAAGTAAAATTTTACGTTTAGAAAGGGCCTTGACCATAACCCTGACAACTTTTCAGACAATTCAGAAGTCAACTTGAACATTTAAAATGAAACCATAATCTACGGCATACAATATAGGTTTTTTAAGGGAAATTACATCTGTAACTAGAAGTCATTTGGTTAGTTGTTTTTTTTTCACACCAACGTTTTATGAATATAAAGACATATCCAGTAATATAATCACATGTATTTCTATGTACATTGAAAGTAATGTCTTCCCTCTACAATTATTATATCTGCTGCTGTAAACAAAACATCTATCATATGGTACTTTCTTTGGATCATCTTCATTGGTTTAAAAGCAATCTAAAGCATTAACGATTCTGGCCCCAGAACTTGGTTGTTGTTTCTGATGAGTAGCCTACAAAATCACGTGAGCTTTTTAGAATTCATCAAAGAACTTGGAAGAATTTCCAATATTCACAGCTCAGAAAACTATTTGTACACCCTCTGTGTTTAGCTCACAAGCATTTATAAATATTAAGCATTACTTTTTGGTCATCAGTAAGCCTCTGAAGAATTCGTTCATCCACACCGGACATGGATCTGCGTTTGGTGAATCGTGGGGCAGTCCTTCGCATATCGACGAAATGTACCTTAGAAATCCGATGGAGCCTCCTGACGTCACAGGGATGCAGCGGCTGCCACAACCGTCACCTCAGCTATGCGACAGAAGAAAATCCTTGTCCAAAAACGGTTAGTTGGAATGTAGCTCTTCTATTTTTAAGTGTGTCTCACTTGAAATAATTATCTTTTAAAATGCACCTTTGAAATTGCACTGTAAATAAACTAAATAGAGATGCTTGACTAGAGATGCACTGAGTGGTACTTCAGCCAGATTCGAATACCCAGTACCGAGTACTTCTTGAAGTGATTACTGCTGTTACTATCAGTAATATTAAAATTATATTTGAGTTTGATGCTAATAATTTATTTACTTTTCCAACATTTGGACGATGTTTTGTAAGTGAAGCGCTGTAATAGGATAGTGCATTTTCGATACTTTTAGTTAGTTCTATTATTTGAATATTCAGAGTCTAGGTGCTTCGATACCCTATTCGTAGTCCATTTACGCCCCGACACAACAAAGAAACAGCGCGGCAAAGCGGCGGCCGCCTAATCGTTGCAATAAGTATTGGTCATACGGGCATAAAACTACGATCAAGTCCAGGATTCGACACTATAGAACTCAGGCTCGGGGTATCCCCGGCACGCGGATGCCGGCAATTGCTGTTCATATTCGGTGCATATATGTTAGCATGTCGTCTACGGATACAGCAGATGAAACAATATTTCTCCCAATGCTCCCTTCAGCCATGCTTCCTCTTCAGTGATGTCTCCTCCCTGAAAACGTGACTAGAAGGGACATTTAAACATTCAGGCAAAAGAAATTTAAGAGCATCCTGAAATGAAAATGCATTATAATTGAAAGACGCGTTGCGAACAAAACGGGCTTATGTCCTAAGACAATTTTCAACAATGTTAAAGAATATAAAAAAAAAAAACAAAAAATTGTCTCCACCACACGAAGCTGTTGGATACAGTTGATAACTTTGACCGGAATGCCATCAGGAACTTTCCACCATAGACGAAGTATTACAGGAGGTTAATAGTGATGAAGACTTACCTACTTTCATTTTGAATATAGAAAACGGGGCAGAAATAGTATTTTGATGAACATCCAAGGGATTATTTTATGGAGAAGAAATTATTTAAAATCAATAAAGAAATGCCGCAACCAGAGCAGGAAGATTTATTACTTGGATTAAACCTGGATAAATGCAGGACATACAAGACCTAAAGTATGGGCTGACTACAATTAAATCAGCAAGGCAAGCCTTCTTAGATGGACTAACCACTGACCTAAAGAATCCGAAAGGTACGTGTATCTAACCAATTCGTCATTTGTGTTGTAAAAATGGTGTCAAGTAGACTGAATCTATGAGGCCGCGCTGAAAACTTAGCTATATCTGGTAGATTTGGAACCAACATCTGTTAGATACTCTGTATTATTATTAGTTTCCTTGAATACCCTAGGGTGTGCCATCTTTTATGTCGGTATGTAAACATGAAATAACTTTGAAAACGAAAAATTGATTTCTATATATCTATTTATCGGGTCCTTTACAATTTATTGGGACTAGTTTTGAACACAACATCTATCAAGTGACCACCTTTATGGGCCAAAACAAAATGTGCTCGTTTTGCTGCGTTTTCCATTACTTTTTCGAGCATCTCTGATGGTATAGCGGCGATTGCGGTTCGAATGTTTGCCTTGAGTTCTCCAGTGGTCTGGGGCTTGCTGGCGTACACTTGACTTTTTAAATAACCCCACAAGAAGAAGTCCGGTGGGGTCAAATCTGGAGACCTGGGTGGCCTGTCAATGTCACCTCTTTTGACATCAGGCGTCCAGGGAATTTTCGTTGCAGGAACTGGATTGTTTCATTTGCAGTGTGGCATGGCGAACCGTATTGTTGAAACCAGTAACCATCAAGACCTTTTTCACGCACTCGTGGGCAGACATAATGAGCCAACATCTACCGATATCGATTTCCATCAACTGTTTCGTTTTTGTTGAAGAAAAATGGCCCAATGATGGTTTTGGCGCAAACGCCGGCCCAAACAGTCACTTTCCGGTCATGCAACGGCATTTCGTGCATCTCATGTGGATTTTCTGTCCCCCAACTGCGGCAGTTTTACTTATTAACGCCGACAGAGACCGTGAAATGGGCCTCGTTGTCCATCACAATTTGCTTTCAAAAATCAGGTTCAGCATCAACTACGCGAGCGACCGTTTGGGCGAATTCCAAGCAACGCGGACGGTCAGTTGGCAATATTTTTTGTGTTAACTGCACCTTATAAGGAAACAAATGCAAATCATCCTTCAAAATGCGCCGCAACGTGGTTCCACTGATGCCAAAATGCTGAGCGCGGTGACGATACGACACTTTTGGGTTCTGGGCAACGCTGTCCCTGACCGCTTTAACCAATTCATTGGAACGTCTTGGTCGTTGATGAACGGTATGTTGACGATCTCCCACTGTCCCTTACTCAAGAAAATTCGAAACCAGATGACGGATAGTGTTGTCAGACGGTGCCTGTTGGCCACGATATTTTCGACGATATGTACGTTGCGTTAACAGAACTGATGGACGATTTTCAATGTACATTGTGACTATGTCGGCACGTTGTTTCGGTGTAAACCGATTCATGACTAAAATTGTAGTAAATTGACGATTTAGAAACACGTATAACCAAATCACTCGGTTGGTAAATATCAAAGTCATTCGATGTTTCAATACCGACATAAAAGATGGCGCACCCGGTATATGAAGTCATTATTTCCCGGAAAAGGAAAACGATTTGTTATCTGTCACATTGGCAGTGAAGATGGCTCTGTGCCCACTGCCCTATGGGCATTTGAGTCGAAGAAAACGACCGACTACCATGAAGAAATGGACGAGAGTTCGTTTGAACGATGATTTGAAAAAACGCTCCGAAAGCTTGACGACAATGCCGTCATTGTACTTGATAATGCTGCATATCACACCAGAAAACTAGAAATAATTCCCACAATGTCCACAAGAGAGGCAGAAATTCAACAATGGCTTCTATCAAAACACATTAGTTTCAATGAAAATATGGTTAAAGCAGAATTTATTCACCTAGTCAGGCAGCACAAATATAAATATAATCTTAATGTTATTGACGAAATGGCTAAAAACCAAAATAAGACCGTTTTAAGGCTACCCCTTATCAGTGCCAATTAAATCCCATTGAAATGATTTGGGCAAATATAAAAAGTTATGTGGCTTCAAACAACAAAACGTTCAAATTTTCTGACGTGAAAAATTTGTTTTATGAATCTGACAACAGAGTGACGGCAAACCATTGGAAAGATTGCATCCGTCACGTTCAAGAGATAATCGACACAAAGATGTGGGATCTGGACAATATGATCAATATTCAAATTGAACCTGTAATAATTAATATTAACCATTAGGACGATTATTCAAGTACTTCCAGCAAATGAAGAATTGTGAACAGTATGTGCACTTCTTTCTATAAAAATAATCATTTATTTTTTTAGATTATACCAAGGCCATTGAGGAAAATTCGGACCTGTAGAATCGCGCTTTTGGGCATGTTATGTTTTGTCTGGACGTAAATGGACTACAAATGGGGTATAGTTATATATTTAGATATCTGTGGAATACTCTTTAATCTTCTCTATTACGAGAAGCGCATTTTTAAGGCAATACTGAAGGACGGTAAATTTTAACTTGTGGAACGGAAAGAGTCGTAAATGGAAGCCTTACTTCATAAATTTGACATTTTGAATACACATTTTTGTTCAAGGTTGGCAAGGACAGGCGTCAGGCCTGATGCTTTTTAATATATATATATATATATATATATATATATATATATATATATATATATTAAAGAACAGAATAAAATCCATGTTATACCATGGCCTTCACGAAGAAACAAATTGAAACTGCTGCTGCTACTTGATGTCGAGGTGGGACCAATTTAGATTTGCTTAAAACGATACCTTAAATTATCTTTACGTACGTTGCAGAAACTCGGGAAACTCGTAATGCACCTTACTATTCGACTTTGTTTATGTGTTTTGTTCATTTCTTTTATGGCTCTTGTTATTTTTTTAATGTTCTTAAGAAAGATAAAAGAGCAATTAGGAAATTCAAAAAAGGCAATGCCACAATAAGGGTTCAGGTTGTACAGACGCAGTAGCTGCTCCATGCACTCACAGCGTTTTTTTTGCACAAAAAAAAAAAAAACGTAGTAGTAACATCCCGTTTACAAAAAGTAACCCATGGAAATACGATAAACACACTAGTTGACTGGATAATACGGTCCTGTAAAAATATGCTGTTAGCTTGAGTATTTTTGGATGGTGCGATAATATCTTGGAAAACATATAAGGAAGGTATGGAAAAAAGCATATGTGCTTAAAGTTTGCGCATCCCATCCGCAATTCTCCAATTTACACACTCGCGTTAATACCCAGTAATTTATTACTCGGCAAAACCGGTTTTTCGGTAAAATGGCACGAGTATGCCGAGTACCGTGGAGAAACTGAGTACTCTACACATGACCCCATATTCCACTCAAAAAATGATGGCTCCAAGCCACCATCTTGAAATTTTCAACTTCCACTTTTAAGCTGAAATATAGTCTTTTTGCATCAATTTCATCATCCCAAATTGCTAACTTGCTAACTTGATCCACTCTAAAAAATCAGGGTACTTATTTGAATAGTATTGCATATATTCCATATAGGTAGAGATATGAAGAGGGTAGCATTTTGGCTGACTAGCTAAGATACAAAATATAAGGGTTGCAGTCAAACGCAATTCAACTCAGGCCAGAAACAACGTAATTCCTGTTTATTTTTTAGATCAGGACATTCTACAAAAAATATTGAATGTGAATTAAAAGCATTACAATATCAATAAAAAAAACTACTAGAAAACCTCTTTCAGGGCTAACCAAAAATTGATAAAATCCATTTTGATGTCAATGATTTTTTCCGTTTTTTTTTCTGGACCTACCAAGTATTCCCAGAGCAGACCAACAACAGCTTTGTTTGCATATATGCATAAATAGATATACATAGAGTAGACCAACAATGGTTTTCTATGCATATACCTGTATGCATAAATATAAAGCCATTGTTGAACTCCTCTGTGACTGCTAGATGAGTCGATCGTTTTGGTGGTGCCACAACTATCTGCGCATTGCGCTGAACGTCGAGCAGTTACGAGCCTGGAGCGAATGGGTCTTCCATCATCTTTCATTGTATGGGATGAGGATGAAGATAAATTTGGCAAACCAGTGGTAGGTTGAGATCGTCAGATTATTCGGCTACCTCCATACAAAGAATCTCGGTCCTTTTGTTCTGACTTCGGTTGCGTTTGCACCCTCGAAAACTTGTGTATTTTGAATTTCAGATGAGACACACTGAACGTTATTATTCTAATTTTTATTTTGAGGTGCATGTTCTTCCAAGAAGTTTCTATTGGTGGTGGATCTCCCTCCCTAAACACATCCTATGTTTCTTTTCTGTAGATGATCGTTCGTATTTAGTAGAGTTGTCTGTCTGGCTTCGGCATCGTATCACATCAACCCTTAACCACTTTATAGCAAACGGAGGATTGCACATCATGCGCAACCCCCTTGAGAACCAGTTCAACTACAAGAAGCTGGCCAATCAAAGAGAGGGTAGCATCAAGAGATCAAGCATGTCCAAGCCGCAGAGACCTCCTCAACCTAAGGTGGACACTGCGAGGGAGGGGGTGCTGGTCGATATATCACCGGTAGAGGGGGAGTCGGTAGTATTGAGGAGTAAAGGGGGTGCAGTGAAGAAGACTACGACACCGGAACAGAAGGTCGTGTCATTGCTGGATGAGCCTATTGATGTGCCTGAGGAAGGTAGGGGCATACAGTGATCTATCTATGCGAAAACATGGTAAACATTGCAACAACAAAGCATCGAAAATGACTGAAAATTATTTCCTATTTTAAAATCAGTACCTTGAACAATAAGTTGGCCATGGAATCAGAACTTTGCTTACACTTTCTTTACCTTGACAGACTATTGAACGTGAAATTTTTGGTATATCATTCAACATAACTTTTTAACGGCAAAACTGTGTGTTGAAAACAGTTCAACATCTAAATAAGGATCATAATAATAAATAATAATATAAACTTTCATTTGATGTATTAGAAATCTGTCATTTTTATTATTTTCATTTACACCGTGAGTTGAACTGGTTACTGTTTTTAGCTGCACTTCTTTGTTTTAGTTCTTGCTAACTTTCGCATATTATTGAGAAATATAATCTTATGTACAGCAATATTATGGCAGGTGGTTAGATATGGTTACATATTTGATTTTTTGAATGTATTCTGTGAGTGTCCTTAAAATACATTATAAATGCCTTCCTATTGACAAACTGATCTCTGATTTTGAGTCAACGACCACAAAAACATATGTTGTGTCTGGACTCTAATTCTAGACTTATTTCGAATTAATCCTTGTAGTGACAATTAATGACCTTCAGATGCCCTTATAGTGACTAATTTGGACTTAGTGTAAATGACAAGCGGTTGGGATCAACGACTTGGCTTCATTTGTAAATGTCCTTGACATATGAAGTTGAAGTGACATTCAAATCCCCTTATAGAGATAAACCAACCCCAGGTTTGAAATTGGCGTCTAAAAAACCGTATTCTACTGAAAATCATATAAATGTCGTAAAAATTGTATTTTTTATTAGCTTATCGGTGCTCTAGACCATTTTGTGACGTTAAGGCATTAGGTTGAATAAAATTTAATCAAAAGCTTCTTCCCTGAATAAATTACTTGGGTCGGTCGCCAATCCCAGCGTCAATTTGAAGTTTTGGAATGCATCCCATTTTCGGAAAAATAACTTTATACCTATAAACGTCTCAACAAACTTAAGTTCGTCTTTAGAGATGAGACTGATAGAGGACGGCGCGACTTTCGACCTTTATTTGCTAATATTGATCCGGGGAGCGACTTGTCTGTTAGTGGTTGTAGGAAAGGTAATAGAAGCACACCCTCTGTCAACTATTGTACTCCACCCCCTATTTTAAGAAAACGATCATAATTCGCCACACGTAAACCCTACACTGTGCTACATACACGTATCATAGCTCAGTTATCCCTCGGCATTCGAAGTACATAGACGTACGCTCGTTGAGTTGTCCATATCGAAAATATGTCTCTATCATTCAAGTTTTAAGGGCAAATGTATGAATGAAAAATGTCCAATAGGTGTGCAGAATAACCGACACGGGTATTACGTATCTTGAAAAGTGACATTATGTCGATTTTTTTGACATTGTATTGTTTTTTTTTGTGATGATCTGTAGGTTTTTGCTACAGGATGTTAACTCAGCACTAGCTCATGGACACGTGAACTCGTTTTGTAGTAGTACGTGTTGCCTAAACGTCATGAGGCTTCAGTTATCAATGTTTGGCTCTGATGTGATGTAAAATCTGCTTCAAAGATTTCATTACTGGGGGGTCTAAGCTGCAGGTTGTATACTATAGCTAGAAGGAAACGGCAATGCATAGGTGCTTAGTAAGGTTTTGTGTGCTAATAATGTGTGTTGATAATAATCCCATTGAATTCTTGTCTCAAATACACTTACTTGAGATTCAATGCTAGAAATTAGTTGCGCATCCACTTTCTCTTATCCATTCTGGAAATTACATATGCAAATTTGCTGAATTTCAAAAACGAAAGGGATAAGAATTAATTATATTCACAGTACACTGTCGAATTATAAGTCAAATACATGCTAACAGTAATTACACTCAACGCGGGCGTAATTCTCCTAAAAATATTTGAAAACACAAAAAAAAAACGTAAAAAATCATAATTTATAACTTTGAACATAACCTGTATTCAGAAAGGGCAATATATAAATAAACCGTCGGACACAGCTAATAGATATACTTCATTGGTAGCATATTGAGTAATGATTTTCTCACACAGTAAATATCACTGATTTTATACACAGGCACACCGATACACATAATCATCCAGATGCGATCTAGCTATTCAACCAACTTTCTTCTCAGAGATGAATACTACAGCCTACTCGGCTTCACAAAACATATGCAACAAAAAATGCGTGTAGTTGAGTCATTCCTTCATAGATGGATGCTCACAACGATCCTAGTGAGCAAACGTGGAATGACTGTTTGCACCCTGAAAAGCACCTAGTCTGCAAGATAACATTTTATATGTTTTTCTGACGTTTTATAGGTTTGTTACATAATACCTGTGTCGGGCTAGAAACGTGTAAAATAGAGTTATTCATTAATATTTATTTTTTAATATCGGTGATATCTAATAGCATGGCTTTTTGATATCAGTGATTTAAAACCGTGCCGTGATCACGACTTTCGAATAGGTATACCGATGTCCTAAACAAAATACCGCGGTGAAATCGCATGGAGCCAACTACTAAGTCTTATAAGGCATGATATCGCTTGCAGACCATAATAGTTTTACAGTGGTATACGATTCTCGATCTTAGCGACTGACGCGCATGCGCATTTTAAACATTTTCAAACGTTAACGCCATGATCCCATGTTTCCATTCGTCGTTGCCGTGAAGCAGCTAGTGTCCGAAGTCGTGATCACGACACGCTTTGTCACGGCATTTGGTAACAGTCGTGATTTAGAAATATCAGTTACTAAATCACAGTTCGTGAAATATCTGCCATCAATAGTATAAATACTCACCCCCATAATCATAAACATCAAATTTTTAACCCCTGCAAAAATTATTCTGAAGATGACCAGGAACCTCTGAAACGTCAAAAAACGACGCTTGAGTGACATTTATTTCATTTACCTTTTCTTCGTTTTTTGCCTGTAGCTGCGCAGTCACTGGACCGATTTCGGAAAACTACAAACCGTATTCGTCCTTCGCATTATGGTAACCTTGTGTAAAAATTTCATCAACCAGAGTAATACTTTCCATCTTATAAGCGGGTCAAGGATTAGCGGACAGACTGTAAGACAGAGTCAGTCAGACATACTCGTATAGTCAGACCGACGGAAATGAGTGACATGGTTATTCGTATTGCACTGTCATGTAACATCAAAAAACCGTAGTATTTCATTTTCGAAATTTTTCGCGATAGAAATTCTTCCTCCAGTGGCCTGGAAAGTAAAGTACCTGAATGAAATACACATTTATTATCGACTTCAAGTTTTTTCTTTCCAAATAAAGATTACGTTCAATTCCAATGGCCCAGCTGTGCTAAGACTAAAACTTTTACATGATGTTTCAGGTCAGATTTGGGGAGCCGCAGCCCAAGAAAGCATTCCACAAACAGATCAAGCTCCTCCACCATACCATTCTCCGCCTCCATATTATAACTGTTCTTCCTTTGCCGCTGATTCATCCACCTTAGAAAACGATCCTTTCGACACGTCTTCCGTATACGCAAATTCACCACCTTTCCGACTATCCCCCGTAAGTTTTCAGCCGCTTCAACCTTCACCCACGAAGTCTGAAAGCATCCCAAAATACACTAGCCCTACGAAAGCAAAGCCTACTTCGAGTTACGTACAAAGTGATATCGCTAATAGGAGTTTGAATTATGGGACCAAGGAAAGCTTGGCGATATCAAAAAGTGTATCTGCCGTGCAGAAAGATGTCGCTACTGCTTTGGAAACTGGTAAGATTGGTTATTTTATGTTTCTATTGACACTGAGAGTTAAAGACTGACAGTCAAAGAGAGATATAAGAGGAATAAAAGCCATGGATTTTTGTTTTATAAACGTCATAACATATAACATCCAATGAACAAAATCGAAAATTATCCCAGGTTACTTCTTTCGCTTATCTGGAAAAAAAACGCATCAGGCGGTTATAATATCATCACGTTTTGACGTCTTTTGGTGCTGATAAGCAAGTGCAATCGGTGTTGTTTACACTGTTGGCAATAATGAATCTGGTGGAACTCAAAACCGCATTGAGAACTATAGTCAACGCCAAACAAAGTGGCGTGCACGTCATCAAGGTGGGTGTGTTGAAAAATTTACATTGTTGCCAAACTTTTTGTAAAATATTAAAATTTATTATTTACATATCTAGGTTTATAAGCAATATTAACCTCAAATGAGAACAAAAATAATAGTATAATAAAATTATAGATCTGTACTTGCATAATCATTAAGTATGACAATTATTGATCAGATGACACTATGAAACTACCATATTTAATTGATAGCTTAAAGGTACTGAATAAAAATCCAAATGGGGTCCTCCAAATTTCATGCATGGTATTTATTTTACAGAATTCATACAGAAAAATGCATTCTAAAATTAGGTAAGCTACTGGTGTAAGCTTTTTCTGTACAATAAAGTTAGTCGGAGTTTCTTTCTTCAGCGCTGTCTGAATCTGAATCTTCATCACTCTCAAAGTTGATTATTAAAGGTTCGATGTCTGGTCGATCAAAAATTCGTTCTCTTTCATACCATTTAAAAATTTCTGGCTCAGTATGTCGAACACTATTTTTCCACATGTCTGGGGTAACCGTTTGTAGAGCCTCGTTCCACATATCCAAACAGTCTTTTTCACTGTTACCATCTCTACCAATATGTCTGTTATAGTAACCTTTTGCTATGCCCCAAATTAACTCAATAGGGTTAAATATACAATGGTAAGGAGGCAGACGAAGAACTTTGTGCCCATGTTGTTCCGCCAATTCATCAATCACGTATATTTTAGGTGGTTTGTTTCTAAAAAAGCAGTTACTTTAAGAATAGTAATAAACAAAAGAAATATAAACTGTCGACCAAAATATATATAATTAAGAAGCATTATGTACCGAGCAACAATACTCAATAGCTCTGTTTTAAACATTGTGTTTAAAAATGGTATGTTTTGATTTGTCAACCAGTCTTGGATATTTTTTTTTGTCCATGCATTGTTGGGCACTTTGTTCAATATCATGCTGTGATAAGGGGCGTTATCCAGTATAATCATAGATGGACTCTCCAATTTTTCTAATAACTGATGTTGAAACCATTTCAAAAAATTGTCCTGGTTCATCTCTCCATGGTAATCGCTCAATTTTGTTTTCGAAGAAAATATCGCTTCACTACCCTCAATAAACCCATTTTCATTTCCAGCATGTAATATAATGTATCTAAAATATATTAGTTTTAAATTTTATAGTGCAAATTGTGTAAAAGTACATACCTTTTACCATCTGTTTTAATAGCTTTCACGCTTTTTTGGTTTCCATTTTGCCAAGAGCGACCTATGGTCCCATTTTGAAATATCCAAGTTTCATCGAGGAAGACAAACTGGTATAAGGCCTCAACCTTGGCTTGATTGTATTGCCTTAGAAATTCCACCCTTTTCAAAGCTATACTTGGTAGTTCCATGAGCCCTCGTCGCGGATTGTCCTTAAGCCACTTAAATCCAAGATCTCTAAGCAACCGCCTTAAAGACGTGGCACTACCATCAAATAATGCCCTATCTCTTAATCGAGACCATAAAGTTTGTATCGTAACTTGTTCTTCTGAAACCATGTGTAATATGACATTATAATTTAGTTAACAAATTAATGCAAATTTCTGATAAGTTATTATAATAAGATCTTACTTTTGTGATACATATTATAGATCACTTCTCGAATGGCACTTGTATCCAATGTCGCTGTGTTGGTTACACGTTTAATATAACTCCGCTTTTTCTTGGGCGATTCTAAATTTGCATCACTTTTCACACCCTCGGAAATACGACTAACTGTCCTTAAACTAATTTTTAAAGCAGCAGCAACACGCTACAAAAACGAAATAAAATTTCACTATTATCAATATACATTACATATAATTATTAGTAACCTACCTCTTGAACAGCATTTAAAGGCAACAAAGGCCCGTTGTTGTCCCTTTCTTGCTCAAAGTAGTGCATTAACGAGGCCACGAGTTCCTTACACCGACTATTTAACTGTTTGGGCATCTTTATATACCAAAATTGCCTTTATCTACTCGTAAAATGAATAATTTTGTTTTGAAACAAACAGTTGTTGATTTACAGTATGCGGGGCCAAAGGATTTATAAAGATTTGAAATGCCACAAATTGATTCAGTGTCGAAATTAATACAAATGTCAGTTCCCAGTTTAAAGTTTCAAGGTGACAATGTGTCAACGCTGCGAAATCGGTTTAGTGCGTTTACATGTCGATAAGTGATTGGAGCGTTTGCAAAACATTTTATTTCGCATAATGCGTCTAAATTTATCAGAAAGCAACTTATGTGATATTTTAATAACAATGTTTATATGACTATTAACCATAATAAGAGAGTAATGACCATTTTACAATTTATATATCACATTAATCTGAAACTGCAATAGAGCAATTGTTTGTGATAGAAACCTAGGCATTAGGTCGGGGAATTTTTATCGTGATGACGTGCACGCCACTTTGTTTGGCGTTGACTATAGCTGCACCAAACACTGATTCGCTGGTTGCGAATTTTGACAATAAAATATACGAATTTTACATAAAGAAATGAAATAAATCACAGAAAACGTTTTTAGAAAGTATGAATCAAAAGTCGTAACAAAATATGGCCACATAAAACCCTATTGTAAATATTGTAGGAAGTTATTGAGCATGCAGAAGTAACAAAAAAACAGAATATTATTAAAAAATAGGGGCAAAATCTACCTCCCTCGTGTGCCCGACTGCCTAAGTGTACGAATTTGTATGATTGGTATGGGGCATAAAACTAAATAGACTACTTGTTTTTTAAATTTATTTTTTTATGCAGTCTTCATAGCTTTGATTATAGTTTTTAAAATAATATAGCCAATAGTGTGTGTTAGTTTTGTGTCTACATCTTAATGTAAAAACACTGTCGTTTCCGTAACGTTACCGTAACACTTTCGCTGGAAGTTATAATAATTTATTTATTTTTCAGATATGAAGACCAAACTTGTAACACACGTCTTCTGATAATTCATATTATTATTTAAATAATCTTAGTAAAATATAGCAAACAATCTCAAAGAAAGCCGGCGTGGCACACCAAACCTAATGTCATGTCGAACGAAAAGCTCGTGGAAAAACCACCTGATGTGTCGCAACAAACACGTGATCTGCAGGCTCCCTTCCATATAAACAGTTTAACGTCAAGCGCATGATTCAAACTCGGCATTGGTGCGAAACGGCAGAGTTTATAAATCGATGTTCAGGGTTTATATTCATCTGAATGAATGGCGGTGGAACGAGATAATAGGCAGATGTCGCGCAATTATGAACGAACGATTAAAGAAGGGGGTGGCCTATCTTTAGCTGGGATTCGTTAATCGATGTAAATAGTGATTAAATGAATTTATCGAAAATCGTATTTCTCTTAAAAATGTTATTCTGAAAGTATTGGATAAAATTCGAATGAAGAGGAAGATATTTGTTTAAGTTATATTGCGCGCCGTTTTGGAAAAAACGCGTTTTGAGAAAAATTCTGCGGTGTTGCAATTTTTGAATATTCCATACAACTTTATTTTTTGTTACTTAATGCTTAATAAGTGATTCTAATATTATTGTATTGCCATTTATTCCACTATATAAAAATTACAAAAAATACATTTTTTAGTCCTTAATATGACTGTCTGCACTTGACAGTATGACATATTTTGAATGTCACTAGATAATCAGCTGTTACTTGTTTGCTGTGTGATCAAGTGTCGAGAAAAATACTGTACACGTCATAATAATTTCTACCTGAGAAATTTTTTTTCATATGTACTATTAGATGACATAGTGGAAGATCATCGATATCATCTATAGCCTACATGTCTTAGTTTCATTTCTTTTTATGACTGTTGAAGGTTCTGTAGAAGATAAAATAGGAAATGGAATTTCGTTGATCAAACTGAACGATTCTCCTACGAAAGCATCAAATGAAGCAAAGTTTTTGGTCGATTTAGAAAAGTACTTGTTAGGAAAGGATAAAAATAATGAAATTCCTATACTGGATCCACCGCCCCAACAGAAAATTGTCCGGAAGAATAATGAAATTGGTGCTATTCCAGCTACCTTGCCCAAAGTACAAAATGGTGAGTTTAACATTTACTGCATTGCCAAAAATAGTACCTTACTTCCAAGTTATTCCTCTGTCTTTGGGTAATACATAGTTTGATTTTGACTTCGTTATTGGTATATTTCAGGAGCTTATTCCAATTTGGATTTGTATGCCAAAACAACTGAGGGCACATCTAAAAATGATACGACAGCGGTTGTTCAGAAAATGTGGTGTGACAACAATACAAATAACAGTAATTTAAAACAGAACAATAAGAAGATTCAGGTAGATACAGAATTAACACAGAATCGGAAAGAAATATACACTGTGAATACTGAATTCGGGCAATTCAAGAGTAATAGAAGATATGATCCTGTATATTCTTCATCTTCCAGTATGATCTATGATAACAAAATAGATAGTAGTAGTGTTAATGGTGTAAATGCAGGTAAGGAACATTTACATTATCAATGTGTCTATCAATATATGCCGTTAAATTCACTATTCTGTTTTGCTGTCGATTTCATAAATATATAGAACTAGACTAAACTAGACTTTGGCAATGAGCTTTTTCTATCCAACATTTTAATACAACAATAAACTAATTTTAACGTTTCATAGTCAGGTTCAATTGGCACGGATATACTTGAACTTAAAATTGTCAGGAATTTGCATTTCAGTATTTAAAAATAGATGTTTCCTTTCAAATAGCCTTGACGGTCATAGTCCAACTCATGGACATTCTTGAATATACATTTTCGTACTCTTTTTATTTCCGGTGAAAAACAGGGGCAACCATCTCCTCCAACTGAGCTTGATAGTCGTAGTCAAGGACACGTTAAGGTCATCTTTAGATAAATCTTTTCAAACCTTACTTATTACGCAACATTTTCCTTTATGGAATGTACTTCCCGAGATATTTTGTCATCTTCCTAGTCTCGGTACACCCTTAAATACCCATGAAGATCAAAGTCAAGGCCATAAACAAAGACATACTCTAACGTACCATTTCCCGCTCTTCACATTTCCGGTGTCAAAAATAGAGGTTTCACTTCGACCTTCAAATGATTTTAAAAAACCTTAAAAAACAGAAAATAAAGCTATGGTAATATAAATGAATAATCTTTTATTTCAGGAGCAGGTCCTCAAAATGCTTATAACAACACTAGTGCCTACGATGGGGAAAAATTGTATAATAATATTAGCAACAATTGTGCAGCACCAATATATGAGTCACAAAGTTATAATGCTTACAGCTCAGTGCCTAATGATAGTCGACTGTATAGTGAAGTAAGTACTGAGAAAATTTTGAGTTAAAATACTATACTGTCTGTGTTTGAAGCATTGAGTAACGTATTCTACCTGAAGATAGTCAATCTAATGCTGTAGTCCCGCGTACAAAAAATTATCCGAGATGAAGTGATCGTCTAGATGGCGCTATAGCCACCTATACGCTTGTGTATGCTCATCTAGACACGACCACCTATGAGACATTAACACTTTCCAAAGTATATATAGTAAAAAGAGAAACAGCTGTGACAAATCCTCATATATGTCGCTATCCCTGGATAACTTTTTGAACGTGGAAATATAGCATAGGCTGGGTATCTTTAGGTAGACTCTTTTGACGGCATTTGCTAGAGATCTGTTTTTTGAAGTTGACTGCTAATATACTCGGTGACATTAGAAGTGTTACACCCAGAAAAATAATTTCTTCAACATAATTTTTTGGCAATGAGGTAGTCTTACATCAAGAATGAAACGATAACATTCTCACGGAATTTTATTGACAAATAATAAGAAAAAAAAATTAGATGATCGATGTCTGGTTGTGGCACCTCATTCCGAAAAACTCGAACTTCGTGGATTAGCTATGGCAGAGTCTGTGGCGGATGGTACAAAGTGGATAGTCTCCTCCCACACATGTCTGATGGGATTTAAATCCGATGAGCGTGGTGGCCACTTCAAAATATTAACGCCTGCTTCTTGAAGAGAGTTCGTAGTACGACGAGCGACATGGGGAGGCGCGTTGTCTTGCTGAAAATGGATATCTAGACGGCCCTCTAGATGCGGCAGTAAAATGGTTTGCCTTGAACAAAGCGAAGGGGGGATTGACTACCGTAGGCAATAGACCCCCAAACCATTACTCCAACAGTCCTGTGTACATGCCCCCGAACAGCAAATCCAATATCACGTCGTTCTCCACGGCGGCGTCTTACCCTTCTACGACCATCGTGCGTACCCAGACAGAATTGCGATTCGTCGCTGAAGACGACATTATGCCATTCTGCCTCCCAATGTTGCCGTACCCTGCTCCAGTTCAAACGTTGACGACAGTGGTAAGCAAGTCCAAAGGCTCGAATGCGGCGATAGAGTGTATGCATAGTAACAGGTCTGCCTTCTCCAAACCATTGGTTAGCGATTTGACGCGTAGGAGCAAAACGGTCTCGTAGAGCTAGTTGTCTGAAGCGCCTATCTTGATGCTATGTGATACGTCTTGTTGGTCCAGTTGACCTTATTCTACCTTGTTCTAACCACACACCGCACACACGCATTACAGTCATTACAGCACAATTAATTCGGCGACCAATTTCGCGATAGGACAAACCAACATTTCGTTGGCAATAATTTTACCCCTATCAAAGTCGCTAACATGGTGTTAATTCGAGGCATTTTGTTATGCTTAACACTAGTAAATGAAAGGGCAATAACTAAAAGTATCTGTACTACTCAGCTGTCAGAAACTGCTTTCTTCACAAACACTAAGAGATAACATTTTAACAAAGGTAAACAGAAACAAAGATTAAACGTTGACATTGTTGCCACCGCATTCTTTAAATATAGTAATTATGTTGCACAAAAAACAAGTTGAACAAATTATTTTTCTGGGTATAATACTTCTAAAGTCACTGAGTATAGATCAAAAACGAAATCTGACCAAATTTTGTTTCTTCATATCTCAGTTTTGGAGACATTTTTGGACACATTCAAATGTCTTGTTGTGATTCATCAAATTCAACAGTAAATTTATTTTCAGGTAGCAGAAAGCATTTATGGAGATAGTTTGTACCAGGAGATTCCTGACCATTTCTATAGCCAGGTACCGGATGATTTATTGCGACCTCACAGACCTGCACCTACTAAACCTCCTGCTGGAATACAACCTTTAAGTATGCAGCAAATCCAGAGAAAAATTCAACAAGGCCATGTGAGTTTTTTCATCTATGCCACTCATCTAAACACTTTTGTATATATCAAATTTTATTTGCCTAAATAAAAGGCTATAAGGCTATTCGTTTAAGCATTGAGACTTTCTAAAAATAGTTGAAAAAGTTAGCATGAAATGACTCTAGATTTTATCTGGTAATACTTCAAAGTTACAACTACCATTGATCCCAATTCGGGCCAATGGTGGAAACTTGTTACGAACCTCTATGAGTAATAATACTCAAATTCTCATAGATGATGCTTCAGTATCTCAATTTGTCTTGGATAATTTTTCGGACGCGTGAATATATTATTATGTTGGCTATCTTCAGGTAGAACACTTTAATCAATGGTACTAGCTTTGAAATAGTTCACTCATTTTATTTATTTCCGTTACTTTGATTTCTGGATTTTTGCCAAGTTTTCGCAAAAAGTGGTGCCGCCAACCATTTACGTTTACAACTAAATAATTCTCGACTATTGTTTTTGGCGCTATCGTTGCATCTTCTTGGAATGTTGCCGCACGTGATTTCTTTTTTCGTCATTGAGAAATTCTGACACCACGAAATCTTAGGAATAATTACGAGGGGGGTTGAAGGGTGATTCTTTCCCTGGAAGGTTGATGTCATGTTTGAGAATAAACAATATTCTTTTAAAAAAATGGAGTCTGTTTTTATTGTTCCTAAGGGAATTAGTGTAATCCTACTTGGCAACATGGCTGCGATTATGTAAATTATATGTGAGCGTCCAGTTGGGATTTTTTTCGCTAATTATGTTGATCAGTTATTTAGGTATTAAAACAAACTTGTTTTACAGCTTACAGCCGATGCCGAAAGACTGATGACCCCCGAATATCGTAGCACTAAGGTTGGCCAAGTAAAGGAATGTATACCAGATGCTCATGTTGAGGAATGCCTTTCCTCACTCCAAGCATGTGGATGGGATGTCGCACTAGCTGTAAAAAATTTGAAGATTGAAAGATTAGTGAAGTAAGTACATCACCCAAATCATTATCAAACGAAATCTTGATTCAAGCTCCGGGCAAATATTTGGATAACTGTTTCATTGTGTCTTGATTTTTTCTCGATTTCGGTGGTTTATATTGATTGAATTTTCGACTTTCAACTAGATAAAAAAGTTTGAGGATTTTGGAAATTTTCAGGCTAGGTGTCGCAGATCGGCCCAGGTGTGAAGCAGCATTACAAAGAACTAACTGGAATGTTGAACTAGCAGCTTCTGCAATTCTGGATACCTGATGAAAATAAGCTAAACATTGAGGACTCTAGCTTGGAAGAATAATATCCTATGCTGCATTGACTCTTACAAATCAAACATTGCAATTATAGGTCTATAACAGTTTTTGGCGGGTCACACTAAAACTACCTGTATCACTTTCATAGATCCATCTCCCTTAACCATGTAATCTGCCCCTGTGCGAGGACGTTCCTTTGAGTAAGCTCGCAGTCATACGTTCTTTGGCTTTCTCTCGCCACTTTGAATATTTTTTTGCCAATGTACGATTATTCTCCATCTAGGCTTGTCACTTTTAAGTGTAAGTTTGTTATAGGCGTGCGATTTGAGTTTAGTTATGTTCAGCTTCCTAATTTAAAACATGGATGGAAGCCACGTACCTTCACTACCCAGTTTTTGTGTGTAAGAGCAACCATGTTGAAGATCCGAGATCCCTATGACGTGATTGCAAAATGACAGGGAAAGCGATCTGATTGCCATAATTAGAGCCTTGTCAGTACTGATAGTGTCAACAGATTACTTGTTTTTTCGATTTTGGCGTTAAGCTAACCCCATAAATTCAAAACCATGTTCATTTTTTACATTAAAAAATTCGGTAAAATTTGTGTCTAAACTGGACAAGACATGAATAGGTTTCGAGTCATAGACCTTCAGAATGACAAGTGACTACAAAACCACAACTACAATAAAAGGCCAGCTTGCTACATTGCATATATGCAAAAATGAGGACAATTCAATTCATATTTTATCTACAGGGTGGCCGATATGCAACTGACTGGTTTGTATCTTGAATATTTGTGAAATGAAATAAAATACGTCCATTTTTTTCATCTTAATTTTTTATTGAAACTTGAAAATTATGTATGAAATATATCAGACAAATGTCCGCCTCTAGAAGCCGCGCAAACCTGAGCCTTCTTGATTAGACTTTCCATCACTCTTTAGTAGGTTTAGGGAGGAATATTTTCAATCACTTCCGTAATATTGTTCTTCCGCTGCTCTACAGTATTTGGTTTGTTGCCATAAACCCTATTTTTCAAAAATCCCCCATAAATCCGGTGACCTTGGTGGCCAGTTGACATCAGAAAATCGAGAAATTAAACGTCCCGGAAATATTGTTCGCAAAAGATTCGTTGTGTCCCTAGCTGTGTGACAAGTTGTTCCGTCCTGCTGGAACCACATGTTTTGCAGATTAAATTGTTGGATTTGAGGAGCCTGAAAGTTTTGCACCATATCACGGTAGCGCTCGCCAGTGACAGTAAGAGAATTACCTGCAGCATCTTCAAAGAAGTCAGGTCCAATGACACGAGGGTTCTCTAATGCTCAGATAAGACAATTCTGCTTATTAACAAATCCGTTCATATCGAAGAGAGCTTTATCGCTCAGTATCAGTTGTCGGTAAAAATCATTATTTTGGGCATTAAGCTACAATATTGCATGACTATCGGCGACTTTCATGGTCACTAGGCTGTCGTTCTTGGGTTAACTGAATTTTATATGGCCGCAAATGCAAGTCTTGTTTCAAAATAGTGCATAATGTCGTGCGACGAATACCCAGTTCTTGAGAACGATATCTGGTAGACGTCTCAGGGCGCTCCACTACAATTTCACGAACTCTCTCGATATTTTCCGGAGGACGAATAGTTTCGAAACGGACCGACCTTGGCAAGTCTTTAATTTCACCTCTTTGTTCAAATTTCCGCACCAACTGACGAATGGTGTTGGCACTGGGCATATTCTTTCGACCGAAATCTTGTCGTATTTGAATCGCTGCAGCAATCGACTCATTTAAGTAAAACGTTTTAACAATACGGACGCGTTAAGGGATCGTGTAGCGCTCCACGATGAATTGGACACATGTGCTTTAATCAACTACTACGGCGCCACCTACTGAAATGCGTGTATAAAAAATGGCGCGCAATTTAAATCAGTCGGTCATATATTGGCCACCCTCTATGATCTAAAACTCATATTTCTATTATATTCTGACTTGATTCTAACCAATATGTTTTTATAACTTAGAATTAATTTAGTTAAGTTCACCCATCTTTGAGAATTCCAGCAACAGCGCTGAATAAGAAAAAATAACCTAACGAAATAAGCTATTCTCCATGACTAACGGAGCTTTCTTATTTCGATAGTGGAGGACGAACGCTTGTCTTGCTAATGAGCAAAATCAATATAAGGAAGATCATAACCAAGCAGCACAACAACAGCATTAAAAACTCTCTTTTGCCAATTTGGAACTATACCCCATTCGTAGTCCATTTACACCCAGACAAAACACAACATGCCCAAAAGCGAGATTGTACAGGTTCGTATTTTCCTCAATGGTCTTGGAATAATCCAACAATGATTATTTCTATAGAAAGAAGTGCACTTACTTTTCACAATTCTTTATTCGCTGGAAGTACTTGAATCATTGACCGAATGGTTAATATTAATACAGGTTCAATTTGAATATCGATCATATTGTCCAGATCCCACATATTTGTTTCGATTGTCTCTTGAACGTGACGGATGCAATATTTCAATATTTCCAATGCTTTGTCGTCACTCTATTGACAGCTTAATAAAACAAATTTTTGACGTCAGAAAATTTGAATGTTCTATTACATAGTTTTTTATATTTGCCCAAATCATTTAAATGGGATTTAATTCGCAGTGATAAGGAGTTAGCCTTAAAACGGTCTTATTTTGGTTTTTAGCCATTTCGTCAATAACATTATTATTATTTATATTTGTGCTGCCTGACTACATGGATAAGTTCTACGTTGACCATATTTTCATTGAAACTAATGTCTTTTGATAGGAGCCATTGTTAAATTTCTGCCTTTCTTGTGGACATTGTGGGAACTTTCTCTAGTTTTCTAGTGTGGTATGCAGCATTATTAAGTACAATGACGGCATTGTCATCAAGCTTTGGGAGCGTTTCTTCAAACCATCGTTCTAATGAACTCCCGTTGATTTCTTCATGGTAGTCAGTCGTTTTCTTTGACTTAGATGCCCATAGGGCAGTGGGCACAAAGCCGTCTTCACTGTCAGTGTGACAAATAACAAATTTTCCTTTTCCTGGAAATAATAAAACAAGCAGAATATCTAACAGATGTTGGTTCCAAATCTACCAGATATAGCTAAGTTTAGTGTAGCTAACTTTTCAGCGTGGGCTCATAGATTCAGTCTACTTGACACCATTTTTACAACACAAATGACGAATTAGTTAGATACACGTACCTGACGGATTATTTAGGTCAATGGTTAGTCCACCTAAGAAGGGTTGTCTTGCTGATTTAATTGTAGAGTCAGTCCATACTTTAGGTTTTGCATGTCCTGCATTTATCCAGGTTTCATCCAAGTAATAAATCTTCCTGCACTGGTCGCTGTATTTCTTTATTGATTTTAAATAATTTCTTCTCCATAAAATCAAAATACTATTTCTGCCCCGTTTCCTATACTCAAAATGATGTTCTTCGAGTAAACTATAGAATGTCCTTTTGAAACTTGGTAAGTCTTCATCACTATTAAACTCCTGTAATACAAGTACTTTGTCTATGGTGATAAGTCCCTGCATTTCAAGAAATTGATGGATTGATGGCATTCCGATCAAAGTTATCAACTGTATACAACAGCTTCGTGTAGTGTAGCCTCTTGTGTGGTGGAGACAATTTTTTATTTTTTATATTCTTAAATAATGTTGAATATTGTCTTAGGACATAAGCCTGTTTTGTTCGCCACACGTCTTTCAATTTTCATTTCAGGATGCTCTAAAATTTCGCTCTTATAATCTTAAAGGATAATTCCTTTTGCCCGAATATTCAAATTCAAATTCTTGTTACGTTTTCGGGGAGGAGACATCAATGAAGAAGAAGCATGGCTCAAAGAAGCATTGGGAGAATTATTCTCAGTTTCATCTGCTGTATCCGTAGACGACATGTCGGTATATATAGTACTTTTACGTTTCCGCATATTTCTTCTATTTTCTAAAAGTGGTCTTAGCTCTTCAAAAGTTGTTGATGAAGTTGAGGAAAGGTTTAGATTGTGTAAAGATGGGGGCACATTTGCTTCTGTAGAATGAACGATTTCTGATGTTTTCTCTCAGTTCCGGTTCAAATACAGAATTGAATGTTTCGTCAAAAACAAAAGGTGACTCACATTCAGTCCTCAAAGATCTTGTAGGAGAGGGTGTTGTGGTAGTAATCTAGACTGTATTTACAGATAAACATTGCGGTGCCAGAGAGTGAGTTTCAGTTATTGTATGGTGATCAGGAATTGGAACCTCTTCGACGATAGACAACCTGTTAGATGCATCGGAATTCGATGGAACAGACACTGTGCTCACTTCACATGCTGAAGGATTATCACCATCAGGGGAAGTGAGCATCGGCCTATCTGTCACATAAGAACCACTAAACTCGGAGTCAGGAAAAATGTTTTCATTCAATCGTGAAATCCCGGATACTCCGAATCCTGATTGAATATTTTCAATTGTAGCAGCCAATGGTAGTGACGTTTTAACCAGCTCCGGTATTTCATAAATTGTGATAGTCTTTCCCGGGTTACTAGCTAGCCAGTTGTCACATGCTCGATTGAATTACTTTTTCAATGGTCCGTACACAGATCTGTTAAGAGGTTGTAGCTTGTGGCTGTAACGTGGAGGGAATGATACAACTGTCACCCCATTAGTTTTAAAGTAATCCAACGCTTCAATTCAAAAGTACAGGTTTTTCTTTACTAGGTTTAACATGTTTCACGAAATCTTTGGCGAACTTCATAAAGTTCTCTTCTTCCATCCAGCCAGACGGATTAGCATCACCTTCACGTCCTGTAGGGCCAACTCTAACAAAATGGGACTTGTAATGGACGCGTGGGAATACGAAAAATGGTGGAACTATATTTCCTACAGCTGAAACAGCTACTGCCACTGTCACCAGTGTACTCCTCTCAGCAGATGTCATCTTGCCTAGATTTTTAACACCACGTCGTGCTATTACTCTATTAGGTACTTGCAGGGTTGTCATACCTGTTTCATCAACGATCCAGATATAACCAGGGTTTAAATTAAAACGTTGGTAAACAGCAGTTAAATTAGCGAAGAACATACTGACGTTATGTTTGTCGAATGATGTAGCTCTTGAAAGGCTTGTTGCTTGAGGTGTCCTTTTGGATAAAGAAGGATGACGTTTGAGAAACGAGCATTAACAATCTTCGCCAGCTAACAATTTTGTTCTCCAAGAATCAGGCATAGCTTTGTCACTTTTTATGGCGAACTGACATGCTAATTTTCGGGTCTCATATGGTGTCAATCCATAATCAATATCAGCGGCTTTCTTTAAATAAGTTGCTAAAACTTCTTCTTCTTCTTGAAAACTTGCCTATTTTTAATACGAGTATATCCCACTGAGTCCAAAGTTAATTCTGCTCTCGTCAAGTTCGGATTACGTTCCAATTTCTCCTTTAGTTTCGCCACATAACGATAGGGAATGTCATATTGTATTGAAGTTGCATTAATACTTTTTGTGTCAAAAATTATTAGATGACAAGCTCTTTCTAGGACAACTTTTGGTATATCAGCTCGTTTAGTCCTTGTATAGGTCCTCATTGTACTGTAACGAAATGAATAATAAAACACGAATAACAGGGTTAATTTACGAGATATTTTAAACTTCAAATTATATTGGGGTTGGTTGACTTACTATTCAACCAGCCACGAAAGAAGTTAGTCTATCAATTCCAGACGCCATTTTAAGTTTCAATGGAATGAGTTACCTAAACACTGCCATCAACTTAAGAAATAATACATGTAATATCATCAATATGCACCTAAGAAACACACTGACTAATAGAGGGTTGTGTTTTTTAATTGTTAGCAATGTCTTCCCGTGATTATGTTTTGCAAGTGCTCTTGTTTCTCGGACTGCGTTCGGTTGCTTTTAAGCAGATCAGCAACTTCTTTCCTAATGGTGGTGATGTTTCAACCGTTTAGTTTGTTGATGGTCCTGGGGTGTGAAGAAAATAATATTTGGAATATCTCTTTTGCCTCTTGAAATTTAAATTCTTTGGTAACCCCCTCTTCCGGAATGGCTTGGATTGACCTGAACTTATCTTTCTCAGTTTTTATGATTAACATAATATCCTTATAGTAAATATGTATTTGAGGTCCTAGAATGTCTGGTCTTGTTACCAGAGCTAAGAGTCTGTTAGCCCTCTCACTCCTTGTGACCTTTCTGTTGTGGAACATTTTCGTGGTTAGAGATTATTATTTCTATAATAGGCAAATGGTTAACGTAAAATGTGTCAGATGGAAAAATATGCTATGTGAAAATATGACTTACATGATACGAAAACAAATCACGGTCACTGCTCGAAAACGGCGTGCACCCGCGACGTGGCGCTCCGGATGACTGAGCGGGAGTTGGAGACAGTGTTGCCAGATGAAGTTAAAAGAAAATCATGAAACTCCTCTGCCGAAAATCGTGTAAAATCGTGTAAAGCCGAAAAATGCTAAATTTAATTTAAATAATATGTATATAGACACGAGTATCAAAATACCATATTCAATAAATAAACTTTATTATAAATATCAGAAACGAAAACAATATTAAAACGCAAGACACTAACTTAAAAAAGTAACATAAAGGTATATTCTTTTAAAATAATAAATAAAGTAAATACACAATTTGTACTCAAAACATTATGTTACCGTGTTACGAAGATTCTGTGTCGCTAGAGTCTTTATTTTCATGTTCGGCTAAATATAATAGGCTGCTATTGCCGAGTTTTCTGCTAATATTTTTGTTTAAAGTAAAAGCGTAACATGTTTTATTTTCCATAAAACTTTTTGTATGCAAAACCTTATATTGTTTTTGTTTTTAACTTATTGCGAAACTGTGTTTCAATCAGATTAATTTGGGAAAATATTCTCTCTACAGCCGCACTCGAATGAGGCAAACACATAATTTGAAAAACAAACTCAGTTAAAATAGGAAATTTTAGAGAATCTCCTATCTTTACTTGGGAAATTTCGCTCCAAAATTTTAAAATATCATTCTCAGTGTCATCCAGTGGGTAATTTTTTAGCAATCTTCATTCATTATCCAGATTCTGAATTTCATTAGGATGAATTAAATTTGGAAAAAACGACGCCACATCAGAAATAGTGTTCTTCTCTTTGGATTTCACACAAATGGGATCCAGAAACTTAAATTTTTCTATTACAGAATTCTTTGAGGGAAATCTGAGCAATATTTGCTTTGTACTTTCAACATAAAAATCCAAGCATTTCAGTTTGACAGAATATAAAATGTTTCTGTCAATTTTACTTACATTAATTGATGCACCAAAGTATATATCATCAATTGTTAAAAAATTTATCGGATTTTTATAATCAATTTCATACACCATGAGGTTCTCTAAAATATCTCGTTTAATAAAATAGTCCATTATGGTTTTTAACACACATGTCACTTCTTCATATACTTTATGTAGCTGTGGTTTCTCACTCTGCATTAAAAGGTTTAGCTGGTTAAATAAAGGTAATATATATGCCAAAAAAATCAAGGTATAGTTTTGTCTCTGGTTTTTTAAGTTTTTTCTAAAATATTGTCGGCTTGCAACACTCCTTCATAAGCTTGCTCCATAAAATAAAGGGTTAAGGCTTTATATTGTGAAATCAATCTTTTGATAACCAATTCTAGGGAAAGCCATCTCGTTTGTGATGGATGTAGGATTTTATGAGGCAACACATTTGCAAACTCTTGAAATTCTTTGGACTGTTTGAGAAAAAGTTGTACACCTAAAACAGAAAATTTTTAAATTGAAAACATGTACACCAAAATTTACCAAGACTTACAATTCTTGCTAATTATTCAACATCATTTGGCAGCTTTTCACATGCGTACGATGCGCAAAGATGAAAGCTGTGGCAGATGCACTTCATCAAAAACAGATTGGGACATTTTTCCTTAAGCCTACTTGCTAAGGAATTATTAGCCCCCATCATATTGTTTGCGCTATCGGCAGCAAATCCGATAAGATTTGTTTCATAAGGGGTTTTATGAAAGAATCCTCAATCAAAGTAAACAAGGCCCGTTGCCTCCTTAACTGGTAAAAGGGTTAGAAAATCTTTTATTTCAAAATTAAATACAACTCTGGCCACAAGGCACAAATGCTTCGAGCAGAACCTATCTGTAGATTCATCTCCTATTAAACTAAATTTATTTGTACACAGTATTTCTATTAGTTGCATTTTTCCCTCATCGCCGGTAACATTTCTTATTACGTTAGTCATTTTTGTACGACTACATTAAGTCCACGAGATGCAAAACTCGCTTAATGCAGTAAACGACAAGTTGAGAAAAGTGCGAAAAACGTTTCCTAAATTAAATTTGTTAATAATCAATTAATAATGTTAACCTGCCTTCAGAGCATATACATCTCTAATAGCTTTGAACGTATTTTAAAAAAATTCTGCAGTTTTAATAAATAAATGAAGAAAAAAGAAAGCATTTAGCCAGTTTTGCACCAAAAAATATGACATAAATAGTTTGGAACAAAGTTTATTCACAAAAAAACTAAATAGTTACTTATAGATTACACTAAATTTGTAGAGTAATGTCGCACGGTCTTAAACCACTGCAGCCAGCTTCAACATCATTTACAGAAGTCTGGTTTTCCGCTCTTCTAGGGTTAACAAGATTTTCTTTTCAAAAAAAACAAATCAGGATTTTCTTCCCAGGCATTTCCATAATGTTTTTTGAGGAGAGCAATTATTGTCGATTTATCGCCTTTGAGTTTGCAGCCAATAGGAAGTTGAGTAGGATTAATGCGTGTCAATTTCATTCCTCTCTTGACAACAGACTGCTTCGCCCACGTCAACACAATAATTGGGCTCGCCTCGTACTAGTGCATTATTTTTCCCTTTAGTAAGCACAAACCTTTTAGCCTTATTAAACTGAAAGTGCCATGATGATGGTGTTTTAGTGTTTAATTGTGCTTCATTTTTCCAGTCGTACACCTGCCAATCTAAACCCAGCTTCCGGATTGTCGATTTATTTGCTATGATACGGTCGTAGTCAGAAGGTTTTGAAATAACAGATTTCTTTTTCACTTCTCTTTCAATCATTCCGAACAACCTATCGGGTGGTATAAAAGAATGTCCTACTACGGGGAATATTACGTTAATGGACTTTATGTTCTGGGGAGCTTTCGTCATCAACCAAACAGAAAGCATGGTCATCATTATAATATTCTTATTTTGCCCCCCACATCCATCAGCAAATAAGCGAATTGTATCAATTTTATCGGGAAAGTTAACCTTATTCAGTACGTCCCAGACAGCTGAAGCTATTGAATTGGAGTTTTTGGGAAAATCCACCTCCGTCCATACATAAGAAAAAACATTTTCTGGAACCAAGTGTGCTGCCGATGATCCATGAATAACTGTAAATTTGTAGTAGTTAATTTGTTGACTAAAATAACTATCTTGATCCGGAAGTTTCGGCAAAGGCAAATTCTTCTGACAATCGAATGAAAAAACCGCTGTATTTTCTGGCGGCTGCTTTAGTAAGGTAAAAAATGCTTTTGCTTTGAGTCTATGTACCCGTTGCTCGGTGATAATAATTTGCTTTTCTGAATTAGAAATATTTTTAGTTTTCAACTTTTCCTTGGTTCTTAAGCAGGTGGAACATAAATCGGTTTTTGGGGTGCCGAATCCGATGTTGTAATTAGCATTTATGTATGTCCTAAAAAATCCCAATTTAACATGTAATTCGTTATCTCGAACTTTGGATTCGTATATTTTCCATAATTTTGTAAAATTAAGTTCACATGGCAAATAAACACGAGTACTGGTTTTACTTCGACAGTAATGGCTCTCTACGCATTGGAGAGATTCAATAAAATGTTTTATTGCCAACTTTTTATTATCGTTTTTATTAAGGATGCGATCACCTCCTCTTGTTTCTCGTGGCATATTCCCTTTTAAAACAAAATTTTTCATGACTCTCTCAATCCGGTCTCTACTAAGGAAGGTGATTTTTAAGAATGCTGTCTTACAAACACGGATTTTTTTAGCAGAAGTTCTCACATAATAGAATATGGAGATTTTTTCCTTTTTCACTTTCGATCTATTGCACTTCTGGCCTTCACAACTTGCAATTATAAAACTATCTTGTTTACATTTTTACTTAGATGCATACAGTTTTCTATGAAAATCTTGAATTTGGCTCATTGTTAAAGTGGTACAATAATACGGTTTGCCCGGCTGGCCATTATGTCCACAGGTCGGGTACTCCGGTAACTGTGTCGGAGTGTACCTAAAATAATACAGTTTTATAACAAAATTTATTCTAACAAATCGACGTCGTTTTTACTACCTCAATCTTTTGAGCTTCTGCCTTTTACTTTCCGTCGTAATCATCTTTCTACACATGTTCTGTGGAGTAGGTTGTATCGCTAAAGTAACACTATCATTGGCTGCAGAAATTTCACTTTCTGTTTCCATTTCAATACTTTTAAAAATAGGAAACTTTAAGTTAAACAAACAAGTCAGAACACCGCTAAAACGCAACTGACTCAAACCACACAAGTGAACAACCAACATCTGATGCTCGTCACTCAGCACGTGAGTAAAATCCCCTGTTGTGATTGGACGCCTTACAAATAGAGAGTATTGCATCGCACGCGTCAATGCATAAAGCGAGTTTTGCATCAAGTCATGATATTCGGGCCAGATTTCCTGTGTTAAAAAGCTAGGTTTGCTCTAAGTACTTGTGTAAAATATTAATTAAATATTGTACGAACAAGATGGGGTGCTTAACTAGTTTTTTCAATTTTTGTCGATTAGCGAGTTTTGCATCTCGTGGACTCATTTGATAGCTTGCGCAATTTCAGAATCTGGGCAAATACTTTTAACTAAATTCGGAATATGTTCCATTAATCTTATTGGCAAGATATGCTCCGCTATAAAACCAGCAAGTCGCAAAACACCCTCTTTTGCCTTTTCGTCGATATTTTTGGATTTTTTGCCAAAGATTGACGCCACAGATGGCTGCGATTTGATGGTTGATATTGACTTTATGTGTTTGGAAGTGGTGGTATGCTTTTTAATTTCTCCTTTGCCCCTGGCAATACTGATATCGCGACTGCAGAATTTGCACCTAAAATATTATAAACTTAAATTATTTGTAAAGTTACAAAATCATACAACAAACTATCATACCACGCGTAAGTTGGACCTTTCTTACTTGACTGGAGCCACTTCCACTGTTTTTCCCAGTCCCTTTTGTATTTCTGCGTATAATCCGCACTTTTTAATTTTTTTTAGGCGTGCTAACACTGCTAACATCTTTTATTTCTTGCATCGGCACATCACTCTCACTATCAGAAGTATTACACATTTTAAATACGATTTATAATAAAATACTAGATGGAAGTATCAGTAAGCAAAATGCACAAGTTAAAACAAGTAGTGAAGGCAAACTGACAACGTACGACGTGATCAACATGACCGGCTCTACGGGATTCCGCGAATTAATCATCGGTGCCGCCAATTGATAGATCGCGTGAAAGCCTAAAACTTTCCTATATAAACATGAATAGGTGGAGTTGATACATTGATTTGGGTGCTGTTGGCATTTTAAATAAGTAAAAGTAATTATTTTTTTTATAAAATCTCAAAAATCGCGAGAATTGGCACTTTATTCGTGTAATCGTGTAAAAAGGACCGAAATCGTGTAATTACACGATTAATCTGGCAACATTGGTTGGAGAGTAATGCGCGGCTGGGCCGGGATGACGTAATACTCATATCGTTGTCGAGTTAGTCTACATACCCCTATAGTCAACCATCCCCGGTCTCCCCTAGTGAAATTCATAAATCATAAGAGAAAACTGTTTTACCGATAGAGAGAAACACACCTTTTTCTATATTTTTGAAACATTATGTTCAACGTTGTACCAGACGTAAATTTTACATGAAAATATTTCAAAGGAAAATGACATATTTGTTTAAACATAACGTTAGCATGACGCTGAATAAATTCTATAAACATTTAAAGAAGTAATAAACACACAAAATAACAAAAACGAGCATTGATACTTTTTACTCTTTTTTTCATGAAGCGCTTTAAAAATATAAAAAAGAAGTGTAGCACATAATACACCTTAATAAAATACTATAACGAATATAAATATTAGAATAATAGTTTTCGAAATTACTTAAATAATGTACTGGTTTGGACGCCGGCCTGTCCCTCTGACAGACAAGGATTGAAATTATTGGGAAAACTAATTTACATTTCACTGTAATCAGTATTTTCAAATATATTTTTAGAATATCGTAATAGCATGCATTGTTTATATCCAAAAATCACACTATGAACAAACTACCAACCAATTCCAAAATTATCAAATCAAAAAAGATCGAAGCAATCACTGCAATCGGCATACAATCAAAAATAATGAAAAAACAACCAAAAAGAAATTGGTAGGCAACAAAAACAAATTAATAATAATTGAAAACCAAACTCTGAATCTACCTAGTCCGAAATCGTTAACTGGAATTATGTGCTGTGGATCTGCTTCCGCGATGGCTCTAGCGGTGTCCATTCATAGCTTCTATGTAAGCTGTAAGTCCGTTGTGCCATTCATCCATAGGTGGCGTTTGAAGCAAGTACGCGTGGCGTGGGTAGTACTTGAGTGACAACGATGGTGATCAGATCGCTATGATAGCGAATGTTTTAGATATTGTGAGTGCATTTGCGTAGTGTGCAATTTCCCGTACGTAAGCCAAGCTCCGCAAATGGTACGGTGCCGATCTGCTTACTTATTCCCTATGACATTGGTAAGTAACCGCCAAAAACCGTGAAAAGACTTACAAGAGCATGAGGATAATCTTCAGATGTCCCATCTACGAAATGTTCGCCAAAGTATTAGGAATCCATTGTTAAATTTTTTTATTTTATGTGCCAAAGAGTCTTTCCATTTCTTCGTAGGTTAATTTTACGTTGGCAACATTTTCTTTTGGAAATGCCTGAAAAAGGGTCATGTTTATACCTGTTAGTTGAAAATAAATATTGAGGATTGTGTATCTCATTAAGCTAAGTTAATCAAGATTTACCTGGTAATAGTAAGTAGTAAATTAAAAGAGCACTTGAACATTTCTATTACGTGATAAATTGTACTTTATGTAATGATGCAGTTGGACTGCTCTTTTACTTCAAAATCAGGTTTTTTCTATCGATTGGAGCAATAACATATTTGATACTTTTGAGAAAAACACATATTTATTGATGCTAATGCATATCATTGTTACTCATGTCTCTATACAGGGTGTTTCAGAAATATGTGACAATATTTCTAGGGCATGTAGTAGATCAAGAACTAACCTGAAGGGTTCATGTAAACATGGGTTATAAACTGTCATTTTGCCATGTTGAAATTATAATTACAAAATCTAAATAAAAATCAAATCTTTGTAGTGGATTGAGACATTTGACATTTGGTGCATGATACAAAAACCAATACATAAAAAAACTCTCGTGTTGAAATTGAATCCGTTGGTGTAAATAACATTATTCCGCCACCGACTTTTTTAAAACATCAATTGCATTTTTGGATCAATTTTACATGAATCTTTTGGAGAAAAACAGGTTTGGATATTTAATACAATCCGTAAAAAAAACTCAAACCTGTTGTACTTTGAAAATTAACTGAGGCTAGTAAAGTTTAAAATTAAAATTAAAATTTTTATGTAGGAGATAAATTGTTACTGTATAGCGTTTTTTGGGCAATGTTCATGTTTTGTCTTTGTCCTTATTCAATCTCATTAGTGGCTTAGAAATTCACAACACACTGTATCTTGACAAGGAGACATTTTATGACCAAAATTATAAGTTTTTTGTTTTGTATATATTTTCTGCCCTAGAAATATTAATATGTTTTTCGGCAATACCCTGTAGATTATTGTTTGTTTTGTTTGAACAATAGTGAAATTAATACTCAAACTGGATAACTAGCTATAAATGCCTATCAAGTATTCTTTAATTAAAATTGCTCTATCACATACATACCTGCACTTTTGCTTTTTTAAGTACATATTCATATTGAGGCAAAATATAAGGCGTCCCTTAAATTCCGAACCTTTTGAAACTGTGATATATGAAACAAATTTTTCTTAGATCTGCCATTTATAGCTTTAAACCATATGGTTTGGGTCACTAAGGTGAATAGCAAGAGTTTTTTGATAAGTTAATAGTATTTACTTTTGATACTGTTATACATTTACTTATTATTGAATAGCCTTTGTGACATTATTTGATAGGCATTTAATAAACCTCTCGAATATTACTTACTTTATATGTATATTCATTGGACAACTCCACGTTCCAAAGTTTTTTTCGAAAATTGCGCTTAAAAGACACAAACAATTCCTTCAAACTAGTCTAAAAAAACTGAACGCATCATTTGCCATTGCAATTCGAAGTTGCTGTTACAAAACTCATTCTATGTTTTGAAGACGGAAATATCATACCAGTTTTTAGTTAACGTTTTCCTTATTAATATTATGGATTATATATTTAGTTTCGCGTAATAGTTTTTTTTTCTGTAAATAATTCTTCAGGTATGATAGATATTGTTTGTATATAATCATCTGTATTTGAGACTTATTGAATATACGTGATATTTTTTTAATTGACTTTTCTCTGTATCTGTTACCCCGTTACCTGAATGCCGTCGTTCAGTAAATGCCAGAAAGAAAAATAAACATTCCAGTACTCGTATTCTAACTCCTGAAAAATATATAATGTACAATTTGAAAAAGACCGGCGAGGTCGCCTAAATTCCAGTAATTGTTTTCTTCTCATCTGTTGTTTTATTTAACATGGAGACGAGTCCCGTCTGCACCATTAATTCACAGTCTAATGCATGAGAACTTGATTTGTCGCGAAGACAATCTCGTCAATTCCAACAGCTAAGAATAGAAGATATGTTTATTTAGGATTAAGCAGTACCAGATACAGGAGCGGATTGTGTAGTGTGGGCTGCCTACTTTTTGAGGGTATTGTCAAGCCATTTGTGCTTATTGTAAAGTAACTAAGAAGGGAAATGAATAACATTGTAAGAACAGAATGCATTTATCTTAAGTAAAGTTTTCAAACAACAATTTGGTCTCTCCTTCGTTCCCCTTTCCTCATTTATTTCTGTCTGAAGCCTTGGGGGGGGGCGGTTACCTGGCCCTCTGTTACTGTTATGTCAGTGGGCTTTGTTCCTCAGAGCTGATACCAAAAAGCCTTGAGCCTGCTAGATGGACCCACCAGGCTTCTGCCTCCCATTCTAACTCTGTCGAACTTCATACATCTAGAACTGGCCGGTACGACTGCTTCTTTGTTCCTAGGATGTCGAGATTGTGGAAAAATGTATCTGGGGAGGATTGTCTCAGTTCTGCTAACCAGGCAGCTCAAACATCATATTAACAAGAGATCTTTAAGCTCCTTATTGCAGTGCCTGGTGTCTAGGCTTATGCATATGTGGCTGCATCCAGGATCGGCTTCAGAGTTTTGTGCAATCTGAGTCAAAGGAAAAAATATGCGCCCTCTCCCCATATTGAGAATTTTGGGCCTCCCATGATACTGCGCCCCGAGGCGGCTGCCTCACTTCCTTACAACATGTGCTGTGTAAAATCTATTTCTTTTTATCTTTATTATAACCAAAGTTTAAAACAAGGAGGTAAATCAACAAAGATATCGTTATCGTTCCATGCAAAATAATGAAGATCCACATCACCAATTTTTTCTTTTTTGTGTCTTGTTCTTTCTTATCGGGTTCAGAGTGAAAGCCCATGTCCGATGGTGATACTGCTGTTAGAACACCTGTACGATGCATGCTTCAAAATTCAAAAAATATCCAAGGAATATTTAAGTACGAAAAAGGCTGAAGTGGAAGTTATGACTTGTGTCATATATGCTGCCAGAATGACACTAACAGCTGTCATAAAATATTTTTGAAAATGCCTGAAGACCCCCTTTTCCCAGTTCTGTTTTTTGTTATGTATTACAAGCATTATGGATAACAGCCTGAGATTTTAACCATATTGCCATCTGATGGAACCACATTCAAAAGAACGAACACTTCGAACTATGATTTGCAAGAAAAGTACCCTAGAAGCAAGTTGAAGCATCCTTTGGGCGGCTATAACATTACGTGACACTCGTCATTTTAACGCAGACTGAAAACAACAACACCATGGTATGCAGACTCAAATTGAGAAAGTGTTACTCATACTAGTGGTTACTTGGACAGTGACCTTCATAGGTCTTATAATTTAATAGTATTTATGATCTAACTTTGTTCAGATCTATTATTATGCTGAAAATAGTTTTCAAACTGTGGGTCAGTGGAGTTTGGCGTAGTGGCAAAGAGTGTGCAATCAGCCAAGGAAATGATACGACACGTATTAAAGACACTGCTTCCTGTTCATTGTAAATATATTCAGAGACAAAAAATAGAGCAGTCAGTAAAACTAAGGTCACCATTAAGTAGGACGGCAAAACAGTGTATCCAGTAAATACTGGAACCTCATCTTTTGCTATTTTCTCAAACGCCTGAGAACCCTATTTTTCGCCAAGATAATGCCCGTCCTCATTTTGTTAGAGCTACACAATAAACTGCCTTAATGATGCTCAAGTCAGCCTTATTTTTTCCCCCTAGATTTACAGACTCTCGCTCATTGAATATGTGTGGGATATGGTGGGTATATTAGTGACTTCTTGTAACCTCATCCTCCGCAAAGATTAGCAGCTCTGTGGAACAAGTAGTCAGCTTGATATGAGATATAGAGAGTATTTTGACTTCAAAATTTAGTTACGGCTTCCTCTTATATCTAACTGTAACACAAAGTTTATAGTGGAATTTAATAATTTATGTACAATATTATCTAACAATAGTTGAAAGCACGAATTGCAAAAAGGAAGGTCAAAGTTACACTTACAGGTGTTGAAAATCATACGTTTGCGTATCTTTAGTTTGAAAATCATAATTGTGAATACTCACGATCAGTGGTTGTTTTACCCTGAAGTGTATCGTACCTCCCCAACTTCAAGACTTTAATAAAACGTATATAATCTGAACGGAGCAAAGCTTGTGTTAGCAAGATACAACGCTTTCCAATTCTAATAGAATTGAAACAGTGGTCTGTCATCAAAAGTTAAATGGCTATTGTGCAAAGATATGTTGTAGGATTAATTATATACTGAAAAAAAGTAGATAGAACGTCAGAATGTTGAAAATAATGCAAAAATCAGCATATGTTAAAACTATTTTAAGATCTCGACTGCGCAGTTCCTCCCAAAAAAGCTTGCGTTTATCGATTAAATTATGACTCAACATTCAACGGGAACGTGTGCTTAGAGATGGGTAGTGCACTAAAATTATCGAGTAGAATTTTTGTTGTATTTCTCAGAGCTCCTCATTAATTGTCAAAGATGAAGAACTCAGCTTGGCGATACCTGTTCGCAGGGTCGACCACATTTACAAATTAGGGCACCTTCAATAAAGTACACTTCAGAATTCTACTGGCGAGTAAGTAATGTATTCGCGGAAAACTCCGAAAATGATATATTGTTTTTTATGTTATATGACAAGCACATCACTAAAAACCTTGTCACTCAACTCCTTCGGTCTGTCGGTCTGTCTGTCTGTCTGTCTGTCGGTCTATCTTCCGGCCTTTCTGTCGGTTTGTTTGTCCGAGTGTTTGTTTGTCTGTCTGTTTGTCAGTCTGTCGATCTACCTGTAAGTCGGTCTGTCTGTAGGTAGGCCTGTCGGTCGGTTTGTCTGTCGGTCAGTCTATAGGTCGGTCGGTCTGTCGGTCTATCTTTCGGTCTGTCTGTCGGTTTGTCTGTTGTACTGTCTGTTTGACTGTCTGTTTGTCGGTTGGTGTGTCTGTCTGTCGGTCTACCTTTCGGCGTGTCTGTCGGTTTGTTTGTCGGTATAACTGTAAGTGCGCTAATCCTTGCCTCGTCTATAACTTGGTAAGTACTGCTCGGATTTGGATAAAATTTCTACACAAGATTATTACTACGTCAAGGACGAATAATCTTTTAAATTTTTCAAAATTTGGACCAGTTGAGGCGGAGAAATGAGTCAAAAACAGACAAAATATAAAAATCGCTTAAACTTTTTTGACGCTTCAGAGGATCCTGACTTTGTTCACTCGCGTTAGCATGGGCGTGCGATGTGTTTCTCTGGTATCTTACTTTTCGGTTTCCGAGTATATACATGATGCATATACAGTGTTAATTTGAGTGGGAGGTGCTGAGTCAAACTACTTGACGCCATTTTTTTATTGAATCATACGGAGTAATCGGCAGACTTCGACAAAATCCATAGCTTTAAGTAAAAGTTATTGATAACTTAAAGATAACATGAACATTTTTATAAAGTACCGAGGCACAATGCGACCAGCTTGTTAGTCACTATAGTTTGTTTTGGAAACGCCCATCCCTAATAATTTCATTGAAGCAAGCTTTGTTAGGCTTCGTTGCACACTGCTCAGTCCATTGTATTTGATGACATCGTAGAATTATAGTAAAATCTATTTTGATTACTCGCTTATTGTTTGTCTTTTAAACGTACTTATTAAGAAGTTATTTTTCTTTCAGTATTCCATAACATTGCGAATGCTATTTTTTATTCTGTAAATATTGTGACCGCAGGAGCTTGGCGTAAATGGCAGAAACACCGTAATCGTGAGTTCGAATCTCGCTGACCTCAGCCATTAAGTTTTCTGGTTGTTATATGACATGTACATCACGAAAAACCATGTCATTCATTTTCGTCGGTCTGTCTGTCGGTCTGTCTGCTAATTGTTGGCTCGCCCTTAACTAGAAACTGTTCTAATTTCTCTTATAAATTTTTACACAAGGTTACTACTATGACAAATACAAAAAAGTTATTTAGTTTTTGAAAATCGTTTCATTTGCGGCTAAGAAAATGGCAAAATTAAAAAAACAAATATCGCTTTTTTTGACATTTTAGAGGATCTTGATCATTTTAGGGGTAAAACATTTGTGGATGGATGGTTGTAGGTTGGGGACCACCACCATTTTTTAATAATAATGCATTTCCAAACACGCTAATTCTACGCACCTGTTAGACATATTTCACTCATCATAGATTTCCCCATACATTTGCCCTTAAAACTCCGAACTATAGAGAAATGTTTTTGATACGCATTCTTGCGTCAGCTCTCTGGTTTCACTACCTAGTTGCCAAAATCGATTTTTGATTAGTTAAATTTAACCCCCTTAGAAGTTTGCTCAGTAAATTTATTCTGGCTCATGAACTGTCCTAATAAATTTTTCACCCATTCCCTAAGGGTTGAAGTAGATTTTTTAATTATGTGGTTTTTGGCTGGTACTTCTTTAGAAGTTCGCTCAGTAAATTTGATGTAGTAATTGTCTTAATATATGAGTAATTTTTCGAGATACATTTAATTAAGCACCATTCCTTAAGGGTTGAAATCGATTTCGTAATTATCTGGTTTTGGGCTGCTACCCATTTGGAAGTTCGATCAGTAAATTTGATCCAGCCCATAAATTGTCTTAATATATATGATTAATTTTTCGAGATACGTTTCATCGAGGACACCCATTCCCTAAGGATTCAAATAGATTTTTTAATCATTTAGTTTTTGGCTGCTACCCCTTTAGAAGATTGCTCAGTTACTTTATTTGGCCGTAATTGTTTCTGGTTGCATTTTATTATGTATACTCTAACTAGGGTTATAAGAGCAGATTATTCCTTTTGGAACGACGTCACTCTTCGTTCGGGTATTTTTGGGAAATACTGTGTACTGGAATTTGGCTGCTAACTTTACACCGGTTGTATGTAGTTGCTTCAAACGGCCACTGCTAATTCCAAATATTAGATTACAGCTTGTTACAACTAAAAGTAATATCTAAACAATTCTTCGGCATTAGTTGCTGCTTGCAACTCATAGGATTTGGATTCGAAGTCGGGATAATGAGTTCTGCTCCGCTTCAGAGATATGAAACTAAATCCATGTTTAGTGTCACGGACTGAAATAGAAATTCAAAGTTCTATAAAACATCCGATTTCATAATGTCTTTAGTTGATAAGAAGGTTTAGATTCTTTCAAGATACTTCTGGGATATTTTATGAACTATAAAGAAAATATGTACTACAAGCCTTACATATTTTCTAATAGAGCACCCTCTGTGAGATGAGTTTTGTAGTCAATAACATATAAGCCAATATACGGAATTCTATCTTTGACTCTTCCTGACATAGTTGAAAAGTCCATGCAGGAGTAAAATACCGACACAAATAATAATGTACGGTAAACTTCAGGTTGAAATTACCGTGGAGTAGCTCATTAGCCATAACATTTTGCTGAATTTTATAACTGAGATTAACTCAACGAGATCTATCTCTATTAAATTTCTTGTTACATATCAACCAAAAAGAACGTAACATCAAAACAAATGTCACTATTATGCACTTGAAGCGGATACCGACGAGGTTTCAAAATTCGTTGATATTGGGTCTGTTTGAATATCTAGTAGGCATGAAACAGAAAAAACACGATACTTTTTTCGCTTTTCGAAGTTTATTTGCCGAATAACGGGCTTCGAAAAAATAGCCGTACTAGAAATTGGGAATCATTCGAAGAATTTTTCGGATTTAAAAATATTACATTAAGATATCAAGCAGGATGATTTATATAGGACGATTTCTCTATTTTTTGATGAGAAAATAAAATTTTAAATTAAAAGAAAAATGAGCTAAACCTGAAGTAAACATTTCAAATCAAAATTTGTATAATTTCGGTCGTTCTTATCTCTGATTTTTTTTCTCCAAAATATAGCCTAAAGCCTATAGCCTCAGAACATCCAAGACCAGGCTCATCTAAAGACTTAAATTCAGCTCCCCCAAAACATTTAAGATGTAAGTATGTTTCAGTATATATTTTGCAAGTATTTAGTTTAAAAAAAACTTAAATTTAATTCAATCAAATAAATTTTCAAACTTGTATGTATAAAATAATATTCAGTCAAATATTTGTCTGTGGTTTTCAACTTCTTTTATTTTAATTTTTTTTATTCATGGGTGAAAGCTGGGCTGAAAGCTATACCCCAAAAGCAGGATTCTCCTTCCAGAAGTTCAGAAACTGCTAAAGGTAGCTATTTTTATTTTTTATTCAAGTTACTTTCAGTATATTCCTTTTTTGAAAAAGCTCAGACACTTTGAAATTTATTATTGAATTTATTAAGAAGATTTAAATTTTATTTTTAGTAACTTAATAATTAGTTAAAATTTTTCCTATCTTTACTTTTATAAATTAATTACTCATTTGTTCTCAAGAAGATTGTTATTTTATACTTTACATAGGTACTACCACGTGCAGAAAACACATGGATATCGCATATCTCCTGAACTATGGATGACCTTATCTTATAAAAGGATAACAAGTCACTATCACACTGATAATAGATCCCTGGCAATGCATGCCTGATAACAATTGGATGGTGTTCAAGTTCAATACCGACTACTTTGAGATTCCTAACAACTTGCATAACTGTTATTTTTATGTATTGTATTAAAAAAATCCACATTTTAAAAACATAACCAGGTTGAGCGTTATTTTACCTAAAATACCTTATATATAATTTGAATATTTGATTCAAATTTAGCGCCACAGTGTAATAGGGAAGTACAAAGATGGCGCTAGGTATTCGATATTTTTGAAGGGTTCTATAACAGTTCGTATAGGTTCTATAAAAAGTTCGGAGAATGTCCCTGAGATGACGCTACAAACTTAGTGATAAACCTTAGCATTACAGATTCCCTTATAAAGTAGGTGTTATGTAGTTCGTCGTTCTTACAATTTATTGTAGGACGCCTTTATGGCCTCCTTGATTTTTATAATCTTTTCTCCCGTTCAGACAGGCTTTTTTTATTGTAGGAAATTTTATGCTGATATAAGAGATGATATAAATCAAAGCATGAACAATTTGATACAAATAGATTTTGTAGCATAACCTCAAAATAGAGCGCTGACACGGAACAGTAGAAAACAATGAAAATCAAAGAGGCCATAAAGGCGTCCTACAATATTGTAGGAAGGACTGACGATACGGCTATTAATCTTCAAAGCATCATAAGCTGGATAATATGACTGCTTCTTTATTAAAAGTCCTAGGGTTTCGAAACTGCTTACGTCATAATCAAATTATTAGTTCATGTGATAGATTTATTCAAACTTTACTACACAATCTTGCATCATCATACTTTTATGCGTTCTTACAAACAATTCAAAAGTGCTGGTATTCATTTGAAGTTCTTAAGTAGTGTGAAGTAAGAGTAGGCTGTACGAATAATCTGAAAAAAGAACAACGGCTTTAGTATAGGCATTAATTGGCGTATTCTACAAGAAGATGCCCAATCCTAAGCCGAACTTCGCCGTTCACATACTGTTTCTATCGTCACTAGTAGAGTACTCGTAATTTCCTTAGATCCTTGGAAGTTATACAAACATATTACATATTTCTTCAAAATGACGTCAACTTTTGAAGGAATTGTTACCCCTCTACCTCTCTCGTAAGTATTTCTAAGATTTTGTTGTGTTGTCAATGACAGAAGAAGAAATCCCATAACCTGAACCAACAGTCCGAGATTGGCATCTAAAGACTGTGGTCTACATCAGGTATACAGTGCTTTTCAAAAATCCCCCCCTCACTTTACCTTTGGAATGGATGGAGTTGAAGTTTTTAAACGAATGGTGGGCGATCTGATACCTCATGTTAAAGCTCCTTATGAGTACCTTATGACCGTAGAGCAGGGATGGCGAACCAAAGGCACGCGTGCGTGTTATAAAACGTCGTGAGCCATCATTCACCAACAAGCCTTGTTTGCTAAGAGTGGTTTAACATCTCTTGATAACATACTAGCGGTAGTTTCAAAAATAGTCAACCTCATCTCGTCACAGGCTTTAAACAAGCGAAAGTTCGATGCTTTGTTGGATGAAGTCAACTCGGTGTACAATGGCTTACTGATGTTCGGGGTGCGGCAGAGAGGACGGACGTTTTTGGGATGGGTAGTACTCTCCGCCTCCGTCTACGAGAGAGGTGGGGAGGGTGCCGTTTGACTCGTGAGATCCTAGCATTATTTTACCAGTCATCGTTATGGAGCCTTGGACGGTGGAGCACCGCGTTTTCGCCTATGATTGTTTCGTCTGAAGTAATGAGTCAGTCATCGTCGTACAGCGTGAGTTTCGTCGCCATTTCAACATTCATCGGAATAGAGCTGTTCCCTCTCGAAACACCATCCTTCGTTGGGTTGAATCACTTCGCAGGCGTAGTGAACTGATCAACAGAAGCCCAAAAGGAGCGCCGCGAACAGTTCGAACTCCTGAAAATGTTGAACTCGTTCGACAGGTCTTTCTTCGCAGTCCGACTCGATCTGCCCGGAAACATGCTGCTGCACTTCGCCTTAGTGATCGTTCGGTAAGTCGAATTTTGCATATGGATCTCCACTTTCACCCCTACAAATTAGCCACTGTGTAACAGTTAAAGCCCGGAGATTATGAACAACGAATGAACTTCGCAAGTGAGATGGAAGCACTGATCGATCAAAATGAGAACCTCATTTTGTTTATGAGTGGGGACACCTCAAGGCTAGAGTATGCGCGAACAATCCCCGAACTCTGGGCGAATTGAAGGGCGAAATTCGCGTGGAAGTCGCCCAAGTTGAGAGAGTCTACGCGAACCTCCAAGAACGCCTCCAGCACTGCGTCAACGATTTCGGCCACCACATGCCTGATGTGATTTTCCACACTTGACTGTCTCAAATGCTATTTCCTCGTGAACCTGCTTCCATCAATAAATTTGTTTTCGAGTAAAAGTTAACTATTTTATGATTTTTTTAAAACCGTCCATCCTCTCTGCCGCACCCTGTATAATAATGTTCGCTGGTTGAGCCGCGGGAACGTACTTGAAAGATTTGTTAGTTGCCTGGGCGAAATCAGACTGTTTCTTCAAAATGAGAGGAAAATTGAACAATACCCACAATTGTTCGATGTTATGTGGCTTTCAAAATTGATGTTTTTTACAGACATATGCCAACATTTAAATACGCTAAACGTGAAGCTTCAAAACCAAAACAATTATTGTTATGGTAGATCTGATTCGCGCTTTAGAGGCTAAACTAAAAGATTTCAGCAACGATATTCTCACAAGAAATTACAAGTATTTTGCAAACTTGAAAAAATATATGAACGATTTAGATATACATGAGACACCAGACAAAGAAAGAATTACTGAAGAATTTATTTCTTTGATTGATTATTTAATCAAGGAATTATCAGCGAGATTTACGCAGTTCAAGGAATTATCGGAAATAATCAAGTTTGTTATGTACCCTGACGTGACGTCATTTAATAAATTGAACTTGTCCCAAATCGATTGGTTGGAAATCGAAGAATTCGAAATGCAGTCCAGTTCAATATGGATTCAAAAATTTATTGAAACAAGGATAAAGTTGGAACTAATAGAAACAGAAAGATTGACAAGTGATATAAGTGAAAATGCTTATAAAAAAGTTTGGGAAACGTGGAATGCATTACCGGACACATTTAACTGTTTGAAGAAGCTGGCTCATGCTATATTAACGATATTTTCGTCTACATATGCTTGCGAGTCATTATTTTCAGAAATGAACAATATTAAAGACTCGATTAGAAACCGTTTAACAGACGAATGCAGTTCAGCATGCATTCTGCTAAAAGTAACATCTTACAACCCTGATATAAATTATTTATCACCTAATCTGCAATAACAGAAGTCACACTAATTTTACTTTAACTGAAATTACGAATTTAATTGAAACATTGCAAAATGTACCTTCTTTGTAGCAAATAAAGAATTGATAATATTTATTACTTATTATTATTTTCACAGAAATCCGTTGCAGGAACTTCTCCTGAAGAAAGTCTGGACTTGGCTTTTCGCGGTGCTGCCTCTCCAGGCTTTTGCCACTCCATGGAAAAATTTTTTGCCAGTCCTATACTTGTGTCCTTTGAACTGTCTTATCGCCGAACTGTGCTGTTGCTTAGACATGATGCTACTAACAGCTAATCTACTTCGGCGCGCCAAACCGACTGACTCCCCTCTAGCTGAAATCCCCACCCAACAAATACGAAGATGTTGCTCCACTCCATTCAACCTATGGCGCGTTAAACAGAAAAGTCCGGTTCATATTTGATTCATCCTCGTAGTTCCCCAAATATGACGTAAACCTATTAGAGTTATCCGCATTCTTGGAAACTGCTAAAACATTAACACCTTTAGGGATACCAACTCAAGTAACGCTAATTGTGAGCGGAATTTATTCGAAATTGATTGGCAATGCTCGAGAAGTGTACTCGCATCCCTAAAAACTGGTGATAAAAGAGACAAAAATGAATCATGGATCTTGACCAATTAAGACAAGGTAACGAAAACGCCTTACAATTTTACACAAAATTATGTCAAGATTAAGTGCTTTACACAATTTTATTGATCACATGAAGTTGATAACACTAAACAAGATAAAATCACTATTTTGGTCCACAACATTATCAGGGACCACAATTTTATCCGAATTCCCAAAAGGTCCAAAGACCAAATCTATCTCAGCATTTTCAAAATCCATTCAACCAAGCTTCTCAACAATATTTCTCCGTGGCCCATTTCCAATACAACCTAGGCCAGCACCACCGCAAAAATATCCAACTAATAGACAAGTTTTTGGTCCACCTAGAAATGTTTATAGACCTAACCCATCTCAAAAACAACCACGGCCTACCCCTATGAGTGGAGTTTATAATGGTACTGCTCCGAAACCAAATTCCCAAAATTTCCGACCAAATCAAAATTACTTTAGACGTTATGGGAAATCTAATTTCATAGATGAAAAGCTATTCAACTTCCATGAACAATACCCTTCCGAGGAATATTCTGATTAATATGAAGACACCCCCGAATCATACGATTTAGGCAGCAGCGGTGGCCGCAGTAGTAGACTCTTCGGTCTCCTGATCAGTCGCCGTGCGCTGTGCGGGTTCGAGTCCCGTCCCAGGAGACATTTTTCTCTTGGCTATGGATGTTGTGATTGTCCCTAGGTAGTAGACGGTCTCTGACTGTCGAACGCGGAGGTACCACCCGGCGGATCTCGTAGGCGGAGCCAGAATGTGTGCATGTTGCATGCACACGTGTTCCTCGCCAGAGTCCGTGTGGCGTTCCCCCTTTCCCAGGAATCCCCCTATAGCCCCACGGTACCCAATAGATGCTTAGGCCTTAGGCCTTCGTGGTAGTTGGAGTATAAAAAAAAATCAATACGAGATTTGCGATTCTGAACCTAATGACATTCAAAATCAACCGAATACTCTGAAACCTCTGCAGAAAATTTTCGGCATCTACCTAGAAATCCACCATCTTTATGAATGCAAATATTTACCTTATATTCAAGTTATAAACCCCCCTTTAATGCTCTTAACTGACACTGAAGCCACAAAGTCATCCTAAATCCTGATATTGCAGAAAATTTCAATCCCGAATACATACGGAAAGAACCATTCACAATTTCTTCAATTTGACAAACCACAAGACGTGATCTAAGTGTAAATATTCTTGCAATTCCAAATTAAATTCTTCCAAAAGCATAAAGTGCTATTTATTCAAATTTCATCACTTGCTTGACGGACTTATCGGTTACGATACACTGAAATCAATAAATCTAAAATCTTCAACTATAAAAACTTTGCGCAGATGTTCCTGTATTTTCCGAATAGAATTCTTCCAAAAGCATGAAGTTCTATTTATTCAAATTTCATCACTTCTTTGACAGATTTATCGGTTACGAAACACTCAAAGATTTATGTGCTGCAATAAATCTAAAATATTCCACTATAAAAACGCCAAATTCCAAACTTCCCCTGTTTCATCACGAAGGAATACTTGTATTCTCCGCAAAGATACTGTGGAATCTGTCAACATTCCCGTATCTATAGCTAATGGCGATATTATTATCCCTCCTACAACCATATCGGTACTGGTAAAAATGGTTACGCCCCTGTCGAAATGAGGAGTGAATCTGATTAAACTGAAGATATTTATTTGTATTCGCTCATAAAGGCTGACCATTTTGACGATAGAATGTTTGAATTTTATCATACAAATCAGACATTACAAATTTAATGCGAACCAACTATTTAAATAATGATGAAGAAAAATATCATATTGAAAAACTTTGTAAATCATTTTCAGATATTTTTTACAAACCTGGTAGTAAGCTAACGTTCACTAAACAGATCAAGCATAGAATAAAAAGCACAGATCAGGTTTCAGTTCATTCTAAATCATATAGATATCCTTTTGTGAATAAGCCAGAAGTCAAAAGATAAATAAATGACATGCTCGATCAAGATATTATTAGGCCCAGAAACCTGATGCCAGTGGCAAGAAAAAATGGCATATCGTAGGAGATTATAGACAGCTATACCTGAAAACCATCGACGACGGTTACCCCATTCCTAACATTAATGAGATACTTGACAAACTTGGTAGATGTATGTACTTTTCTACCTTAGATCTAGCTATAGGTTTTTATCAAATCGAAATACATCTAGACGACATGTCAAAAATAGCAATCAGTGTCGATTTCAAAGGGTCATGGACAATGTCCTGAGGGATTTACAAAATAAAATATGTTTAGGTCATATGGATGATATTATTGTATTTTCCACTTCATTGCAAGAGCACCTAATTGACTTGAAAAAAGTATTTAAAAAATTAAGAGAACGCAATTTAAAAATTCAAATCGATAAATCAGAATTTCTGAAAAAAGAAGTTGCCTTTCTGGGCCACATAATCACTCCGAATGGGATCAAGCCCAACACGGTCAATGCTATAATTAATTATCCTATTCCAAAAACAAAAAGATAAATTAAATCGTGTTTATTGGGGTTATTAGGCTATTATCGAAAATGCATCAAACATTTTGCTCATATCACGAAACCATTCACAAATTGTTTGAGAAAAGGCGTCAAATAAACGTCAATGATCCTTTGTATATTAAGACATTCGAAGACTGTAAAGCTCTACTGACAAGCGAACCAATCCTCGCCTATCCTGATTTTTTCCAAGAGTTCCATTTGACCACAGATGCAAGCCACGTTGTCATATCAGCTACTTTGTCGCAAGATCCAGTTGAACAAGATAGACTAGTTTCTGTCTAAATTTAAGTCGTATGTTTAGTTTTTCGTTATTAGCAACGCAGTAAGATGCAGTTATACGAAGTTCTTTCTTTTCAATTTTGCCATCGTTTTTGGAACAGGCTGTTTTGCTAATTAACATGCTTTCACCGCTATTTTGAGCCATGCTCTCTCATAATACTCATGGATATATGATGTCTTTAACGGTGTCCCGAAAGAAGACTTCTGCGTTTCAAAGAGACCTTACTGATATTGCAGGACAAACTTTCTACTGGCTTGAATGTCTTTGCGTTGTGGTGACGTTGAGGCATAGTGTTCTATTGGATATCTTCTGGTGGGATATGTCAATCATGGTAGATATAGATAATACAACTATATTAACGGAAAAACTATCAAAATCTACTCCATTCATCCAAATCCTGAGATGATATACCGTGTTACTCTTCTGCCAGGCATTTACAGAGGTTTTGTTTTTCCTAGCATATTTCAAATGTTTGCTTCTTAATTGTTGCCTTATTATATTTTTAACTTAGAAAGAAAATTATATTTATCCAAATTAATACTAATAGTTGTTACAACCTTTGCCTAGGCCAGGAGTTCCCAACCAGGGGGGTGCTTTTGTCCCTTACATCGACGGAGATATCATTCAAGAAGAGATTTTGTACTCCTAATCTTTGACAGCAGTATCAATTCAGTATCAAATTTTGTTGAAAAAAATGATTTGCATTGGAAGAAACTCCCTGGACTTTGCACAGATGGCGCACCTGTAATGATAGGTGTACGATCGGGTACAGCTAAAAAGCCCAAGGAGAAAAGTCCCCCAATGGTTAGTACACATTGTGTTATTCATCGGCAAGCTTTGGCTTCTAAAACATTGCCACAGAAATTACGCCAGACTTTGGACACGGCTATCAGGATTTTCTTTACTTTGCGAGGATCTCGATTCTGATCACAAAGTTCTTCTGTTCCATACAGAAGTGCGCTGGCTGTCCAAAGGCAACATATTGGCTCACCTTTAGGAATTGAAAGAAGCGGTACATAATTCTTTTTCTTGAGCTCAAAAAAAAATTCGATTTCTTGACAATATTAAAAAATTACACATTTCAATGGAGGTTGGCTTATTTGACTGACATTTTTGACTCCATGAATGAGCTAAACTTGAAACTTCAGGGCAGAAACAACACTATGATACTCGTAAGCAATTATGATTATATTCAGGGGTTCATATCAAAGCTTCAATTTCATCAAACAGTGTCGTCTGAAAACGTTATATCTTTTTCTCGGCTGTTCGAAGAAATTAAAAATAGCATACTGGACGCAAATTTAAAAGGTGACAAAAACCCATTTGCAAGCGCTGGAAGACGAATTTCGCCGAGTAACCACTATGGCACATGACAAGAAATACATTTTTTGTCGATGTGTCACAATTTCCAGAAGAAGTTCAGGAAAAATTTCTAGAATTGAAGGCTGATTCGTCCATGAAAGATGACTTCCATCTTTTAAGATTAATGAAAATTTTGGATCAAAAGATTGCTTGTTAATTTGACACTTGCCTCTCTTGCTTTACGAATACTAGTTCCTTTTTTTTCAACTTACTTATGTGAGGCAGGCTTTTCTGCTCTAGTTTGAATTAAAACTAAACAGCGAAATCGTCTTGATGTCGATAGCGACCTGATGATAGCTCTGGCAAAAACAGTACCTAGAATCAACCAACTGATACAGAACATGTACATGCTCTTATTTTAATCAAGTTTTTCGATAAAAAAACATTTATTAGTTTATTTAAACTTTTAATGTTTCTTTATTAGAATTAAAATAAAAGTCTTTGTACATACATAATGTGCGTTTTTTTGTATTTATTGAAAAAGTAAATCGGGGCATGAGAATATAATTTATAGTTCGGGGAGCCTCAACAAAAAAAAGGTTGGGAAACCCTGGCTTAGACGATCTAATCGAAAGGCATCTTATATATATATAAGGTGTACCAGAATAACATGTTCATCTAACGTATGCATAAGTGTATACGAGTAGAACACAAACACATAATGCCGCAAGTTCCTACGGGACTTCCTTAGCGACACGGCTTCCTAAGGGACGCTACTCGAATATGGTTTCTCTCAAACAATTTTTAAAAGACATTGTATAATTCAACGAAATTTTAACACCTTAATATCTAATCGGGGCTTCACATGTTAGTGTTCTTAGAAAAGAGTCAACTCGTTTATATCACCAGAGATGGACTAGCTCCAACGAAAGATTGCTATTTTTTTGCATTCTGCATCATGACAACATTTTTTGTAAGCCTGATCTTTAAGTTGAAAAAATATACTCTTGTGTGATACCTTCAAGGTGGATCAATTTCTAAGAAAAACAGTTTTATTAAGGGCACTGGAACCACTATACTCGTGCTGCTTATGGCATTTCAGAAATATTGCATTTTTTATAGAAACTTGCGGAATTATTCTTCTGTGCTATATATACATACGAGATATTGATACGTTACTCTGGAACACCCTGTATACTGTAGTGATTACCGATACAAATACTGGTATAGAAAGGTTGCACAGTCCTCCACCTATTGGGATCTGCAATGGGGTATTTGACATGTGCATGAAGAATATGATGATCTTCTGTGTCTTCACATCAATACCAACCCAGTCACTGTGGAATATAGCTTGTGTTAAAGTTGTGCTCTGAAAAATATGATTGCTTATAATTTTTTTAAAATATAGTATGTTGGTTATGAGTACTTCTTGAGATATAGAGCACCCAACTAGCAAATATATATAATTTTGGACTGTCCGTGCTATTTTATTTTATAATTGCTTTATTTGTGCTCTTAGAATGCTATTTTGTTTTAAAATAACTGCCTGTAAGACAATTAAGCCTTTCTTAGAGCAAAAATATCAAAGAGTTTTAGGACAAGTATTAGGACAGTTTTATAAACGCTTAGACAACACTTTTATAAGATATTTAAGCTTACTGAACAAAATTTTTTTCGAATAGATTTGTAACGGTACAGTCCGAGACGAGTTTATTCGTTTGAGAACATCAGTAAAATTGTTTTATTAGCGCTCTGTGGAACAATTATAAAATTAATTTATTTATATTCTCTGTCATATATGTATAGTCGTTCGCTAAAGCATGTTTTACTCCCGACTTTCCAGCTAGGAAAGTTATTTTATAATTTTCAACTGTCCAAGGTCAGTTAAATTAAGACAAGAATGGAGATTTCAATGTTTAATCGAACCCCGTTTTAAAATAAAACAAATTTAATCGCGTTCCAGAATTACCGCGAAAAATGAATGCCTTATTCGTTTTTGTATAAATGCTTTTGTATCCTCACAACGAAAGAAAATATTAATAAATAAATTTTATAAACGTTTTACATAGCGCTAATGAAATAATTTTAGTGATGTTCACATACGAATGAAGTGAGATAGCAATGCTAATGCATGTAGCACCCTATACACATGCATGGACTTTTTACACTGAGCCTTTTTGCCTGCTTTTTAACTAAACTATACACATAAATTAAACTTTTTATTAAAATCTCTTATAATAAAACGTTTAATAAGTGTTATCAAGATAGTAAAATTATTTTATAATATGTTCATATTTTGTGTTATTTCAAGTTCAACCTTCAACAGCCATTTTCAAGTGTATTACAAAAAATCATTTCTACAATAATAAAATGTCTTTCTTTACTACTTTAGTGTTTATAAAATGATATGAGATGGTTTACTAGAATTATTCTATTTCTATACAGGCCAGAATAAGGAAAAATACATAATGGATATCTTGACATTTTTTGTTAAAATTCAATAATAACTAATGTAGCTGAGGCGCTTGAGAATTTTGCATACATATATCACATGTATTATAGAGAAAAAATTCTTGAGCAGTAAAATATCAAGCATTAGGTTACAAATCGAATGTCTGGTATTGGGTGTAAGCATATATCAGAACTAAATGCAGTATAGCTGATGTAGTCATTCAAAAATTTTATAAGGGTGTCTCAGTTTATTGTTGCATAACTTTAAGATTCGATAGAACTTTTAAAACTAATGCATAAAGTCTATATAAACATGGGTCAAAAAATGCGTTGCTTCCGAAATACAGGGTGTTCAAATTTACTTTCTAAAATAGTTTTTTTTAAATATTTCGAACAATATTTGATGTATAACAGTGAAAATTGGTGTACAAGGGTTTTTTGGTACGACAAAACGAACCATGGGCATAGTTTTACTGTAGCCGCTAGAGGGCGCTCTCTACTGTACCTGTAGTGTATTAAAATGACCGAAAATTTTTTCGTAGTGCAATTTTTTGCTTTTTGAATAAAACAGCTGATTCTTCGCACTATTCAACATCAAAAAGCACTCTTGTGAGTTTTCGTTATAGTTAGCCGTTTTTGAGACATTTCGATTTTTAAGGTTCGATGCATTTTTAATTATTTATGGGAAAATAATATTTTTTTTACATTTTCGATTTGGGCATTACAATTAATTAAGATGATCGTTTAGATTGTGTTTTTAAACACAGCAATAATTCCTAACTCCAAATAAACACAAAAAACAGAATATTAATTTGTTTAATTTTCCAATATTATTTTTAACAAATTAAATTAATTATTTACAACTAAAATGCTATTGGATAGTTAGAACAAACATACAAAATCTAAAGTAGTTGCTCGAAATGTAAACCCAATTGTTCAATACACCATTCACATGTACGAATGATCGAACGTGGTATAGCATTATTCAAACAAGGCCTTATTTCATCATATGCATTCCTGATTCTGTCTATTAGCATATCTCTTGTGGTTACGGGAGTCTGGTACACTTTTTCTTTTAGAAATCCCCACACAAAGAAATCTAATGGATTTAGATCAGGGGATCGTGGAGGCCAGGCGACTGGTCCTCCACTGCCGATCCATCTTTCTGGATAATTTTCGTCCCGCCAGTTTCTAACTATTCTCGAATAATGAGCTGGACAACCATAAAGTTGGAACCAGGCCAATCTGCTTAAATCTAACATAACATCATCCCAGATATTTGCATGTTCTGCCTTTAAAAATTCCAAGAAGGTCGCAGCATTTAACCTTGCAGGCAAAAGGTAGGGTCCAAATAGTCGATTACGGTAGATACCAATCCACACGTTCACACTAAATTCATGCTGAAAATTTCTTTCCCGAACTGCATGCGGATTTTCATGCGACCAAATATGTTGATTATGAAAATTTACCACTCCACGTCTAGTGAAGCATGACTCATCGGTCCATAAAACGTTACTTAAAAGCTCCCTATTATTATCAATTCTATCAGGAATCCACTGACAAAATGTGATTCTTCGTTCTCCGTCCCCTGGCTGTAGTCCTTGAATAGGTTGCAAATGGTAAGAACGTCTATGGTCATTTCTGAGAACACGGTGAACATGGCTTGCTGAAATTCCCAAGGCACCAGAAACTCTCCTAACACTTGTGGTCGGATCTCTATCAAACTCACGCAGAATCATACGGGTAAATCTGCGCTGACGAACATTTATGTTTTGATCCCTTTGGAGATTTCCAAAACCATTTTCAATTATTTGGCGATGCACTCTTACAAATACTGAGCGAGTTGGATGTCGTCTGTTTGGAAATCTTCGTGCGTATTCTCTGGCTGCTTCTGCTGCGTTTCCATTTACAAAGCCATACACTAAATGAATATCCGCTAACTCTTGATTGGAGAATAAAAATGGCATTTTTATAAAACTTGCAAAAAAAAAACAGGTAAAAGAAACTATATTCCGTGCATTCACAATTGCAAAAAAACGTTTCAGGTTTCAACAGACAACAAAACTATCTGTCAACTAATTGACGTTTAACCTTATTCTGCCTTCAATTTAAAAAATATTTGCAGGCACAGCCTACTTCTCAAAATTATCGAGATACTGACTTTTTAACGTTATTTTATCATAAATAATTAAAAATGCATCGAACCTTAAAAATCGAAATATCTCAAAAACGGCTACTTATAACGAAAATTCACAAGACAGCTTTTTATGTTGAAAAGCGCGAAGAATCAGTTTTTTTATTCAAAAAGCAAAAAATTACACTAAGAAAAAATGTTCGGTCATTTTAATACACTGTAGGTGCAGTAGAGAGCGCCCTCTAGCGGCTTCAGTAAAACTATGACCATGGTTCGTTTTGTCGTACCAAAAAAACCCTTGTATAGCAATTTTCACTGTTATACATCAAATATTGTTCGAAATATTTAAAAAAAACTATTTTAGAAAGTAAATTTAAACACCCTGTATTTCGGAAGCCATTTTTCGACCCATGTTTATATAGACTTTATGCATTAATCTTAAAAGTTCTATCGAATCTTAAAGTTATGCAACAATAAACTGAAACACCCTGTATATGAAGAAAGATCTAATGCTTGCTTTTTCTGTAGTATCAAGGATCATTAAAAAATAAAGTATTGTCAGCGGGTGCTTTTTAACAACGAAAACAAACTTTTAGTGTTAGTCAAAACAAAAAACCTGCATCTAAGACAATCAAACAACATTAATAACTTTGTGTTAGTCTAGTTCTATAACTGTTTTCAATAAAACTGTTTAATAATTGTTGCATACCATATTTTATAATAATTTTGAAAAAGGTCAAATAAAATTATCCGGTAAAAGCTGTGGATGACATAATAAAACAAATTAAAGAACAAAAATGTTGCGCAAGAATGCGCCCTTTTTGGATTTGTTTTATAAAAATAGTTCAATAAACGTTGTAAGGACATTTATAAAACATAAATTGTTAGTTGGGCACCTGTACAAGTTGGGGGATCTGTACCCAGTTACAGCGAGTTGTGTGCACGGTATACGGATGTTTGACATATATTTACATACATTCTCATCACCCGTATTGGCCAGTTGACCAAAATTACTATTTGACATATTTGCACTCTAGGTACTATGAGAGAAACGGGCCCATGTGTAGAAAAAAATATTCAAAATTCATTTCCGTAAACATGCTGGTTTTAACAGCAATGAAAAATAATTTAGATGGAGATTATTGATGTTGAATTGAAGATTTTTTATCTTTGGTGAATGCGTTCGGATAATAGGAAGGGTAGCAAGTAGGTAGCACATTCACTGTTATTTCAATAATTTCACGGTGCCAGAGGTATAATAGTAGTAGTAGTAGTAGTAGTTTTTTTAAAGACCGTCGCCAGACCGAAACCTGGAGCGAATGGGTCTACGAATATCCTGACGTTCTGGAACTGCCGCTGATGGTACATCTTCTCGCACGCAGGTTGTATTTTTCTCCATCATCTTCATCTTCTATCTCCCTCTTCTTTCCTCTACGACTCCCTTCCCAGATCAACCGTACTAGGAGTTCGGGGAGGTTGAATGTTAGAATCCTCGTGTCCCATTTGTTCGAACTGATTTGTTCGTTTCTCTCTGTTAGTCCTCTGGCCTGTATCGACCTGGTACGCATATCCTTTCCTGGCTAGTATGCCTTTTGCCACATTTGTGATAGCAGACCAGTTATCGAAAGGCTGCAGCATCGAGTTGAAAATATTGTCCAGGGTTACTTCCGTGCCTTAGCTCCGACTGCATTTTCTTCTCTGCAATCTGGGATACCTGAAGAAGGTGTGGAAGGCATCGTCCATGGCTCCGCAGTACAGGCAGCTTGGGTCGTCGCAAATGGCGAATCTGTTAAGATACGCTTAGAAACACCCGCGCTCTGTCAATAGCTGGGTCAGGTAGAAGTCCACTTCGCCATGCTCCCTTTTAACCCATGTCTCCAGATTTGGTATCAGTGCTCTCGTCCAGCGATCCTTACTGGTAACTTGCCATCGTTGCTGTCAGCTTCTCACCAGTTGATTGTACGCTGCTTGTCTTCCAGAGTTAGTGAGATCTTGCATGCACCTGCCTGCTCATTTCCACTGCCAGGTCTATGGGTAGCGTATTAGAAATGACTTCAACAGCCTCAGCCGATAGCGTGCAGTATGCACTACCAATTCGCATCAGTCTAGATAGAAGTGCGACTAGTTTTGTAGCTTCGGTCGCCGTCCTGTTTATATGCTCCCTAAAGGTGAGACTACAGTCAATCCATATGCCAAGGTATGTCAACAACTTCCCTCGTCGAACCTCTTGTCCATTTACCAAGAAAGATATTTCCTGTAATTTCCTATTCTTGGTGATTATCACTTCTTCCGTCTTTCCTGGGGCCTGCCTCTGAGCCAACAGCTAACCTCTTCAATAGCCCAGTCAGCCTTCTGCTTCAGCTCTATCTCACCTCTGGCGGCGACCGCTACAGCGAGATCATCCGCGAAGATGATCCCTACCAGGCTTTACCGTAATCTTGCGGTTCTCCAAGTAATTCACAAGCAGGCGCAACTAACCACCATCTGATACCATGTGTTTCAGCTTGCTAACGATTTCACCTCTGGATGCCACGTTGAATGCGTTCCGTACATCTAGAGTTATAAGAGTGTGTAGCTGCCTCTCCCTGCAAACGATGACGTCTGACTGCTTGGCAATTCTTATGAGTTCCTGTATGGTATCTAAAGTTGATCTCCCTTTACGGAAGCCATAGCGCCTAATGGAGAGTTCGCCCACTACATCCATGTCTTCGACTAGTCGATTCAGTAGCATATGCTCCAACAACTTACTTACCGCGTCTAGTAGCAGCTTCCTGAAGCTCTTCCATTGTAAATGGGATGCTGGCTCTATCTGAATCGTTATCAACTTGCAGTGGAGGGCTTGGTGGAAAAAGTGATCTAATTATTTCCAACCTCTTATCGAATGGAATTATATCCCAAGGGCCTAGATGCAGTCTCTTGACCACTTTTTGATATCCTTTGCCTTATATATCGTTGTCTACATCTCTCTTCCGAGTCGTTTCCTAGCCTCCCTGTACTCCTGGCTTTAGTGCATGCTTTTCGGGCTTCTGTGATATCCTGCGTCCACATGTAGCTCATTTCAAAATCTAGTGACGTTCAGATGTCTCAGGTTCAATCACCGTCTGATCTGCGATATGACCTCCACATGTAGCTATGACAACATAAGCTCTTCAAGTCTTTTACTTTCCAGTCTCGTATGTTAGTGAAGGTATCCTCAGCAGCTAGAGCCAGATCCAAGATAGATGCAGACTCGCCTCTTGCAAAAGTCGGTGCTTCGCCCTTATTGACCACCACTAACATCATGGCCAGCTAGCCATGCAGTTAGAATATCTCCTCTTCTATCAGAATACGTCATACCCCACTCCGGCGCCTTCGCGTTGACATCACCACACATGATAGCTTTATTTCTGGAACTTGCTACAGCTTCTCTCATACGATATAATTCAGCCTGGAATACATCTATTTCAGCATAAGGTGAGCAATAGTAACTAAAAACAGTAACTGAACCGATGTCAACCCAGGCAAAGCCATCCCCTCTATCATTACTATGTATCACGATTTTTGGTTCAAAATTTTTATCGCAGCATCTTTTCTAGTATCTGTATACCAGACTAAGCCATCTGTGAGTATCTTATTCGGTTCCGCCACCACCACTATATCTGCTTGTATTACGAATGCTGTGTGTTCGGGGAGATCGTGCGCCTACCTCTATTAACATCAATTTGTCGTAATGTTAATTCTAGGGTTGTCATTATGTGAAGATTTTTGTTCGCCATATCCTCTTCCTGCTTGATGGCCCCTCACGTTACATATTGGACAGAACGCTGGATTATTGCAGTATTTCGCCCTATGCCCTGGTTTACCGCATTTGAGACACATACCTGTCTGCAGCTTTGCACTATCTAGGAGATATCCATGCATCCAGCACTTCAAGCACCTACTACTCTCGTTACGTGCACGGATCCGACAGTGGACTTATCCTATGCAAATTCTGCCTAGTCTGGTAAAAGCTTATCCACTACTGCTTTCTCCATAGGCATGCCTAAGAGATGACAGCCTGAGGTCCTTCCCTTCTTCACCTAAAACAACATTTATGGCTTCCATTACCTCTACCTCAGTTGTGATACTGTCGAGGCCCGCTACGTGAAGTACCACCTGCGTAGTTTTCTTTAGTGTCTTTACTCCACTTACCTGTTTATTTATAGCCTTGGTTAGTTCTTCAGTGTTGCCCTTTCCAACTTCTAACACGTGGTCTCCATTACGAGCCTTACGCATCTTTGAGATTTAAACCTGTACATTTTGCAAATTCACCCCTGCTTTTAGACTCTTTACTAGGTCTGCATAAGACTTGCCGTCAGTTTTTACAATCACCTTTTCCCTCTCCTTGGCACTACGTCTCGTCTTTGCATTGGATTTTCTAGTCTTTCCTGACGAGTGTTATTTGCTATGTCTCTCTTTGACATAGCTTCTATTCTGTACTTACAGATGTCCACGTCGGTTTTCCGAAAAACGAATTCTAGTATCTTTATTAATTCGTTGCCCCCCTATGTCGCAAGTGATGGAATCGCAATCATTTTTCTGTTATTCTCTACTATCAGGTCTCTTAGTTTTAATACGGCCTCATATACTATTTCTGTTTCCATAAGCTCTAAGGGCTCTTCCTCGACGAGCAAATACCATATGAACCTCTATTTTTTCTAGAGGCCTTTTCTTGTTGGAACAGCGATAGAGCTCATCAGGTAAGCGATTCCACCCAGTTTCTGTCTTCGGGATCTCAGGCTCTTCCAGTTCGTTTAATCGCTCTTTAGATATTCTTACCACACATTTTTCCATCTCAAGATCGCATGTCGCCGGCACTACCAGATCGCGCCTCTGGGGAGCACTCGTAACATCTCCTGTTACTGTCTGCACCTTTGTGTATATTTCCTGGGGCCACTCCCTATTCATAAGTTCGGCGATCTCTTACAGCGAGCATTCTTGTCTAGTTTCTCTCTGATTTCTTTCATCGCTTTCCACGGCTCATCGTCTACTGATGCAGTTTTGGGTAGCATCATCCTTTGTAGTGGTCCTAGTGTCTCCTGAAGCACCCATTCAGTTTGCGTCTTGCTTTCCGCGAGTCGCTAGGACTACTACGTTGCTCTCTATATAGACGTTGAAGCTTGAGTGACAATCTTCTAATCTCATCGCCTGTATCCTTGATTTGCTTTTTGGTATTTCTTATTTGTCCAATATGCCCTTCCAATATTTTAGTTTTGGTCACTAGCAGCTCCACTAGGTCACCAATTTCATCGTTTTCGACATCCGTGCTTGAGAACAGCCCTTCTGCCCTTCTATGGTGCTGTCATTTGTTATAGCAATTCATTCAAGTAAGCGGATCTTGATCTTTCTGGTGGCGTCTTCTTTAAACTCTCGATCCTCTTAAAAGGATCAATCTTCATCGGCTCTAAATCTTTATTATCTATAACGCGTAGGAACGGGTATACCATCGGATGTATTCAACAATCCTACTCCAGTTCCCTGAGGGCTGGCCATCGCTTAGCCGGTCCCGGATAGCGCAGACGGACCGGCGCTCGCCCGGAGCAGTTGCACCCGTGGCGCACTACCTGATAAGGGCCCGAAGGGACTGGTCCCTACTTCAACCAGTGGGTCACGACGCTGAAATGACCCTCTGACGCCAGACACTGTCCAAGAAATACCCTGAGGTTGGTTTTGAAACCGGGGTTGGCTACCCGATCTTTATCATCCAAATGCAAAGGGGCACCAGCTCGTTTAGCACCAGCCGGGATGCAAGTGCAGCATACTTCGGTCAGCTACTTGCGTAGCGGCCAGGGGCACGAGCTGGGCTTCACATAGTAGTAGTGATGGGTAGTGCAAGCCACGCAAGTAGGCCACCTTTCACCTTTTTTGCCGACTCCAAGTGGATCAACACTCTACTAAAAATTTTACTTCACTAGTCTGTCGAACCTTACTGATCTCATAATTAAGGTCAGTATGTCCGAGCATTCTGCTGAGTAAGCAACTTTTACCATGAAACTCTTTGGCCCCAGTATCTCTCCTTATCCTGCAATACACCGGGCCCAGAAAGTGGAACGCTGTCTCGTTCTCCTCCCAGCACCTGGAGATTGGATCTCTTCTCACTCTTAGAAGGTGCAAGTGTCTATTCAGTCTGCAGTAGCAGGTGAGAGCCACCACCAAAAGGTTGAGCGATGATGTACCTATGCCCAGTAGCCAGCGCGTCCGACGTTTGTCGGGGCTCGCTACGAACATTTTGACCTGTTTGTAGTCATCTCTTTATCACCATGCTTTTCCCAGATCCCTAGAAGGCTATTCATTCAGAGATGTGTTAATATGGCGTCTTCTTATGACCACCAATGGTAATGAAAATATAAACAATTTTACGAAGAGTGAATCATCATGGTGGTGGTGATCTACCTTCGTTCTTTGTTCGATCGCATTTGGACTGCTTACGACTGAACCGCTGTGACTGTATATAACACTGGCAGCGACCTTCCCGCGATTCAACGGCACCATTTTGTCTTAGCGTTACTCATCAGTCGAAGTACGTCTTACGCCGCGAATACACTTGAGTCGAGGCAAGTCGCGCACCGAACGAGGCAGCCTCGGTACGCCGCGATGTGATTTGCCGCGAAACGAAATGCGATACAACGAAACAACGTGTTGTCGCGAGCCGTGGCATGCTCACAGCTAATCCGTACAGAAGCACATGCTCAGTGATTACTTATTCAGTGGAGCGGTTCATTTTGATTTCCTTTTCTTTTTGTTTCAGTACTTCTTTTACTTCTACAGTATATTCAGATAAGAGATAGACCGGATGTAAACAAAAGGTTCGGGTGATTTTCACGCTAACGCCGCCATCTCGACGTAAAACAGGAGCCCTCATTGGTCAATTCGCAATCAAATGCCTATGCCGAGCGGCAGAGCAGTCGTATCAAGGCAGAGTCACATTCAGGTTCAGACGTGTTACGTATGTCGTGTGCATCATTGCAATTTGATATTTCTTTGGACGTTTTCGTTTGTTATCTTATTAAGTTGTTGAGTTTGTCGTTGTTATTGTTATACCTTGTTATTGATTGTTATTGTTATCAACTGCTTGCGCAAAATGCCCAGTAGTACAGATACTGCCGATGAAGTTGTAAACTCCTGTAGTCCACCTAGGAAACGCTCTAAAAAAAGACACCTGAGTGCAGAAATGAAAGAGGTCATTTTAAATATATATAAGATCGAGCGCGAGGAGAACGAGGCATCAACCATCAAAGAAATTGTTGTGAAGGTTTCTCACAAAGTTGGGGTGTGTCGCGCATCAGTGTTTAATGTGTTAAGATATACAAAAAAAATCACACCTTTTCTGAGCCAATGACCAGTAAACATCGCAAAAGTATTGTTAAATCATTGGGTGAAGCTGATAAGCATGCGATTAGGAGGAAAGTGCATGAATTCTTCTTTAGGAATGAAATACCTACTATAGATAAAGTACTGCAGGAGGTAAATGGAGATACAACGTTGCCAAATTTCAAACGATCAACTTTCCATGCGTTACTGAAGCATTTAAATTTCAAATGGAAAAAACGGGGTCATAATAGTTTACTGCTGGATAGAGAAGAAATTGTGCTATGGAGGAGGGATTATTTAACAAAAGTTGGGAAATATAGAAATCAAAACAGGAAGATTTATTACCTTGATGAAACGTGGATAAACGCAGGACACACTACAAGTAAAGTATGGGTTGATGATTCTGTAACTTCATCCAGGAGGGCCTTTCTAGATGGACTGTCCACCGGATTAAAAAATCCAGCAGGTAAATACGAGTAATAGACAACAATCGGATGTTTTTCAAACCTTGGGAACAAGGTTCTAAACATTAATTCCAGGGGGCAGATAAAACATATTACAAGTAACAAAACTTTTATAACTTTCGATAAAATGCGTGGATGTTTTATTGTCATTTTCATTTATTAGAACTTTTTTAAGCCATGTTTTTATGTGTTTTCGATATTTCAATAATTTTTTAATATAATCTTAAAATATGTCGAATATTATAAACTTAAAAAAAGTTACTAAGTTTTATATTGTGTACCGTTCCTAATATTTCTAATCATTTTAATTCATACTTTAAGCTTTATAAAGTTATAATTTGTTAATATTAATATTTGCGCGTATTTCAGGTTCCTGATCATTCATTTTTTAAAGGTTTATAACTTTAAATTAAATTGTGAAGCGCTGAGTAATCATACGACGTTCAATATTCTTTCTTTCAATATGACTAAATAATCCCAATTATAGCAATCTGATACTCATGTCTCAATGTTTTTTCGCTGAATGTGATGAAAACATTTGAAAAAGGTTCGCTTATTGAAATAAATCTACACCAGTTAGTACTTCGATTTCCAGGTAAAGGGAAAAGGCTCATTATCTGCCATATTGGCAGTGAGGATGGATTTGTTGTTGACGGTCTGTGGTGCTTTGAGTCTAAGAAAACTGGACATTACCACGAGGAAATGAATGGCGAATCGTTTGAACAGTGGTTTTCAAAAATTTTACCGAACTTAGAGGAAAACGCAGCAATTGTGTTGGATAATGCGCCTTATCATTCTCGAAGAATGGAGAAGGTCCCAACAACGGCTTCAAGGAAAGTTGATGTTCAAAATTGGCTCCGTTCGAAAAATATCAACTTTGAAGAAGCAATGCTGAAAGTACAATTATTAAGAATTGTCAAGGATCACAAGGCGGAATATCAAAAATACGCCATTGACGAAATGGCAGCAAGTCAAAATAAAACTGTGCTCCGTTTACCTCCATACCATTGCGAGCTCAATCCCATTGAGCTCATATGGGCAGAGGTTAAAAATTATATAGCTAAGCACAATACAACTTTTAAATTTTGTGACCTCAAAGGACTTTTCAAAGAAGCACTAGAATTAATAACAGCGCAAAAATGGGAAAACTGTATTAAGCACGTGAAAGACAAAGTTGAAAAGAGAATGTGGGAACTGGACAATATTTTAGAGGAACAAGTCGAGCCATTCATTATTGACGTTGGTGCTTCAGGCAGTAGCGATGATGAAAGCTCATCAAGCTCATCTTTCCAATAAAAGATGTCGTTCATCAAATTCGGTAAGTTATAAGTAATTATAAAGCTACTGTATTTTTTAATTAATTATTGACATTTTTGAACCCATTTTGGCAAAACCTATTCAAGAATCTACTTTCTGACAATGTTCAACCATGCACATTTTTTTACGTTTTGAACGTTTTAATTTGGTTACATATTTACCTAGAAATCAAAAACTATACTAATCAATATTCTAAAAGCAATTTTAAGAGATATACGATTATTTTTAATTTAGGCTAATTTAAACGCCATTTTGAGATTATATTCGACTGTATTTCACCAAACATCAGGCGGCATCCGAAGCTGGAAATCGAAGCGAAAATTTTGAAACCCTTATGTATATTTACATCATTATATATTTCTTACCCCACCCCCACATGATCCTATATCCATCACCAATCGTATACACATCGAATTGTGCTAATTTACTACAAAGTTACGCAAAGCAGCATCTACTATCTAAAATATGTACTGCGTGACTCTTAATACATCCCTGCCGAATGTTACAGCGTTCGATGATCACGTGGTCTTGTTTACATCCGGTCTATCTCTTATCTGAATATACTGTAGTAGATTAGAAGATGTCGACGAAAACTACGTAAGCTTGATTAATTTCATTGAATTTGCACGTGATGACTGAGAGAACTGAATTAAAAATCAAATTAATAATTTATCTTTCAGATCGGAGTGGAGCAATGAAAAATGCCTAAATTTAAGTACAGAAGTTAGTGCCACAATTTGTAAATAACCAAAATAGACACTATATTCGCCCTGAGGCAAATGCTGATCGAAAATTCCGTACTCACTGCGCACGAACGATGCACGGCTCGTCCGGTGCTCACTTTGATGGATCGACAGCCGACGGCTCAGGTCGCGCACCGCATGAGGCAAACCGAGCCTGTTCGCAGCTGTGTCGGCGCGCCCTACACACTAGCGCATCGTGGCGCGCCGAGGCTGCCTCGTTCGGTGAGCGGCTTGCCTCGGATCAAGTGTATTCCCGGCATTATACAAACGATACTCGTCAAATTGGTCACGCCAAGCCAGTCTCACACTTATATACACGTACCTATATGATGAAATGTGGCACCGTCTCTCCTCTCTTATGGAATATCGATGACCGTGACCAGGGGTCAGTCAGTCTGATGAAATTCAATGTCAGAGTGTCCCCAAGGTAACGGTTTTATGGTGCTATGAATAATGCTCATCATGATGTGCTAGAGCAAATTTATTCATTACCTCAGTGTGCTTTCTTAATTTAACATTTAACTGATGTGACTCTGTATGTGTTTATAGAATTTGTGAATCAGTACCACAGTAAAACATAGATATTTCATATAATCTTTACATTATATTTTACAGCTTTGATAAATTATAGTATACAAAATGCTAGATGTATCAGTTTAAAACAATATATTTTTTCCAGTTCTATGTAAACTGCTGCTAAATTTTTGTGGAATATAAGACAAATTTGAAAATTTGGACGCGCTATTAAGGCTCCAACACCCATGCTGCTGCGTCAATTGTCTCAATGCGTAAGCACATTTTCTATTGTCTCTCCAAAAACCTGCTCAAAGTGTGCATAATAATGGGTAACATCCCAAGCGAAACAGCACTGGTCTTGATTATGAACACTTATAAGTGCCCTCTTTATCTCGATAAAGCGAGGCAGCAGATAATAGGATGATCCTCCTGATGGGGAAAGCATATTTATATTCACTTCAGCAAACTAAATAATTTCTATCGCCTATCATAAAAACATCCCAAAAAATCATGATTATTCTCATATATTTTCATTTCTCAAGGTTATTAGCTAAGATAGTGTAGTATAGTGAAAGGTATATAACAAAAAATAGGAAAATAATGGGCTTAATCCGCAAAAAGAAGGAAAGTGGATTCGAGTAGAAAATAGGATAGGTAACCCGAACGATACGTATTTCTGCTGGTTGGCTGCATCAGGCCCGGAATGAATGCACATTATGCAACTACAAAAGAAGATACACATACCCATACATCCGGATACGGGTGTAGCTTGAGGAAACGAAGTTGGAGAGGGAAAAATGACACACGAAGTCCACAACAAGAGCCAACCTACACATTGTAGTAAAAAATGACTAATGCCCGTATCGTCAGTCGTCCCTACGATTGTAGGGCGCGTTTATGGCCTCCTTGATTGTCATACTCCTTTCTCTCCTGCAAAAATTTCCAGATTACACTTGTCCCGTGTCAGCGTCAACGCTCTCCTATTGTGAAGATATGTTTTATTTTTAAATTGTAGGAAATTTCAGGCTGATAAAACATGAATATAACTCAAAAGCAAGCACAATTTGATGCAAATAGATGTTTGTGACATAACCTCAAAATAGAGCGCTGACACGGAGAAGTAGAAAACTATGACAATCAAGGAGGCCATAAAGGCGCCCTACAATTGTAGGGATGACTGACGATACGGGCCTAAGACCTCGAATTTTCAAAGCGATATGTTACCACAACCACATGGTCGGTTATAGCCACTTGCTATGGTACTTCAAGCCCAAAGGATCTACAAAGAGAAATTGATCATGCGGAGAATGGTATATAACAAAAAATAGGAAAAGAATGGGCAAAATCATTCATTTTGGGCCTGATGAAGCCAACCAGCAGAAATACGTATCGCTTGGGTTCCCTATCCTGTTTTCTGCTCGAAACCACTTTCCTTCTTTTTGCGGATTTTGCCCATTATTTTCATATTTTTTGTGATATACCTATATATATATATATATATATATATATATATATATTATATATATGTAGTATATAAGTACGTATCAAGAGCTGTTATGATACGTTACCGAACACTGTTGACAGTCTTACGCTAAAGCTCCAAAAAATGATGCTACCGTGAACGGACGCGCTCATTCTGCTGCAATATGACAATTTTTTCCATGAAAATCCTAATTAGTGCAGTAGTGGTTCTGAAAAATCCTATGCCTGTATGATTCCATTTCACTGTGCACTACAAGAAGTTGTTTTGCTCATAAACATCAGACAGGTCGGATCCTCATCTATTATTTTCATTCTTGGTCTGTAATATTCCAAACACATATCTTAGTGATTCACAATAGATGTTCTGCGGTCACCGGCAAAGCTACACCAGACACAATAGCTGGTCATAGTTGTTCACACTATTATCATCAGCATTTTCTTCTGCTTGTGTTAAACTTTGTTAATTATCCATAACAGTCTTATAGTATTCCAATTCGATTTCTTATTTTTTTTGCTTCCACGCTGTTCCAAAATGTTTTGTCAAAAGTTCATCAACATTCTTTAGTTTTTCGGGATTTATTTTCAAGTTATATATACAAACGTTTTCTGGGGACATGAGCGATATCCTCTTCCCCCTTTTGCAGATGCCTTTAGCGTTATTCACATCAGACTGGTAATTTGGTTCACCCCTTACCAGGACTTGCAGATTTTTTGAACGAGTCAGTACCAACCGCTTACATGATTTGATTTGGAAATGGAGTGAGGCTGGTGACTTGACATTTGCGGCCTCCTTTTTCCAATTTTGAATATGCCAGTCCTGTCCCAATTTTTTTAAACTACCATGGTTTTCGAAAATATTATAATACGTTTCAGGCTTGACTATTGTGTCAAGTTTTTTTTATCTTTTTTTCTATCAAGGCGAAAACTCGATCTAAAGGTAAAAAAGAATGGCCAGTGACCGGAAATATCAATTGCAGTTTTTCGATATGGCTCGGAGCTTCTAAGATCCATTTAGCGCACATAGACAGAACAATACTATTTTTGTTCTGCCCAGTGCAGCCATCTGATACCAGTCTTTCACATTCGCAGGAATCGTGATTTTGTTTAAAGTGTCATAAACCGCTGAGGCGATTTCATTCGATCCCTTATGACATTCTGTTTCAAGCCATGTATGGATATAAACATTTTCTTTTAAAAGTTTTGCTTTTGATGATCCTATGACAACAGTAAAGTAGCAAAGATACAGTTGTCTTTTGTAATATGTTATTTGATCAAGAATTTTCGGTAATACTAAGTTTTTTTGACAGTCAAATGACAGAATCAATAGATCATCACTTTGACCTCTGAGTTTATCATAAAATGCATTTGCCCTCAGCTTATGTATGCGTTGTTTCACTATTAAATCATTTTTTACCTGCAAATCTTTCTCTCTCTTGATCATTTCTCTGTATTCAAGGCATTGCGACCAGACATCTACTTGTGGCGCATTGAATCCTGTATTGAAATTAGCGTTAAAAATCTTTCTCAAGTAACTTGCCTTACAACGTCTCGTCAGAGTCGCAGAGAGATTATACATTCTGTATATCTTCTGTATTGATAAATCGCTCGACAAATTCTGCCTTTCCGACTTTCCTCTACAGTAGTGCTTCTCTAAAATACTGAATTGTTTTATAAAGTTTATTATGCTGTTCCGGATTTCTTTGGTTTTGTGAGATCGATGATCGCCACCTCTATTTTCCTTCGGCATCTGACTGATGATAAAACCTCTTTATTACACCTTCAACACGATGTTTACTCAAATTCAGGATATTTAAGGAGTTTCTGCATACTGGAACCACTTCATTGCCTTTCCGTATAAAATACTTGGCAGCAAGGGTGCGAGGTCTGTCTGAGTTAGGATTCCTTTTCCTTCTAATCGGCAATGTAGAAACATATTTCAGCAAAAAATTATCTTGGACAGTCTTTTTTGGTACTGAATAAAATGATGTATGGAATTTTCGTATATCCTCCTCGTTTAATGTTGAGCATAGATAACTTTTAGTTTTATGTCCACATTTGGGATAAACTGGATCTTTCTTTGCTGAATACCTACAAAAGATTATAGTGAGAAGTTTGACTGAGAAAATATGCCGCAATATTACCTCATCTCCTTGGCCTTACTCTTACTCCATTTGTCTGGATCCAATTTCCTTTTCCTACACTTATCAGGCGTCTTTTCTACTATTGTATCCATATCTCAGCTAACAATTTGTTGCCCAAATACTAGGACCAACGTTGTGGTAACGCAAAAGTTGCCGGTTTATAAATTTGGGGTATGTATGTGGTAAACACACCAACACACGTCAACAGGATCTAGCCGGTTTTGTTCATAAACAAGAGCTTAATAGTTGGTGTAGCAGTGGATGTAGCCGGTTTTGATAAAACCAAGGATATAGCCACTTTTGTAATAAAACACGCATCAGCTTTAACCGGATTTGAAAATAAGACTGAAATAGTGTGCTGAATTTTATGGATTTTGCCGCATTTTGGAAACTTGTTTGTATTACAGTATATTACTAGAACCTTTGACTATGCGATGGCAGCACACACACCATTTTTCGTAAATATGGATTTAGCCGCTTTTGGAAATAGGGGACTCAATTATTGACGATGGAAAAAACTCAGTCGTTATACCTGACTGAACAAAGCTAATAATCTGTGACAATAGCTGATGGTCGTAGTTTCGATGGGATGATGCCACACTTTTTTTGTATTTTGAGGTACGATCTCTCTACAAAAATCTGTCTTCAGTGGTGGGGGTGGTTTTTAAATTGGCATGGTGCTTACCGTGGGGGCTGGTCTTTGTACTGTCATGATGTTTGGGGAAGGGGGGATGGTGGGCAGTTGTAGGGGGCGGTCTTAGAGTTGACTGACGTGTACTCCTCCTCGCCAATTTGCGTTTGAGGCTGAAGGAATCATACTGATAGGAAAGTCGTAACTCTCGAGATATTCTAGGACTTTTAGCATTACCATTTACTTACTGAACTCTGAGTGCATTGAAGTTACCTTTTGCGCCACATCACTTCCATACCAGCACATAACATATACCATGTATATCACAGAGGTCATGTATGCAAGCTTAAAGGCCATTTCCTCTGGATTCATCTAAAATACATAAAAGATTAAGACTTAAATAGGCATATGCTGCGCAACATAAGCCTACAACTTGTTAGAATGAGAATTTAGCATCATTTTAGCATTCGTCTGGAATATTTACTTTCATACCTGCAACATTTTGTAGCAAACGTTTCTTTTCTTACAAGTTGCAGCACATATCACACGACATTTCTGACATACGTGTCGGCCATGACGCGCAGTATGTTGTGGAGAAAATTTGTGGTAATGTAAGCATAAGAACCGACATAGAGCATGGACATGTAGGCAAACCCAAAAAATTATAATTTAACGCAACTTACCTATACAGGGTGGCCCAATGAAAAGGTCGCACCCCCATTTGTGACTCTCCTGGTATATTTGGGGATACGTCAATTTTGAATTCTACGAGGACGTCTCTTCATCTATAGCCGTGCAATAAAGGGTGATCCAAAAATAAAATACTGCGTTACGCTTTAAATTCTTGAAAGGAAACTCCCATTTATTAATTTTTAAATTTTCCATGAAGTTTATAGTAACTTTTGTATAATAAAGTTTATACCTATCTTCAATCGTAGTGAAGTTATTTGAGCTTATAATATTCGACTGATCTAATACGGATAATAATGGAATGCATGGCAAATCATGGATACCAGCAAGAGCATTTAGCATCAGTCAGTGTCAATGAATGTCATTTCAAAAACTTTTTCCTTCATTCCGACTTGTCAAGTTACCTACCTAAGTTGTGATAAACATCGAACAATGACTTAATCAATTCAAGAAAGGGTAGAAATAACAAAATTGTATTACTAAAATGGTAGCACTGCAAGAGCTATTGCTCGATTGTTTAATGCGTCCAGACAAAAATATTAACGATAAGTATGTGGCTAAGTTGATAAGAAAATTTGAAGAAGCTGGGTCTGTGTCTAATATTCGACGTGATCGCCATCGAGAAAATCGACTAGTTAGAAATAAAGCCGCGAAAATAGCAGTTTTGGGACACGTATCACCAACACCCAAAGCACTCGTGGACTGGCTACTTCTTTAGGATTTACACGCTCATCAGTACAAATAATTTTGAAAGACAATAAATTTCACCCGTACAAGATCAAACTTGAGACTAATAAAGACTATTTTAATAGAAGGTTGGAGTATTTCGAATTAATGTTCCAAAGTTTAATCAACAATCTGTTATTTAATATTTGTTTCTCGAATGAGTGTGCGTTCTATTTACATGGTGCTTAAGTAGACGTAATTGTCGATATTGAAGTGACTCGATTCCACATTTGTTTCAAGAGGTACACTCGCAGTATCCTGAAAAAATAAATGTGTGGACCAGCATTTTCGGAAATCATATTAAAGGACCTTTCTTTAATCCTGGAAACTTGGCTGACGAGACGTACTTGGACTTGTTAGAAGATACAAGAGAGACAAGAATTTTTGAAATAATAGAAAATAACGTTAATCATAATGAAAATTTTATTCTTTTTCAACAAGATGGTGCACCGCCGTACTATGTGGTTCGAGTATGACAGTGGGTCGGCAGACGATGCCCCAACGAGTGGCCACCGAGATCTCCGGACCTAAGTCCTTTGGATTACTGTCTTTCGGAACATTTGAAAAGTAAAGTTTTCAGTATGAAGCCAGATTCTATTCGAGATCTTCGTCAGCGGATTACGGCTGAATGTAGACAAATAACTTATGCTTGAAAATATGAGGAATAGATTCGAACACAGTCTTTATTACTGCATGGAAGTGAATGGACACCACTTTCAGCACTTACTACCACATTGAGGTATATAGAAAATTAATTTTAACTTTAACTTTAATGTGCGTGCAAACTGTAAGTTGTTTTTTATTTTTTTCATACTCGAAGACTTATTTTTAATTTTAAAGAAAAGTTACTATGGGATATATTGATTATTATTTTTACGATATAATCTCTTATCATAATTTCTAGAATTTTATTATAAACTCAAATAGCTTCACGATCAAAGATAGGTATAAACTTTATGACACTAAAAATTAAAACAAAATTGGGTTTCCTTTTAAAAATCTAAAGTGTAACGCACTATCTTATTTTTGGATCACCCTGTTTTATACGACTATAGACGAAACGTCGTCCCGCTACGTTGCGCTCTTCGTTGGGCCACCCTGTAGACTAAATTCCACCCTTGAGCAGCTATAGGCCGTAAAAGTGTGGTTCCAAATTTCGAAAAAATTTCAGTTGTTGTTGAACTTAGAAAAAGATCATTTTGGTACACGTTTTGGGTGCATCAAAGAGCATGATCGACAGTCGTTAAAGTTTAATTGGAAAATGTGACTCAATTTTTTTAACACGTTGGTGTTGTAGGCAACAGTGGAAGTGTAGTGGTAGACGTCATCGACCCACTAGCAGTTGCCGTGCGCAGGGTTTGAATCCCGACCCAAGAGAATATTTTTCTTGGCTACGGATGTTGTAGATTGCCTTTGACTGTTGAACGGGGAGGTTCCACCTTACGGATCTCTGAGGCGGGACCAGAGTGTGTGCATGTTGCACACACACAAGAGTGCACTCACTATAGTCCCCCCTTTCGCCTGCATCCTCCTATAGCCCTACGGTACCCATGGGTGTTTAGGCCTTAGGACTTCGTGGTAGTGCAAGTATAAAAAAACTTGAAAAATCATTGTTTTATTTTTTGTAAATTTTTATTGGAAGTCTTTTTATTCTAATAATATTTTGGAAAAACTTTGTCGCCTTCAACAAAAACTTGAATAATGAAAAGCATGTATTGCAGCTGCGTAACTTCAAATTATTCAAAAATTCAAACCTTGGCTATGAAATTAAATATTAGGTACAAAAACTAGAACAACGATATTTGAATAAAAAACGAGCAACTTAAATATCAGAAACGAGACATAATTACTTGCTCTGGCAAAAATGATGAACGTTTTTTCTCAGGCAAGAATTTATTCCTCATAGTAAATTTAATTTACTTTGTCAAACTTGACGTTTAATTTCATAGCCAACGTTTTTATTTTCGATAATTTTGAATACCGCAGTTGCAATACATGATTTTAGTCATTTGGGGTTTTGTTGAAGATGACAAAGTTTTATGAAAAATAACATTAAAAAAGTATTAGAACCACATAAACTAAAGTAATAACTTTTCAAGTCCGCCCACTTGTTGAAAAATCAGTCATAATTTAAGATAATCAACTTTGAACTTTAATCACTATTTGTACCAAATTTTTTTTGCCTAAGATAAAACTGAATAATATTTCTTTTTCATAATTTTATACTCACACTCCTTATGGCTTACAACTTTTAGTATACATACAGGTTAGTTGCGTTAAATTACAATTTTTTGGTCCCTATTTTGTGTCGGTTCTTATGCGAAACAACTTATAAAGGCGCAATTCCACTGAGGCAACATGTAGTATATGGCATTGACGCATGCGGCACACTGTCTTTCCATAGAGGGAACACAAAACGACAAAAAATATGTCTCCTTGACGCATGCGACAAGCTGCCCGTTGTTGTCTCTCGCGGGCATCGTCACCGACATGAATCCACGTCTTGATCAGTGTCGCTGGCTATCGAAACCTGTTCGGATCGGTGCGGCTTATAGCAGGCGAGAAATGGAGTGGACCAATGAGAAAACATTATGTTTAATTGAAGATTACCATAATTCAGGTGAAATTGCGGAAATTGTCAGTGAAATATAATTATGTTTTTTATAATGATGAGGCAAAAATAGTTGGCTTGTTTATTAATGGTTAATTTCTTTAAATATTAAAATACAATTGTTCAGTAATCAGAAAAGGGTAAATTCCTCCTCCAATATTCTGGCGTTTTCCTTTTTCTTGTCAGATCCAAAGAAACTACTAAATAAGCCGCGACTGCTTGTAATGACATGACTTAGTAAACTGAAGTTGCCTGAATCGTGAAGATGCATGTACGACAAAGCGCACCAAATATAATAAAACAAAATCCGCATGCCGCATTAATAGACTTTGGGCAACACTGTCGAATGTCAACAAAAGGCAGCACTAGTAAAGAAATGCATGCTACAAATTTACTTTTACAATGGATTGATGTACCACATTAAAAATAAGATGCATATAAAGCCCGTCAATCACCACTTTCACAGAAGGTTTAAACAAAATTCAGTATCTGCGCGAAAATCTACAAAAACCATCGGTCAAAGGTCTCTTCTTAGGCCCAAAATTTTTCAATCATATTCCGGCATCAATAAAGATTATTAAAATATTAAAAAGACACATCAAGTTATGAATTATACAGGAACCAAAGAGCTCGATCCATAAACTTATAGACACTAAAAATCATTATTAAACCTAAAGTAATTTATGTACATCATGGGTGGATTTATGTTCGGACATATTTAAGGTGAAATATTCTAAAAACGATTTTATATCAAAAATTGTCTGAATAATTTAGCCGAATCTTACACGTATAAAAATATATTTTTTTACACTTAGCTACATTATAATACCTACATTATTTGACGTTTATGTAGTTACCTTTTTGTATTTTTCCATTCTCATGTGAACCCGAGTACAAGTTCTAACTTATTTGGGTGTAAGATAACGATTTTGTGCATCTACGTTATTCCAATAAACATTATTATTATTATTATTATGTCGTTCACTGTTGCCTCAGTGGAATCTCACCTTAAAAGTTGTAGCGGTTACGGCATAGGGTCTTTGGTCACGGGGCCAGGCCGAGATATTTATATTTCACATCTGTTTATGACAAAATCCTTTACCTGATCAGTTATGCTGAATGTCAATGTACATATGATGAAAACTTGTGTTCCGAAGTAGAAGAACAATGAAAATCCTTGTATATACTGAACTTGTTCCAAAAGCCTGTAAAAATTTGAAATATTTCAGTTACGTCTCTATTCATGGACGCCCGCAGAATTTTTTCTCAGGGCAGCGATCATCACTTTTTGTGGAGGTGTTTCTTATACCAAAACTTTTCATTGGAGGGGTAGCAAATTTGCTGAGGGAGTATGGCAGATCCTAAAAATACCCAAATTTTCAGGTCTATCCAGATTGGCAGGGCGCACATGTCTCTACCCTTTAGTTAAATACAAAACAAGTTCAATAACAACTGATAGCATATAAATCTGCAGTGAGAAACAGAGGAACCATCGAAGGCATTCAAGTAGCTTAAGTCAGTACAGGGCTGATGAGTGAAATAGCTTTTACAGTTCGCAGCAGTTTTCACTTGGCTGTCAGATTTAACAGTTTGTTACAAGTGTGTCAAACTGTCAAAGTTATCTCACGGCTACTGAGACACAGCGTACAGCCGTTGAATCGCTGGACCGATTCAAGTTATTTGAATAAACTCATTTAAATCAGATTATGTTATTGCATAAAAATCAATATATCAAATACACTATTATATTGTAGCGTTTTTCTGGGTTCTGTTGCGTGTGGATTAAAACACTGGATTCCACAAAAAGAAATGCACTAATTTATTTAAGTTGACTATATAGAACATATATCTACACCACTATCTATGTCTGACTATTTATTTACGAATTATTATGTCGCACCATTCACTGAATTATACTCTACTCTGCTTCGCTCTCCCGGCCGTCGACCTATATAGTCCGCATCGCAGGTGCTCGTTGATTCTAGAAGGTTCCGGTGAGACACATAGCGGCAGTCTAGAATTTTCGAGGTCACTTCGCGTCGATCTAGAAGGAAAGTCCCTGCCATGGTCCCCAATAGATCTCGCTAGCACCGAACGAGAGTCTCGCGTTCCCAAACAGATGTCGCCACCGAAGGAGAGTCTCGCTGTCCCCAACAGATGGTGCCAACAGTACTATTCATTGAAGAATGAAGGCTTTCAAGGCTAATTCTAATGTAATTTGGGTTTTTCGGGCTGTTGAGCCGTGGTCAAGTTGGATTTGGTCGAGAGCTTTCGGCTATATCTGCGTTAGCCATCTTCAGTGGCGCTGTCGACGAGAGCGAAGTGCTCGGCTTCGCGGGTCAACTGAAACTGATCAGTTAATTTTTTTTTTTTTTTTTTTTTAACGAGGGGGGAATGCATTTACGCACCATACCATAGCACGAGCTACGACGTGTGTGGGGCTCCAGGGTCTTGAGGAGATCACCTAATACCCACTAAACCCTAAACCTCCGCGTGGCCCGACTCATCAGCGTCTCGGTAGGCCATGTGTTGTGCGTGACCTGCGGTCTGCTACAACGTCTCCTCATGTGTTTCAGTCTCTGGGAACGCCGGGTTGGTTCCCTTTACCTCGCACATTCTATCGATGTCGTTAAGCGATCATCGATAGAGGGTCTGCTAGTTTCTCTTGAAACTCTTGTTTTCGAAAAATCAAGAGTTTCAAGTCCTCTTACCAATATGTTGTTCCTGGTCCTGGTCCTGAAGGGTCCTGGTCCTGGTGGGTCCTGGTCGTGGCGGGTCCTGGTCCTGGTTGGTCCTGGTCCCGGTGGGTCCTGGTCCCGGTGGTTCCTGGTCCTCTGCATCCACGCCGTGGGGTGAGGGGGGGGGGGAGCAGCCGCAGTTCTCCTAGTCTCCTAGTCAAGGTTCCAGTTAGCGGGTGCCAACTGGGACCTTGGTCTGGGGTACCTGGTTCTGCGGTTGCGAGGCCTCTCGTCCGGATCGTAGTCCATGAGGAATCGTAGCTGCTCGTTCGGGTGGTCCTGAGCTTTCTCGAAGGTCTTCTCCGCTTTTTTCCTCATGTACTCGTGGATGGTATCCCAATGCAGGTCTCTACGCAAGGTTGAGTTCCTTACGTAGGAAGGTGCATTGGTGGCGATCCGGAGCAGCTTCATCTCTAGAGCAGCAAGTCGCTTGCGGTAGCTGGGGGCAGCGTACCCCCAGACCGCGGAGGCGTAAGCGAGCTGAGGTCTGGCGATGGCCTTGATCAGCCGTAGCTTGGTCGCTAGCGGCATCTGGCTGTGTCTACCCAGTAATGGATAGAGTTGAGCCATGGCTGCTCTGGTTTTTGCGATGACAGCTTCTATGTGCGCTTTCCAGGTGAGGGACTTGTCAAAAACGATCCCCAGATATTTGACATTGTCGCTCCACTGGATATCTTCATCGAAGATGGATGCTTCGAGAGGTCTTGCAATCCTTCTTCGTTGAATGAAGATTGCCTGCGTCTTCTGGACGTTGATGCGGATTTTCCATTTCACGCACCAGTCCTGAATTTGGTCCAGTTCACCCTGTAGTCTCCTACGGATGATCTCGGGTCGTCTATGCTTGGCGGCTATAGCAGTGTCGTCTGCATATAGGGCCAGCATTGTGTCAGCTGTCTTCGGCACATCGTAAGTATAGATGTTGTAGAGCAGGGGGGCTAAGGCTGACCCCTGGGGCACGCCTGCTTCCAGCTGTCGTCTTGTTGAATGGCATGTACCAATCTTCACCGTGAACCATCTTTGTGTTAGATAGCTCTGGATCAGTTGGCACATGTTCGCATCGATTCCGGCGGCTTCCATTTTGGCGATGAGTCCATCGTGCTAAACTCGGTCGAAGGCTCGTTCCACGTCCAGCAGGACGAGACCGGTTGCCTCCTGGAGATTGAAGCCGCTGGTGATGTTTTCCGTCAGTCGTAGCGCTTGGAGTTCCGTGTTGTGGGAGGATCTGAAGCCGAATTGCTCTGGGGGGAGAAGTTGCAGTTCTTCTGCCTGCTTCTCTAGTCGAACGGCGATAGCCTTTTCGACTACTTTGCCCACCGAGGAAACCAGGCTGATGGGCCGGTAGTTCTGGGGCAACTTCCGGTCCTTGCCTGGCTTGGTGAGCATTATAACCTGGGCTTCCCGCCACCGCCGCGGGAAGTGGTTAAGTCTCAGAGTGGCATTGGCGATGTTGGTGAGCGCAGCAATGCCTTTGGTGGGAAGGTTCTTCAGCATCCTATTGTTGATGCCGTCCCTTCCCGGCGCCTTTCTGACCTTCAACCTGCGGATGATCAGACGGATTTCCTCTGGACTGGAGGGGTGATCCGTCTCCTGGCCAGGTGGTCGACTCCTCATGTTTTCGGCTGCGACTTCCACGGCCTCCTCGTGGTTGTCGTCCTCGTCTTCATGGTAGTTGAGTCTGCATTCGGATTCTAGCGAATCGGCGAATGCTTCGGCTTTTTCTTCACTGGAGTAGGCCAAGCCACGTTGGCCGTGAAGAGTGGGGATCGTGGTGCGCTGACGACGAAATTTTCGCTGCATGGACCAGGCCGTACCATCCTGGGTCTCTAGTTCTGCACAGGCTGCATTCCATCTGCTGTTTTGGAGTTCCGCGAGTGCGTTCTTCAGAGCTAACGATGCTCTGTTTCGCGCAACTCTCGACTCCTCTGTCAACAGTTGGAGATGTTCTCGCTTGAGTCTTCTGTTCTCCCTGATCAGGTGCCTAATATGGTGCGGTGCTGGACCATTTAGGTGTCTAGGAACTGCCGTAGTCTCGGAGCGGGTGCTGTCCTCGTGCGCTCGCAGGACAGCATTCTCCAGCTCCTCTACTGCGTTGTCCAGTTCCTCCGCTGATCGGATGGTTGGAATTTGAGTGATGTTCCTTTGGACGTTGGATTTGTACAGGTTCCAGTTCGTCCGTTTGGTGCTCAAGCTATCTCGAGTTCTAGACCCTGTGCCAAGTGTTAGTAGAATCGGATTGTGGTCCGACGATCCTTCCACCAGGGTCTCTATCTCGAACTCCTCTCTGATGTTGCGGAGGATGGCTATGTCCAGTACCGCAGGTCGCCCAAGGCCGAATGGAATGTAGGTTGGTTGCTCCGGACCGACGATGACCCCCGCCAGGGCATCGACGTGTTCCTGGAGCTGCCTTGCATTCCTGTCTTCGACGTTGTTGTTCCATGCCGGAGACTTGCAGTTTAGATCTCCGATGACTATGCGTGCTCCTGGGCCTCTCAGGAGGTCAGCGATGTCATCTTCGTCTAGGGCCTCCCCTGGTGGCACATATAGGGAGGTGATTCTGTAGGGACGGTGGTTGTGATGGACCTGGACCGTGATTCCGTCCCCATTTATGTCTGCGGCATCGTCGAGGACATGACTCGTCAAGGTACGTTTGACGAGTAATGCGACTCCTCCACCTCTGCCCCTTCTGTCGTAGCGGTACGTCTCGTACCGCGGGAACGTCAGACTATGGGCAGCATCCAACTTCGTTTCTTGGATGGCCATCACCTCTGGTTGGTACTGGTCTAGTATCTCCTGGATTTCTGGTTTCCGTGCCCTGAATCCGTTGATGTTCCAAGAGATAATGCGTAGAGATTCTACGTTTTGACCTGTAGACATTTCGGGTCTAGTGCTTGTCTTGCATCTTGGCCTCGAGTGCATCCAGGCGGGTTATGATGGCTTGCATCATTGCTAGCAGTCTGTCATCGCCGTGTTGCTTCTGCGCAGTAGTTCCAGTAGCAGTGGCGGCTGCTGGGGCAGAAGTGGACATAGGCTTCTTCGCTTTTTCAGCGTAAGAAGTCCTATTTGTTGTGGGGACTGCTTTGGGGGCAGAAGCAGCTTTCTTCGGCGCCTTACTACATCCCTTGTAGTTGGCGGGGTGGCCTTCTCCACAGAGACAACACTTGGCGTTTCGTTGCCCTGTTGGCGGCGCTGGCAGACTGCAGCTGGTGCTGTTGTGGTCCTCTCCACACTTAACGCACCGTTCAGCGAGACGGCAGTTCCGCTGTGTGTGCCCGTACCGCTGGCAGCGGTAACATTGGCTGGGCTTGGAAGACTTTTTCTTCCTCTCGAAGCTGACCGTGAGCATGGCCAGCCTCTGGATCTCTGCAAGCTTTTCCGGCATCTTCGTCTTGACGAGGAAGAGCGGAAGTGGCTTCTTTGTGGTCCTTGAGGTCAACTGCTGAACCTCGGCGTCTGCGATGCCTTGGCTC